ATTAATGTTATATATTTAATCAGCTTATCGGTAAAACAGTAATAAAGCGGATTGTGGCTTATAGTAGGGTATCTTATTGAGTTATTTGTATGGAATTTTACATGAAAGATTATTTATGAATGAATGAATGAATGAAATGGGATTTAACATCCTGCATATGCCATACAGTGTGCTATATGGGAAATTTGGCCAGGACAGCAATTTAATTCCAACTGTCAAGGTATTTTTTTACGGGTATGCCAATGTGTACACAGGATCTTGAAAAAAACACTGTTCTGTCCTGCACTGTGACAAGTGTAAACTGAGGTATTATCTTGGCCAACACCAAACCCTGAACCTCCATGTTGGCGAGCCAGTGCCTTAATCTCCGGAATTTAAATCACTTAATTGCACTTAATTGTTTCAAAATTCTGTCAAATAACCACACAGTTGTTAAGACGAACTGATTGTGACTAATTTGGTGTTTTTAATTTTGGATTAATCGATTTTTTTCATAATTTCTAGATCAATAAGCCTTATAGTTAGATTACTTTGTTTTGTGAAATGGGGTTTAACTCCTATTTTTTGGCACTGACTTGACAATGCCATACAGTGTACTGTGATGGAATTTTTTGCCCCATCCAAATGACTAGACACTTTCCTTGCCAGGCCCCTCTATTCTGCTATAGTGAACAGTCTAAAGGTCTATATTTACTATTTATTCACATATATCGGACCTTTAAGAGACCCAAAATGTTCAGATGTCTGTTATCGGTAATCATACTATGCCAAATTACATTTCGTGGTATATCCAATTCTGTTGTTATTTACATATTATATAGTTCTGGTGATTGTAGAATTCTAATCCAAACCACAACTACCAGATGTTCACCTTGAGATTAATAAAAGTACAGTGCTGGTGAATGATGTTGTTGCAAGAGTTCTGCTGTCGAAGCAAGGCTAGTGCCAGACTCATTTGCCCCACAAAAAAAAAAAAATTGCCGACTTCGCTTTTCCAAAACAGGTGTTTTGTAGAAAATTATGTATTTGAAATTCTAGATTATTGGTAATAATACTAATGTAAAGACTTCCTTAGCTCTTGAATAGAAATCCTGAATATTGTGTATAATGGTTTCCCGTTAACATCTTAACAGAGTGGTATGCCGAAATTTGGACCAGTTCCTTGACTACCCTCCCCCATGGCTCGATTATAGGGTCCAGCGCTGAGAATTTTGAGACGGGGAGTCATTTCAAATATGTCAAAACAGATGAAATAAACTTTTTATTCAAATTAAGTACAGTCGCTTAATTGTACAACAAAGTTAATAGCGATAATTTCACATTTGAAATAACATAATTTTAATTTCACTCTTTGATTGGATGCTCACCTGAAATGGATGCTGGGACTGTCCTTTCCTATGTCACCCTATTTGCACGCCACTGTGTACAAATATATAAGTGATAAGCTTTCAAATTATACAACGCAATAGACCAAGTAGATTACATCAGTTTCACCTGTATAAATACAATCCAGGTGTTTGACTGATCATGATAGTTGGTCATGTGCTGAATGTGAGCAGGACATGAAACTCTGAACTATTTCTAAAAGTGTTTCCTACTAATCACAAATGAGAGTTGTTTTGTCAAAAGTGTCCAAAGTGTTGCAAAAGTAATTGCCAAGGAAAGATATGTTATAGATATCCATATTCTAGATATCATAGCCAAAATTTATAGGATTTCATTAAAAAATCACAAAGTTATACATAATTGAAATTTTGATAAAGTGGTGTAATATCGACAAGTAAGAACTATATTATAGCTTAATACACTAGGTAAACAATTTTTTATGAAATCATTCAACCACAGAATATGTGTGGGACTAACATTTGATTTGCGGTCTAAGCACTATTTATCATAAGGGCTGTTTTCTTTGCAAGTCATGTGTTTGATCCTAAATTTGTATGTGACAAGGAGTATGGTTATTTGCTTACCGTATTGTGCCAATATTCTGGTGTTTCCACCCCCCTGATTGCATGTGAATCAATTAAAGTAAGAGCGAGAAGGGGTTTAAAATCAACAAAACACAAACTAGGCCATTTCGGGACCATACATTCGTCCAGAAAATATCTGGTTATTGATAAGTCAATATGTTCTCTCTCACACATTTTTTTATACTAAATGTCCCTTTAACATGATATTTAATTACTAGTGACATTGATAGAACCATTAACCAAATTTGGTGATAATTCAGATAAACAATTTAGTACAATGATATATTTAATATAGATTTCCATAAGACCTCATAAACATCTGTCCTTTGCAGTGATTCATGTCATATATATGTTTTTAATATGAATTTTTTCCGATTTCTATTATTACTCGTAATTTAATCATTAATTCAGTGATATTGAGGAACAATATTTGTTTTAGATTAATAAACATGAGTTGTCATTCCTATTTGAGTTATAGAAATGTTTATCAGTAATTATTTTATGGAGTTTGGAACTTATGTTTGTTTATCATCTAATCACTCAGGCAAATTGATATAAGAAAGCAGTATTTATTCAGAATTGCTAAACATTAGACCTTGGCTCAAATTAATATCTTTTGAGGGCTCCAATGTTATTTCTGAAAACCTCGTTAATATTCTGCTGGATGATAATTTCCATTTATAATTCTTTTTCTGTCTTGTTTGCCATTCATTTAGCATACTGGAGTAACAGTCATTTATTTTTCCTTAATGGAGCCAAAGTTGATTTTTAATTAGAAATCTAAAGAATCGGTAAGCATTTAATTACCAGTCTTACAATTAATTGAAAAGTTTTTAATTAGTGATCAGGACTATTTTTAGATTCTTGTTAAAACTAGTGTTATTTTAAAGGAACAAACTAAAAAGATCGATAGGAATACTTGTGTTGCCAAATATTAAAATGAAACCACATTGGCTCAGTGAGTAAGCTGCTGGCTTACTAAACAGGTGGTCTGGAGTTACCGATGTTGGCTGAGAAAATACCCCAGGATTTTTCAGCGTGTTTCGACCATGTCATTGGTTCAGGACGGAGGGGCTGTGGAGAAACATCAACTAGTCATTTGGATTGGACAAAAAAACAAGGACATTGGCCAGCACGTAAAAGAACCCTTTATAGTTGGAATTCAATTGCTGTCCAGGCAAAATTTCCCTCATAGCACACTGTATGGCTGTCTTTATTAGCCTGGTTGGTGGAGAAAAGTAGAACCTTAAACCCCATTTTATTCATTCATTCATTTATTCAAATGTCAGATGCGCCTATGATGGTGGATATTATCACACATGCCAGTCTGTAAAACATTGAAATGGAAACCCTGTACTACAGTCCCCTAGTTGAAAGATAAGATATGGGCAGACAGCCTTATGAGAGCAATTTAAACCAACCTCATTGGACAGTCAAGCCTAGAACGATTGCCTACGTGTTAAACATGCAAGGGCAAATGGCCCTCAATAATGGCAATGCTTTGCTAGGTAACCAATCATACACATGCCTTTTTATGATCCATGTGCATGTCTAGGCCATCACATGATTGTTCAAAATGACAATTCTTTCGGTCGGTTGTATTGCTTTAATTAGGGATGATGGACTTTTAGAGATTCAAGGTGTTATAACAAACAAAGCACAGAGGTCACAGAAACTACCAATTATGGTTTGGTTTTCATGAACATTTTTTCCTTCATATTAATCAAAATCGAACAGATGATGTATTGTGGTTATCCAAATGCCATTATGGCTACAGAGAGAGAAATGGGGTTTAATGTCCACTCAACACAAACTAGGTAATACCATAACTAATACTTTATTCAATTTTGTTTCAACAATTTTCCAGCATGTAGGGTTCCTTAGTGATGGGAGGAAACCCACAAGGTTGAACCCTACTCCTTGACTCAGACCACTTGACTCGCAGAAAAACCTCATGATCCAAAGCACACACATAAAACCATGCAATTTCATTTCCATTGGACATAATTTGGAATTTGTTAAAAGTATAGATGGGTTTTTGAAACTTTGATTCACTATATTTAGGAGTATAGATTCTTTTACACTGTCACAAAATGTTGCACCGTACATTTGAAATGGGAAATGAAATTGATTTTTTTCTCTTATTTTGCCACAGAACATTTTTTCTCATAACATTACTTTTTTAAGGATTTCAATGTCATCTTCAAACATGATCCCGACAATTAATTTTCTGTGAGGAAGAAAAGAACGTTTGTTTGTGGTCTGTACAGTCTCTGTAGGCCCTGTGATGGTGTAAAGTCGGTTTCTAAATTAACTATCAAATCTTCATTGATCTTTGTCATGTAGCTAGTTGACGATTGTTTAAAATCGGTTAATGATACAAAGGCTGTTTCAACACCAACTGATGTTTTCTACGTTGTATCATTAGCCGTTTTAGGTTAGCCTTTTTTTTCCTACTTCAAAGATTCCCCGTTTTCTCACAGATTGTATTGGCTTGGACATTGATTTTCTCAAAAGATAAATGTACCTTTTCAATCTTTTTCACGTCGTGTTGATGAAAAACTGTATTGATGTCTAACAACAAATGATTGTCATTGTTATTTTTTTTTGTAGAAGGAAATCGAATGGCAATATCAGAGTATTTGTAGTAAAAATGGAACAATAGTTGTAATCTGTCTGGTTTCTCTGGCAATATTAAAGCCAAATTAAATTTTTTATATACCAGATTAATATGGTACTTTATAAGATAGTATAATATTACAAATTCATAGCACTATTCAAAATGCTGGGAAGTTGTTCTGTTTCCTCCCACTAATAAAGACCCCTAGGCGCAAGCGAATTATTGAAATAAAATTAAACCATATGTTAGTCCCGAAATGACCTAGTTTGTGTCTGGTGGACATTACACCCGATTTCTTTCTCTTTAAACCCCATTTCATTCTTCTGAAATATGAAGATCTCAACACTGGGGCGCTCCACTCTAATAATATATTAAGCATACTGTTTAACACTATGTAATTTGTTTTTCAGTATCACAAGACAAAACCTAGCAATGAATTAAAGGTTGAGAAAAAGAATGTTAAAGAGATTTTAGCGACAGTAAAAAATAATATTGAGTTGATGTTGAAAAAGAAAATAGATGCTGTAGAGGTAAGCATATTTAAAATTTTACTTTTATTGAATTAATGGAGGCAGATTTTGTAAATTTTAAAAGTACATCCTGTAAGAAGGCCAATTAACATTTTTCTTATTTAAATAAAGGCTGGGAAATGTCCGTTAGATAATAATTTAAGCATAGGTTGTACTCAGTGATAGTGAATAGAATTGAGTGCCGTCAACAGACTGTATAAAGAGGAAAAAAAAAGAAAATGCATTCAAAATATTGTGAACTCTGAAGGGACATAACTTTCATTAATATTTTTTGAACGAGTATGCTTTTTAGTGTCTATATTTGTTATTTATTTAGGACAGCATATATTTAAACTTACGCTATATAAAACCTACCACTATCTCAGCTTCAAAGCCACTTAGAATCGCAAACTTAATGTCTAAATCTGTATTCTTTTGGTCAAAAAATACAATCATACCATCTAGAAAAGGCATCAGCTAGTTCTTCCAAAATTTATTTTGTATAAAAAAGGCTCCAAACCAGCCACAGTTTTGTGTAAACATCTGGCACTGTTATCTTATTATAGTAATTAAATTAGAAAACGTACATATATGTGTTAAATATAGAATGAAGTGTATGTTTAAATATGATTAGACCTGGATTTCTACTAGTCTTAATTAAATAAAACATTAAGACACTCGGAGCTATTAATATATTTTGTTAGTAAAACGTTCATCTCATATTCTGTTCCTTTGATACATGGATGCTCTGCCCACCAAGCATTAATAATTGTCAACTCAGAGATTTTTTTCCTCCTCCAGTTAAAAATAAATATACTAAACAGCAAACAAAACGTCAGTACAATTTCAAAATCAGAGAGGCACTTTAATCAAATCATTTTAGAAAACGACTTTCTAAATGGATCATAGCAATTTTTTGTGAACAGAATGTTGACACATTAGTGATTAATTCATCACGATTCCAAGACATTACGTGAAGGTTTAGAGTCTGCACACAGTCTATACATCAGTATCTGGTGTGTCCACCGCGAGTGTCAATAACAGCAGCGCAGCGTCTGTACATGGACCAGACGACTTATGAACGGCATTGACACCTGGAACCACACTCTCGGAAAAGCCTGGCTGTGTTTGGGCTTGGTACGACGTTATTAAGTCTCATCCCAAAGATGTTCAATCGGGTACGACGTTATTAAGTCTCATCCCAAAGATGTTCAATCGGGTTTAAGTCTGGACCAAGAGCTGGCCAGTGCACAACGTTGACACCGTTCTGCTGTAGAAAGTCCTGAGCAACTCTGGCGGTGTGGGCACGGGCGTTGTCATGCTGGAAAACGTTGTTTCGATGACATGCGAAATGTCGTATGAAGGGGTCTGAGAGCTTGATTGATGTAGCGCACTGCTATGATGCCACCTCCACTCCCTGGACCAAGATTTTGGAACCCACTCTCTGGTTCAGGCTGATTCCACCCCAAACCATTATGCTTGGACCTCCCCACGAGTCTCGTTCCATGACACATTGGTCAGAATAACACTAGCCACGTCAACGCCATATTCTGGTTCTGCCATCTGCAATTGATACACAATACCGACTCTCATCTGTGAACAGAACAGTTCTCCATTGCCTGTGTCGCCAGTTCTGGTGTTGTTGGGCAAACTGTAGACATTCATGTAAGGTCTACGGCAATGGATGTTCTCTCTAGTGAGATGTCGGTGCACTGTATCGCTACTGATGGGTCTCCGTGTGTTCCCACTGTCTGACGTGCTGTCTCAGATGCCTGTGTGAAGGGATTCTGCACGTTCTGTCACACAACATGGCGGTCTTGTAGCCTTGTGGTAACCCTTGGTCTACCAGTTCGGGGGCGATCATCGGTGGTATTGGTGGCCCAAAAGCGTTGCTGAAGCCTGTAGATGGTCCGAACATTGAGCTGGAAGTAATTGGCAACGGCTTGGGCGGTGTGGCCAGTGTCGAGTCACATTACCATCTCAGAAGTCAGGTTGAGTTTTTGAGAACATTTTCTGGGTCCAATTCTGTGTTTTGGAAAGAGCCTTATTGCTCAGGTAAAGTTGGAGATGTGGTCACAAATATACAATAAAAACATTTGGCAAGTTTTATGCAATGTGTCTATTCAGAGTAACATAAGAACCAGACGTTTCTTTTGCTGCTTAGTATATATTTACAAAAAAGGATTTCAACTCCAGACAGAGAAAACCTATAAATTCTGTGTTTAATGTGAAACAGCATTTATCTAAAGATGTGCGTTCTAGTGGACCACACATAGAATTTAAGTTAGTGGAAGTAGGAGGGGTATTTAGATGGACCTCAAGCAAGCATCTCCTTTCCCCCAGCCCTGTCCCTGCAGCCACAATTCTGTAGCCTTAGATCCAGTACTTTTATTTTCTTATATAAAGTTGAATAATTCAATCCAGAATCATATTTGTGCTCAATTCCCTGTTAAAAACAGCCCCAAAACAAATGACGAACACAAGAAGATTGGTGTAAAATGTAATTTATTAAATGACAACTGCACTATGGATTCTCACAGTAATTAAATGTATCGTTAGTTAGATTACATTAAGAATATGTGCTTATTAAAACATTCAGTCCATTACGTGAAGAACCTCATGCTTCTGAGGTTGAAATAATTGATGAGCTGAATTGAAACCCATACATATTATTTCTCCATTAGAATATTTAATATCTAAGAAAACTGCCACAAGTGCATCTATTATAGCTAAGATACTAGGTTCAAAAAGTTCTACTATGAGGAGAATTGATATAAAGTTACAAAAACTATAAAGCTTATAAATGGAGCATGAAGCGCCTCATCAATCTTGTATTAGGAGGAATTCCACTATGACTTTATATGATGCTCGCGTGTAGTTATTGTAAATTGTCATAAAGTAGATCGAAGACCCATCATCTAGTCTGTGGTTCTGGATGGAGTCATTATTCTTCTAGATAAGTGAAGGAATTATACAATAGTTTATGACTGAATTATCTTTTGGCTTGTGCAATAGAATGGTAGTTCGGTTTATCTCTTTCTTAATAAGATTGTTATTTTCCTTAACCGTACTTTTATCCATTTTGATTTTTTTCAAAAGCAATGCAAATTTCTTAGAAATTGTTTTCTAGTGCTTTAGAAAAAGTTTCATTTGTAATGAATAAACAAATTGATTTGTTATAGTTTCTGTGGCAGTGATCTCTTACTGGGGAAATAGCTCTTTATATAATGAGAAAGTGTTGTTGTCCCCGTCTTTCGAAGAAAGCAGGGGATTATTAAAAAAAAAAGTTTGGCTGACGTCCGTCTGTGTATAGTCAATCTTTCCAGAACAGCTGGTACCACTTGCCATTGCTTCATTTGGTAGTACTAAAATATTGTACCCTAAATAGGGGTAATCAACTACATAATCCATAAACAATAAACGCCGAAATAGAGTAAATGACGTTCCCATGGCAAAGTAGTGAGCAGAATCTTGCTGGCGCATTTTGTCTAACACTAATATGGTATGGGTAGGCATATATATATATTCATTGTCAAATCAGATTTTGATGATAGGATGTCTTTATGACAACAGTATCCCTTATACAAGCTTACGCATAGGAGCCATGGTGGCTTGGTGAGTAGGGTGCTGGCTCACTAACCAGGAGGTTCCGGATTCCATCCCAGTGATGGCTGATAAGGGGAAACCAGAATGGAAAATCATGAATCACTTTGTCAGTGGTACCCGTCTTCTTTAGCCCAGTTTAGGAGCAGAATAGTAGGACATTAAACTCCATTTCATTTCATTTGTCAGTGGTACTACTTGTTTGAATGTTGAGGAAGATCCCTGAGATCTTGTGTATACCTTTGCGAGCATATGTCATGGCAATATTTCTCTCATAGCACACTGTATGTATTTCTAGATATATAGTTGACCGCTTTAGGCATATCATCTTCACACATGTTCTGACTGACTGTATGTGATTTTTTCACCTTAAGTACACTAAAATGTTAAATGGTAATGTGTAGCAGTGTCAGAAGTTATGTATAACAATGATATTGTGGAGGAGGTAGAATTGATTTTGCCGAATTCATCCATTGGCTTTGTATCTTATCGATTATGCTTGACTTTAATTCCTACTCCCTTGATTGTAAGTGATGTTAGAATGCAAAATCCTTTAGAGGATTGTGCTGCTGGTATGGTAAATGTTTGTCCTCGCTTTGCACATGGAGGGAATTAAGTAAAAATTACCATATCTATATAACACAATACCCTGACTAATTCAACAGTTAACGTGCAGAACTCCATTTCGGAACATATCATTGCATGTTTCAACAGCAAGAGTCAGATATACTGTCCCACTGAATTCTTAATGTATTGTATGGATAAGTAATTCCTATTGGGGTATAATGATATTGACCACTGGTGGCATTATTTGATCTTTCTATGTGATATATAGACAAACTATTTGTATAGTGTTTGTTCTTGGAATAACTTACAAATATGGTGAGAGTTAGAGTCTAATTATTAAATTCTATTATTGATTTATGCAGTTACGCCAGGGAATTCAATGTATATAACCAGAAACATGAAAATTGACAAATTAATTTTATTTGCCATCTCACGGGGTAAACTAATTTGATAGCAGCTTAATTTATAACTGGCTTTCTCCAGCAACTAATCTATAAACGCATTCCATGTATTTCTCTCGACATTACTTATTTGATTCCAAATAGATTACAGACCTAAAAAAATGGAAACTGGAAACTTTCCGGCTTAGTTAATAGTATTTATTTTTTGAGAACCATTTTTAGAAACTGTTGGATATGTATTTTTTAGGATATAATACAGGTTTTCCCTGATCGCATCCCAAACAAGAAAAATAAATGCAAAGGTTGTCTAGATTTTATTTTCTTTAACCAAAGTCTGCTTAGTATATGTTTGCCCTCTCAAGAACATTTGATACCATTTCTGTTTGAGTTCATATTTTTTTTTTGTACTGTTGTATTTGAACAACTGGACTGTGGTGGTGGTGGGGGGGGGGGGCAATTTTGCACACGACAGGTGTACGCTTACTCTTTCTAGGACACCTGATAACACTTCTATGAAAAGTTCACATAGCAAAGAGACTTTCATTGCAACAAGATTATTTACCTGGAGAATGGTTTGGATAATCTTAGTTGACATTCTGTGACTACAGAATAACATTTTTAGACATTCAAAAAAGAATTTAGAAATTTCTTAGCAATAATGATAATACATGTTGAAAATAAAAAGGAACTAAACAAAACAATAGCATAAAATTCCGAAAAATCTGTTACAAGAAGTCATGTTTATGGCATAGAATTAAGAATATGAGTGCTGAATGTGTAGGACATAAAAATGTCAGACAGATGAAATTTGGAGTGAGAGCCCTGTCTTTGCACAAGATTTAAAAAGATAGAGAGATTTTTTGTGGTTTACTGGAAGAGACAGAAGACATTATGGCAAAGACCATAACAAATGAGACAATTATATCACCTTAATATACATACATTTCTTAAGACAAATTCTGATTTGTCTTGGTGACAAATACATGTGTTCATGCAAGTTTGTATAATTCGGGTATTAAGGTAAAGATTTTTTACTAATGGACCCGGCTTCAAGTCAATCATGGAGTTAGAGAACCCGGATAAAGCTTTTACGCATCTCTTGATGAACATGTAAATTTACAATCCGTCCCTTAAGGTTAATGTAAATGTACGACAATTTATCTATTCCGAGTGATTTTTCACCAACTAGAACTGATTAGAGCTGTGAAGCCACACTATTGATCTTATTGGATCTGCAGTTCATGAAACCACTCGCTAACAAATAATAATGTCGATCCAATGGATTTCTAGTTATCTCTTCAATATTTCCGCATCCATGCCAACTTTGTCAACTTGGGTCTTCAAACCCGAGACAACGAGAGTGCAAAACCTACAAGATATGGATTATTTTAAGTCAAAAACACACACGTTTATCAGAAAATCAATGTCAAATTTCATGGAGAAAAAGAAAATGCAAGCACATTTAATGGTTTTATTTAGCCTATCGGGCTATTAATTCTAACCCTAACGTCACAAATTTTATTCATTTTTTTTCTAACTCGATATATTTTGCTTGACCTTGTGACTTCTCTACCATATAGAATTAGATTACTGACATGATCAATGAACATTATGGGTTTTATTCAATTTGATGCATTGTCAAAATATTTTATAGTTTTGATATCAAGTTCTTTCGGTTTTATTTTACAGTCGTTGTGTACTTGTCTTCCTGTTCTGTTCATTTCTTGAACATTGACCAAACCTTAAATGGATTTTCTGCTTTCCCTTTACCTAACACTGGCGTGAACTGAGAAGAACCTTTAGAAGTTTTTAAGGTTTAGCTCTCAGTTGCCAGTGTATCTACTATAGTTTTTATATGATATAGAAAATAAGATGTCAGATTGGTAGTTTATGTAAAAGATGCACTTGGAATTCGAAGAGGAGTGTGTGGAAACTCCAGTATTTGGACAATATTCTCTGTTACATAGCACATGTAACCAAGGGTTAATGTCCACTCAACACAAACTAGGTCATTTCGGGATTAACATTAACATATGGTTCAACTTTATTTCAATAATTCGCGTTGGGGTCTTTAGCAGTGGGAGGAAACCGGACATATGAATATAAAAATAACATTAACTGTGTTGGTTTTAAAATTGCCCAATATTAAACCTCACTCTAAGGCTACCAAGAATTGCCCAGATTATGGGATCATATCAAAAGAAATTTCTTATCTTCAGATTATTGTCTCAGTTAAGGCAAAGTTTTAAAGAGTTTGAAATGTACATGCCGTCCAGATTTACAAGATGCTGTCTCCCTAATCAGGGGATCCAGGGTTCAATCCCAGTGTTGGTCATGAAAGTTTCTTGTGATTTTCCAGTGTGCTTTCCCCTTGTCAGTGGTGCAGAATGGAGAGCCTGGTAAGGAACAGTGTCTAGTTGTTTGAATGGAATGGGAAACTGTGATCCCTTTTACATCGTGAGGTGCACATAAAAGAAACCTTGACAGTTGGAATTTGAAATAAGAATAGGACTTAGTGCCTCTGTTCGAGCAAAATTTCTCTCAAAGCACTCTGCATGGCATATGTCCATCTTGTTTTGTCCGGATGATGAAGAAATATAGAATTTTAATCCTCATTTTATTTCTTTTTATTTCGAAATTTACAAAATATATGATTGATAGAGTAAAAGTTGATAAAATAATATAATTAAATACATAATCTTGACTCCTGCCCTTGACTTTGCAATTTAAAAAGCAAGCTATCTTTTGTGGCGCCTATATTTCTGATTTATAGAGGCTGTATACCAATTTTTTGATCGGAGGTTCATTCTCAAACAAAAGAAATGTCAAAAGAAAATAAATCTAACCATGCATCTTACTCATATATCTTCTAGTATTTGCTATGAAATATTTATTTTTTTGTTTATTTAATGATGGCCTCGTATTAAATATCTGCATTTTTCAGAATTCATTGTTTGTATTCATTTCCAGTTTTGTATCAAATTTCAGTTTTGCATCAGATGTACGCCTGCATTAGGTTTCATCCAATTTCCTGCATTATGAATGATTAATTCCATGTTTACCTGAAAGTCTCGGAAATTGGTTGTCATAAAGTTTGTTTTATGTGTCTGTTTATAATTATAAGGCACTGATTTTGTATTCATAACACAATTTATTGTTCAGACATGATGGTTTTCTTAATCTTTGAGAAGGATGCGGGAACTGATTTATTAAACAATATGTAGATTATATTAATTGCTGGACAAAATATAGAACAAACAGGACATGTATATGAATATTGCAGAAGTGAGAATCTTCAGTAATAAATACACGCTGGAATTAGCCTTAAAACTATTTAATACCAGAAAGCTTGATTATACATGGAACAGCACGTCTGATTAACAGAGTGACTGTTTTAGAAACAGCCTAAAATCTAATATAATAAATTCGGTATTTATAGAAGTGTAATATCTAAGGATTAAAAATTACCAAACATGATCACAATCAGGGGAAAGGAGAGGTGATTTTTACGGTCCACAGGACATAAAGTAGGTCATTTGAGAACTAAAAGTACATCTGGTTTAATTTTATTTCAATAAATTGCTTCCATGTAAGGTTCTTTAGATGTGGGAGGAAACTAAAGGACCTGGAGGTAACCCACAAGGTTGGACAGGCTGCCTTACTCCTTGTCATGTACAAGTGTGGGATTGAAATTATACCACTTGACCCCACCTCCCCCCACCTCCCCCGGGAACACAGTGATATATATATAAAATACAATAATTACAATTAATGGCATAAAAGCTTATTATAAATTCAAACTATTAATATTAATGTGTCGACTGTCAACCCATCTGTCACCAAGCAATAGTGTAAAGATTAATTGCTTCAGGTCTAATTAAACACCTGAATGAAATACAATATTTATTGAAACAACACCTACAGCTATTAGATGCATGAATGAATTAATAAAGGGATGAATGAATAAACAAATGAAGGAAGAGGTAAATGAATAGAAATGTATCCCTATTACAAGATCGTACAATCAAAAAATATCAAAGTGAATGAGCTACATGAACTCACCACCTACATGTATGTCTCCCTCTCATAAATGATCCAGTGGATAAAACCTTACTCAGACTAGAATCAATGAAATGAAATATCAGTAGATGAGGTTAAACCAAATAGGGCTTGTTATAACCATAGTATTGATACCAAGTACAACAAACAAAATTGTCTTTAGATTTAATGTTATTTAATTCACTAGCCTTCTTAAAATTTGCTGCTCTTTTACTACCGATACTGTGGGCATTTTGAATGCATATCATTGTGCCACTGGCATCATAGAAAGATGACAACTTTAATCTTGTATACATTGGCGTTCACATGAAAGGTCCTTTGGCAGTTGAAATTCGATATAAGAGTAGACAGTAGCGCCGCTGTCTGGGCAAAACTTCCCTCATAGTACACTGTATGGCTTATGCCCGTCTTCATTAGCCCAGTCAGAGCAGAACAGTAGTATGTTAAACTCTATTTCATTTCATTTTGCAGTCATTAGCCCGGTTGATGCAGAAAAAGTAGAACATTATAAAATCACATTTTATTCATTCATAATTGTAAAGTGCTGTTGAGCACTCTTTGTGAAAACGGAGGAATTATCCAAAACATTAAAATGTCGAATTTTCCAAATGGATGGATTTAAAAAGTAAAGAATTATATATAATATACTGATAGAACTGGAGACTTAAATCTCTTCCGGCTCTTTATTTTTTTCATTTTCTCATTGTGTCAAATTACATTTTTCTCAACCTTAAGTTGAATTTCTTTTGAACGATATTCTCGGCATGCACATGCTTATTATCTTGTGTTGCATAATTATCTTATAATTTAGGGACCAGTTCAAAATGATTATAATGTACTGGTGTCAGCAATTTATTTACTTTCGGATGATGATATTCTAATTTGTATTACTTCCTTGGACAACTTCCAAATCCTCTTACGATTTCTCATTCTCGTTTATAACAGCCTGTTCTAGAACACTACCAACTAAGCTCTTGTTAAAAAAAGATTTTTCAGGATCCCAAACACTTTTAATCCCTAATTAGACTTAGCCGGCATTGGAGGAGAAAGGCTTTAATGTCCTTAATCTCTCTTTTCTCTGAAGTTTGTTCTTAACAATTTCCTTTAATTTATATTTTTTTTGTCTGTTACAGAATTTAATGAAAGCATCGGAAGAAGCGAGCAAGAAATACGGACCATACAATAGCGATTTAGAATCAGAGGTAATGGGCTCGGAGAGCTATTTTTCCATCTTAATTAAATTGTGTTCTCTATTAGAGAAAGATTTATTGTCGGATGTGAAATGGACTTTAATGATACCTTAGAGAGTAAATAACAACTTTATTAAATTGGTCATTACTCATCATGATTTTGTTTTCCATTTGAGGTTCAAGAAGCTGGAGGCTCCCAAAATACTTTAACAATTTCTTGGAAGTTTATTAATTAAAGGCCCTAAAAAAACTAAGGTAGTACAGATTTCAGCTAATCTAGCCTAGCTTTGGTCTGGAAATTAGATAACTCTTGTCAGGGATACTCCATCACTACAAATGTCTGGCAATTACATAGCTCAGTCAGGGTTACCCCACCACTAGAAATGTCTGTCAGAGTGTTTTTGTAATACCTGAAGATGTACGGTACATTGCTGTGCGATTTTCATGTGGTACACTTTTGAGCTAATCTAGACTAGTTGGGGGGCATGGCATTTTGGGCGGGGAATCCCACACCCACCAGCAGAAACCCGGCAGACTTACATTCTGATGATACCAGATATACATACATTTATACCATATAAGAGAAAATTGGTACACTTTTCAGCTAGGTTAACCCCCTGGGCTCCCGCTCTTTAAGTGTATCACATTAGCAGCTTGTGACTTTACAATCCTGTTTAGACTCGGCAGATGAATGGCTTTGTTCATTTAAAGATACGGACCCAGGTATATTTTAGAGTATAAAACTCAAATATTCTGTGAGATATTGGCTCAGAGAGAAACATTTAAGTCAATAAAATGCAACTGTCTAGGGCACTATGACAAACTAGAATATTAAATTACAGACATGATTATCCAGACAACGTAAATAAGTTTGAAACCTTGTCACCAATCATACATGGAAATATATTATTGAAAAAGTACCACAGATAGTAGGAAAGGAGAAGGCTAAACGTTTAGAAGAATCCTTTACACAAATTAACCAGTTATTGTGACTAAATTAAGCCTAGGCCTGGGATTGTCTCTATAAGTGATTTTGACAATCTGAAATATCTATTTTTATCCAATGGTATACAAGGGACCTTTATTTTTTGTCCCATTCGAACAACTGAATACTTTTCTTTGCAAGGTCCTTTTTCTTGCATCACTTAAAAGGTTAAAACCAGGTTGACACTGTGATTGAACCGAGTCCTTAGCCAACGTTACTCCCACTGAAGGAACAATAAAATGACTTTTGTTTAATTTTTGTTTTAGGAAGTAGAATATTACAATGCTAAGAAGCTGGTTAGTGATGATGATATAGATGATATGGATAATGAAACAAGAGTAGCCATAACACAAACCATTCTATATCTGCCCTTGAAGAAAAGTCGACCGCATAATTTTAATCCTGTCAACATGAGTGTTAGTACCATTCATGTTCCAACAAATATATATGATAAATGTAAGTATTTATTTACAACTTATTACAATTTCTTTTCGATTTCCATTTGGAAATTGAAGTAGAGTAGTCGAAAGACTGCTGCCTCAACAAAATTCTACTACCTCACATTGCACACACATAGAAACAAAGATGACCATATGTTTGTCCCTTATCTAGTGACATTCAATTACTTTTTTGAATTATCAGATATCCTCTCATGGCCTCACATAACAATTTTTGGTCTTCCAAGGTATTTGGAACGTGTTTAACCAGTTCTACCACATATGTGATAATGACTGACACCAATATTGTCCTTTAACATAATCATGTTATGTAATGCCCAAATATATTTACATTCTCAGGAAATACTAATTGTAACTATCATATATATATATATATATATATATATATATATATATATATATATATATATATATATATATATATATATATATATATATATATATTAACATATAGATTCACCTTATTATATAATGCCCATATATAATTACATTCTCATGAAATACCAATTATAAGTCATATACATTAGTGTATAGTCATTGGATATTAACAATGTTTTATCAGATATAGATATATTAATGACAAGATTAAGATTAGTAATAACTATGTTTACTTACATCATCAAATTTATACATGTATTTACACAGTATCAATGCAGATCATTGAACAAATAACATGGCTAAGGCTTACAGTAAATATCTGTTCAATTATACTGGGATTATTATGGGCTGTCAGAATGTCATAAACATTTTTCCCTGTTTTGAAGTGTGTCATTTCTCTTAGAGAATCCAGTAAAATCTTGTCCTTGTCAAAAGATAAGTATTTTCCATTACTTGAAATGTTAAAGTTTTAATCTTGAAAACTATTGATATATATTCTGTAATATAATCATATGCTGTTCAGGCACAGCATGCCTTATACACAACCTCAAGAAGACCTGAAACCACCTTTATGCTCATATTTTATGAGCTTTAGATCATAAGGCCTGTCATTGAGTCAAGTGGCAAGGTTTTGATTCCCAGCTTGTACGTGACAAGGAGTATGGTCGTCTGTCCAATACCATGATTTTTTTCTGGGTCCTCCAGTTCCCCCCATTGCTAGCGAATTATTGAAATAAAATTGAACCATATGTAAGTCCCAAAATGACATAGTTTGTGCCGAGTGGCTGTTATATCTCATATCTCTCTCTCTCTCTCTCTCTCTCTCATACAAGAAGCAAGAGCTGTCCATTCTCTTACAAGGAGTTAGGCCTGCCCATTCTAATACAAGGGGCAAGGCCTGCCCATTCTGATACAAGGAGTTAAGCCTGCTGATTCTAATACAAGGAGTTAAGCCTGTTCATTGTAATACAAGGAGTTAGGTCTGCTGATTCTAATACAAGGAGTGAGGCCTGTTCATTCTAATAATAAGGTGGGTTTCAAGATGGTTAATATGGATGTTGTTTTGGGTGGTTGGCTGATCATTCTGTGAAGTGGAGGACCTCTGATTAAAGTTGTACTTGTTTAATAATGTTGGTTATATCTGGATAATATGTTGTTTCTTATTTGTTTCCTCTGGACCTGGCTCCTCGTTCCTCAAGTAGGATTTAGTATTACTGCTCTAAATTTATCTGCAAAGCTAAGAAATTGGGTTTATTCTAGGTTCTCTAAAGTTAGCTACCAGTCAAACACATTCAGTTTAGTCTTGGTCCTGTGAATTTGACTACCCATCCTATATTGGATTTAGTGTGTATCCTATGATTTCAGTTTCCCCTCTAGATATGTGTCACAAGACTAAGTCTTCTGTTTTGGGTTATCCCAGGGAATCCAATAGTCTGAGTCCTATATGAGTAGTCTCCTATGTCATGTACAAGAGTGATTAGATTATACCCTGGTTGATTGGATTATGGCTTTAAGTCCATCCTTTATTACATGAATAGATCATGATATGAAGATTCTATTGAATTTGTCTGGTCATAGTTTATGTTCAGTTGACCACATCATTCAGTCGTTTTTTTTTCCAATATGGCCAGAAGGTAGCATGGGAATGTGATATTGGTAGCAGTATTTTATTACATTCAGTATTAATAATCTTAGATGTTAACGATAGATGTTGAGAGTGACCTGGTCATCAATATCAAATAATCTTTCTTCCAGAAATTTATGTAGTTGACAGAAATAGAACAAGATCAAGTTGGTAGGGAGAGAGATAGCGAGGAATGGGGTTTAGCGTCCAAACTACATGGATGCCATTGGTCCGACCCAAAAATTCTAACAGTGTAGGGCCTACGGGTATTTGGGGGGCCACTGAAACTGATTTTTCATTAAGCGTTCCAATGTATAACCTTGTTTCTATGAATTTGGGGGTCCACTGATGAGTTTTCTTAATTAAATGTTAAATGATCAATTTGATATTATCTAAAATATGCAAATGACTATTAGTGGCGGGGATCATGGTGGCTAAGTGGGTAAGATGCTGGCACGCTAGCCTGGATGTCGGGTGTTCGATCCTTGCATTGGCCGAGAAAGTTCATCCAGATTTTCCAGCGTGGTTCCCCCTTGTCAGTGATGCAGGACGGAGGGCCTGACACGGACAGCTGTCTAGTCATTCGGATGAGACGAAAAACCGAGGTCCTGTGTACACATTGGCATGCACGTAAAAGATCCCTTGACAGATGGAATTCGATATAAGAGTAGGCCGTAGTGCTGCTGTCCAGGCAAAATTTCCCTTATAGCACACTGTATGGCGTATGCCCGTCTTCATTGGCCCAGTTCGGAGCATTTCATTTCTATTAGTGGCTTTAAAGATTTGATTTTTTGTATTTAAGACCTTGGCTTTGAATTTTTCAAAAGGATCTAGTTGAAGTTTATACCCATTATAATCCCATATCCCATATTTTAATAATATTATTCTCCTTTCAGCATCAAAGATATTGAATGGTGTAAAATGGACAGAGAATTTAAACAATGCCTTTATGGACAATAACCGCAATGATCCTACACTAACATGGCAATATTTCTGTAGTTCTGATGGATTCTTTAGAATATTTCCTGGTAAGTGCCAACTATCTACCCAATATTGTCCTGAAACAATATGCCACCATTAAAAGTTCAAGTAGAATTAAATTAACAGAGCAAAAATAGAATGTACTTTTCAGCACATCTTTAGATCATGTACCCATTTACTTACTGCTCTGCCATTGCAATATCCTTTCAGTGTCCTGTTTGGTCTATTTAGGCCAAAAGGAATAGGATATTACAGATATATTTGGTTTATATTTTTACTGAAAAACATGAGTCTAGTTATTGGAATAGAACACAAAATACTTTACATAAAACAGGGGCCCCCACTCTAGGAGGTCCGGGCCGGTTCTCTTCCCTGGTGCCTAAAAGTTTTGGAAAAACTAACTGTAAATGATGCTTTCTAAAGTTTCTAGCTTATGCAAAAGTTTAGCACAGAACAGTCTTACCAGTTCATCAAAAACAGTGTAAATTCAAGACTAAAAAGGTTTTCAGAACTTAAAATGGCTCCAAAAATATGTGAGAAAATAACTTTTTTAGCTGCTATAGTATAGTGATGGTCCGATATGGCACCTATTGGTTTTACCACTATCAGATATTGACAGCAAAATATATTATTGGCCGATACAGATAAAATTACCGATAGTGGTGGATATAAAACTATTACACATTAAAATGTCTCGAATGGCATGATAATCTATGTAGATATTTGTCATTGTTAGTCACGAAATGTATGGTACTACTTTATTGTGGAAATCAAACACGAACACAGTCCTCTTGAAGTAATAATTGGGTCACGCTTCCTACGCAATCAAAATATGAAAAATACACACCATCTATTATGAACTTAATTATTTGCTGTACTTGTATCATTAATTAATAAAGTCGAGATTATTATTTTTTAGTGTTGATTACGATATAATTCCCTGAAGTGATCGGCACCAGTATGTCTGAAATAGCTAGGTGCCAGAATGGTTCATAATGAATGATACATCAAAGCGATAGCTTCCTGACCTGTCTGTCAACAGAGTCATTCATGTGACATTCTCCCGCCATTTCTAGAACTATAGTTAAAAATAGAATGTCTAATGGGAACTTGTGTGTTGGTGATATTATTAATTAATAAAGTATGATCTATATTATGGGTTCTTATTTGTTGATACAAATTATGTAAAAAATTTAAAGTAACCTAGCATAACAATAGAAATCACTTGATTACTTATGACATCAAAGGGATACCCCCCCCCTTTCGTCCTTCGTTACAATAACGCTTAAACCATGTGATATTTTCCCGCCTTTTCCAAAAGTTCTACTTATTATGATAGTGTGCAGCCAATACCAGTAGTGAATTAAATAGATAAAACAAAGTACGTTAGTAAGAATTGGAACTATTTCAGAATAAGCGACAGTGATCAAAGTAAGGCCAAATGAAAACTTGTGACGGTATGCAATGATGAACCATTGTTGACATCTTTAGTTTTATTATCGTGAATCAATTTAAATAAACAATTCAATAGCCTAATTAGGTACTGTTCTAGTTTGTGATCTTGTAGTATTAGCACACATTGAAAACAGTTCGAAGAGAGGCCTCCACGACGTCTCCAATTCTATGATTTTGATCATTATGCAATTGGCTTATTCCCTATACCAATCAAAAGTTTTATCAGGTGGACTGTTGTATGTTAATGTCTGTCTGCACATGCGCAGACATGGTATTCTCAAAAATCGTGTGAATAAGTATTTAAAAATTAATGGAGACCGGTAAGGATTTTGTACTGTTTATTCTTTCCTTGTTATGGCCCCCCTATGAGAGTCTAATATTACTGGTACGTCAAATAGCAACGCACATGGCAACCAAAATAAAACTTTTTTTTAGGTTTCCGTACGCGTGGCAAATTAGATAACGGAGACCAGTAAGGATTTTCTACTGTTTTTTCTTTCCTTTTTATGGCGCGTGGCTTTTTAGATTTACCATATGCCAAGCAAAATAATGATTTGTTCACAGCTCAGGTAATATTTTAAAGGTATTTACCGAGTCATTTTGAACAGATATCGGCAACTCCACTTATCGGCCAATTACCGATGTTGAAACCGATTATCGAACCATCACTATACTCACAAGCTCATTCTCAATCCATCTCTGACATGATAGAATGAGTGTCACTCTTAGTCTAGTCTCTGTTTATAACACCTATGCTGCTAAACTGATTAATTTTGTACTCAATGTTGAATTTTTGAAGTGTTATTACTTCAAAATGGACATTTTTTAAACAAACATTTAGATTTTACCTCCCATGTGCCATGCATTTCAATTGTTTCAAAATTATCCATTATTTCTTCAATATATGCTTGATCATTATCTCTTTGTATATTGAAACAAAATATTTGTGAGCAACAGACCTTGTAATTAAACTAGTTCCAGCTAATCAATAAAAACAGATCTACAAGTAGAATTAGCTGTTTATTTTAAAGATTTGTGCAAAATTCCAGCTTTATAGATCGTTTTTGTTCTGTGGTGCTATACTTCTCCCCAAAAAGAGAGAGAGAGAGAGAAATGGGGTTTAACGTCCACTCGACACAAACTAGGTCATTTTGGGACTAACATATGGTTTAATTTTATTTCAATGATTCGCTTGCGCGTAGGGGTCTTTAGCAGTGGGAGGAAACCGGAGGACCCGGAGAAAACCCACGAGGTTGGACAGGCGACCCTACTCCTTGCCACGTACAACCGGGGATTCGAAACCACGCCAGTTGACTCAACGAAAGACTTTATGATACAGCGCGCGCACGCTAACCATTCAGCCATCCAACCCCCCTCTCCCCAAAAAAGGATAGACTCTGTTAGCGAGTCATTAAATAGTCTTAATTTTATCACATTGATCAGCAGTGAATATATTCGCTAGGCTGCGACAATCACTGATAAGGATGACATCGATGCAACTTAATGAGCCACAAATATTAAAGTTTTTCCTCCGACAAATTAAATTCTAAAAATAAATTTTCATGTATTAGAAAAATAAATAAAGACGTTCGAAGTATTAGTAAGTATTAGTGGGTATTAAAATGAGTAAAAGGCACCACTCTGCTTGAATCAGTAACGTCTTTATGTAAACAATGCATGCGCCATTGAGCCAATGATTGACGCCGCGTGATATGATGTCATGTGTTGAAGGCAGTCATCTTTTACAGAGATATTGGAAGACTTTCTAATACTCTGTGAAACAGATTGTAATTTATATGTAATGGTAAAGTGCCAGTATATAATGTTGTCAAAATCTGGGGAAATTTTTTTTAATGCCCACTCAAATGGTTGTTGAAAACCAACTTTTATTAGCTACAGCTGAATTACAAACATAGCTACATGAAAATTACTGCTGCTCAGCCTGCCTCCTCATGCCCACTCCAACCTTTCTAAATAGATTCAAAGACACTTTCTTTATCCACACTGGTTAAAAATTGAAGTAACTAAATGCTAAAATAACAAAATATTCCAAAACTGCAAACAACCCTTTCCCATTGAGTTTTTGATGGACTCTGTCAAAGTGAGCAAGAGTAGCAGTATACCCCATACAGTGTCTAAACTTTATAAAAAAAACAAAATTAGTGAAGTAAACTTCAACAGTACTCCTATAAATCTCTGTCGAGAATTGTCCTTGCTTTTTTGGGCCCCCTTCTAGAAAGTTTTGATTATAGGGATATTTAAAAAAAAAGATTCTTATAGTATTGAAAAGTAATTGTTTCAATTCTTTTGACAGGTAGCTGTCAGTTAAATGAATATATAGGTTTAACATATTAAGATGTAAAATAAATTTCTAGTAATGCAGGATTGTCACTGCCCAACAAAAAATAGTTAGAACAAACGATACATGCACAATTAACTACTCATACACATATCACGTAAACTGTAATAGTTTTATAACCATTAAAATGTTTGACATATTTTCAATCAAACATAAAATACTAAAGTGTTCCTTATATTGATCCATTTCTGTAGTGTTTTTTTTCTATTTCATTCTTTGATTACAGCGTTAAAAGCTGCTTTTAGCTTTATTGATCTCTAATCTACTAATAACGGCACATTTGTTTATAATGCACATTGTTACATGCACAGAATACTGTACTGTGAATAAACTGCGAACCTGTTATCATTTGATTAAAGCTTGACGCAAATATGGTAAATGATGTGGACGTAATATAGCTATTCCGTATTCTAGTCATAACACTGGGTATAAAAATACACAACTAAATCAGCAGACTTGCTAGCACCCATGACATGAGAATTTGAAATAACGAATACAATAACAGCAAATGGTTGAGTGTGAAACATCGCTATCAATGAATAAATGACAAAAATAAAGAAAGATGACACGATTGTAGTCGGAACTCGGAACCCTTTTACTCGATAACACAGCTTCAGTTGCAATAGTTCATGATTTTTATAATGTGAAAATGTAGTCATCTAGCAGTTCTGCAATTTGACTCAATTGAAAGCAAATATATGTATACTTTATAAGCAGTAACAATTTTTGTACATGAGGTAGGTCACATGGCTTACAAACCGTTTTTGTCAGTATGTCAAATTAGAAAAAAAATGTTTCACTCAAAATTTTGTGAAATAGTCTTAAAGTGACAGATGTTGTGTTTTGGGCAGGGCATGCATGCTCCTGTCAGAATAGCTGGTACCACTTCTCATTTATTCATTATAGCAAATAAAAATCCAACTCAGTAATTGGCCATTTTACTTTCAGTATTATGTAGTGACAGAATATTTCGAACATCAGAATTTCTGATTATTTTCTTCAAGATTAATTGTAAATTCTTGTAATACTTTCAGGAATGAAATGGCCAAGAGATCCAGACAGTGTTGATACATTTGACTGTCGAGTAAGAAAATGGTAAGATATCTTCCCCAAACAATTAAGTCATTGTCATGCTTGGTCTTCCTCACGGTTGTTCTATACTCAAGGACAGCACATGTTGAAGTAGCAAGGAAAAGCGTTGAACTGAACAAAATAATGATCTTATATTTGAGTCGGTAGAGTGATGCAACAAGAAATTCAATTGCACATTTGAAAATGATGTAATTGATATCAAACAACACACTTTCTCACATTTCAAAAATGTGTTGGAACAATTTTTCGTTAAGTTTACAGAAATTTCTGTATCCTACTTGATCATGTAAACCTAGATTTTCTAGATTTTTCTGCTGTTTTAAGCACTTATTCTTTAAAATAAATAATTATTTAATGGCAAGTAAATGGAATGACAGTTAAATATTAAAACTGGAGCCTGGTTATGAAACCCGTCAAAGTTAAAAGAAATGAAATGAAATGGGGTTTAACGTCCTACTGTTCTGCTCTGGCTGGGCTATAATGAAGACGGGTATACACCATACAGTGTGCAATGCGAGAAATTTTGCCTGGACAGCAGTGTTACGGCCCACTCATATTGAATTCCAACTGCCAAGGGATCTTTCACGTGCATATCGATGTGTACACAGGACACCGGTTTTTCGTCCCATTCAAACCACTATACGTTGTCCCTTGCCAGGCCATCAGTCCTGCACCACTGACAAGGAGGAACCACACCCGAAAATCCAGATGAACTTTCACGGCCAACACAGGGATCAAACACGTACGGGACCTCCAGGTTAGCGAGACAACGTCTTACTTACTGAGCCATCGTGGCTCCTTAAGTTAAAAGAGCCTACAGAAAAATGACTTGAATAATAAGTTAAGTGTTATTGATTATAGGTACATTGAAGCTGCTACATCATCTAAAAACATCATCATACTATTGGATGCTAGTGGCAGTATGAAAGGACTGCGCATGGATATAGCTAGAAATACTGTAGATAAAATCCTCGAAACATTCAGCAATGATGACTTCTATAATATTTTACAGGTAATTAAATTGGTGAAAATTTTATCCTTTTTGCGTATTTCCCAAAGATTTCGGATGGGTTTTATGTTGCGTGTATTGGAATGTAACGTCATGGATTATTGCCCCTGATCTTACAAAAAAATCACATTTTTAGCTTGTGCACCCTCAAGAGGACACAAATTCTAAGCGATTTTGATGAAACTTAATATATTTGTTTACTTCCTTGATTATTACTCCTGATTATAAAAAAATAACATTTTTAGCTTGTGGACCCTCTAGAGGTAACAATTTTTAATTGATTTTAAAAACTGTTCAAATATATCTTCATTAAACCATAATCATTGATGAGTTCGAATGTTGTGTAGAAATCTGACCTAAACTTCCTGTCAAAGGTGGGGGTCGGCCAATTAAGTTCATATTCACAGGGTTTGGTCGACCCATCAAGCCTATTTCCCCATCCAAAATTGCCAATTTCAGAAATCAATTGTTTCCAAGGTACAGACCGATTACACTTTTCGGCTGATTTTTGCCATTTTCAGGCCAAATTTTAGCTATTTTCGTCGCACTACTACCACTGTTACATGACACTGGCGAACTAGGTTTTGGTTGTACATGATAGTCAGGGTCTTACTCTATCACATTATCATGCCCGGAGACTACACAAGAAATGTGTCTGGAGATACCTGTCCAGCGTATGCACATGTGACCGTTAACATATAGCACATAGTTTCATAGTAAGCACTGCCTTATATGGTAAGCAATTTCATGCAATAATCAAGATCGCGGAAAAGTGCCACTGTAGATGGGAACTTATATATGCTGTCTTAAAAGACGTAGTTTCATTACAGAAAATAAGTTCAAGGTTTAATAGTTAATAATAGACAGAGGTTTTGAAATTTATAATGACTGTCCATTGATTCGGGGTGTTATATACTATTAGAAGAATATATGACATCAAGGACTAGTTTCTATGTGCTGTCGGTTGATATCAATGAGATTAAAATGTCCGTCAATAGAGAAACCACCTAGATAATCATGTAGATAAGGTGATTACTTACTATATTAAGTTTGAAATTTTGAATATTATTCACCATATCTTGACATCCGATTGTGCATATTCCTCGCTGGACATTTGGAAAATAGCGTAGGATATGTCCGGAATGTACGTGCGAAATCCCAACACTTAGAGGAGTGAAGAAATCAAAAATTGGCGCGAACAGTGACGAAGTTCGTCACTTTCAACACAAATTTTCATAATGTTGACGGTTAGTTGACAACGATTTTATTTTATGTTGTTAGCACGGATCAAGCTGCAAATAAAATGATTTCCATTTTTATCGCAAACCCTACTCCATTGAAGTTATCGCAATTTGAAGAAATGATATAATTCAGGATCTCTGCAGACACGTATTTTGTGTAGTCTCATGACACCTACGGAAAGAAGAGGTTGCACTAGGTGACCATTATAATAGGGTAGGGTGAGACCCAGACTATAATCACCAACCAAAACCTAGTTCACCATTGGTCGATTAATGTTTGTAGCAATGCTACTAAAATGGTCGAAATTTGAACTGAAAATGACGAGGATCAGCCGAAAAAAGTAATCGGGCTGTATCTCAAAAACGGTTGATTTCCAAAATCGGTGATTTTGCCCGGGGAGTAGTTTTGATGGGTCAACCAAACCCTGTAAATATAAACTTAATGGGCCGACCCTCACCTTCGAACCTTCTGCATGTTTTTCTCGTGGAATGGCTCTTAAAGACAACTGTAGGGCATATCAAGAAATAATAATAACAGAAATAAAAATCAACAGTAGGACATCAAGAAATCTCGAAGAACAAAAGTAACATTTATCAAAGACAGCAGTAAGACATATCCAAGACAACAGTAGGGCATATCCAAGACATATAAAAGACAACAGTAAGATATATCAAGGTCACATTTGTAATATGTAAATTTAAGGCTTTCGTGAACAAAAAAATACTATTTCCTAAATCATACAATAGCTTCACTAGTTAAAAGGGTGGCTGCCTCTGTTCTTGAAAGCTAATGGTGAAAGTTTTGTAGTTGTGTATATTTGAAACCTATTTTAGACTTGATAGTAAATAAAGCATACACCATTAAAACTGCTAAAGTTCTCCTTTAAGTCCATATTTTATTTATTCGATGCAGATAACATGTTTTTCTCTCTGTCAGTTTTTATGAAACTCTATTGTATCTCAAGTTTATGAGTCAAAGAACAAATAGGTTGCTTTTATAATATGATATGTTATGGATGAATGAACATGTTCCCTGCAAATACAATGGCAATTGAGGAATAATTTATTGCTGTTGTAATTCATGGCTGGCTTTGGTAAATAATCACTCGTTATTTTGATTACGTTGGTTCAAACAATTGATATATTACTATAACCACAGCCAGTAATTTATTAGTGGCGTCATGTTGCTTACATATGGCATTGTTTTTGTTTATCTACATTCAGCTGACATTTATGCTTTATAGGACACTGACGAAAAGTGGAATTATAATGTTTTTGTCCACATTTAGACTATTAAAATGGGTTCGTCTGTCTGTCTGTCTGTCTGTCTGTGTCTGTCTGTCTGTCCGTCCGTCCGTCACACTTTTTGGGAATAACTCTCCTTCTAATCGAGCTGGATTAAGTTGTTCAGATAGCAAAACGAAAAAAATATTTGATAATGTTAATCACTACTGTATATGCATCATGGGTTAAGTTTAGTTCATAGTCCAAAATGGTGGACGGAGTTTAGAATATTTGGATCAAAAAGCAAGAAGCAATATAACTGTATCTCATATTCAAACATAGAAAAGGTTATCTTTAGGATGAACACTAAAACTATAAGCAATTTTCCAAATGTCTGACCAGGAATATGCCCAATCTGGGTGATAGGTCTATATCAGGCATACAAACGAAGAGAGATTAACAGCAAAAACACCTTTTTCTTCAAAATGGATGAGTCCTCTAAGTTATCAGGTGAATATACACGTGAGTGCTGTTTACTACGAACACGTGTCACATTGACCCTAAACTTGTTTGTGTATTCTTCAACATGCAATAGACGGAGTCTGATGACGAATTGATAAAGCTAGTCAAACTGCCGAAATGTTTTCCTGATTTTTCTAATGAAGACATAAAAGATACTAGCTGTTTTAATTATTTAGCATGGAGGTTAATATCGCAATATCGCAATATTAATCTCTGATGATGTTACAAGCGGTTAATATCCAAAATAATGATCATGGAGATCAATAATTATAGCGTTGTTTGTCTCTTTGTGTATGGATACATGATTTTGATGAACTTCTCTTGAAGAGTACACCCATCTGCAAAATATACAAACAAGATTCCTCATGTTCAGCTCATTGGCCATCATGTATACATCATTATGTCACACATTCTAACAAGTTTGCCCTTTATCATGCCTTTGAGCACAATCACATTAGAGTATGGATGTTGTGATTTTTAAAAAAGGGGTGTGGGGTGAGGGGCGAGGTGATTGCATGCACAGACTGGGCAGATCCCCCACACCTCAGATACATGCTTTACCCCAACCCAACCCTTTGGATCCACTCATGGTTCAGATAAATGTATCTTGTCAGTGGCTTGATGGGATGGTTTCAGCAAGCTTTTGTAATGGCGCCCCATTGGGCTTTAGTACTTGCTTGTGGTCTGGGAAGCATTGTAAACCTCTGATGTACAGTTCTATGCCTAGTTATCAGGACAAGCATCCTTTTGGAGACTATGGAGTGAAATGAAATGAAATATATGTGGGGTTTAAGATACTAATTTTTATACGCCCACATTTTCATGTGGATGTATATTGTTGTCGTCCCTGTCTGTCCGTCCTTGGGTCCATGTGTCCTGTGTCCATTCACATTTTGTTTGTGGACACTCTACAGGTCACAATTTTTATCCGATTTTAGGTTTATCTCCCAAAGATCTTGGTTCGTGTTGCTATTTGTGCATATCGGACCGTAACTTCCTGGATTATGGCTCCTTATTGTAGGAAAAATCACATTTTTGTTTTAACTTGTTCTCTATCCATCTCTTGCAAAATTTGGGCGTATCTTGCTGGCAACTGCTGGTTGCATTAAACTTACTAATAAAGATGGGCATATGCCACCAGAGAGCTGAGAGGGACCCTCTTGATCGGACAGCTGCGTTTTTTCCTTATATTCATTAAATTCCATCTGTCAACCTATATACAGCATCTTGGATTTTTGTCCCATCCACACAATGAAACCCTGTACATTGCCAAGTCCATTGTCCCACACTACAGACTTTCTTGACAAATACCTGAAACGATCTTTGGACCTCCTGGCTACTGAGCCTGCGCCACACTATGGCTCCCTAAGAAAATGTTGCTGTTTTAAGATCATTTTGCTCTAAAAATTACTAAAATTCTATTTCCCACATATCTTGTACCTATGACAGCCCTTGCAAAGCTTTGTAAGGAACCAAATGTTTATCATTTTACAGTTTTTGCTGTTTTGAATCCGTTTAGCTGTTAGAATTGTGTACAATTCCATCCCTTGCTATTGGTAGAAGTAGCCTTATGAGTTTTGTGAGCATGACACTGAGAAAATTTTAAAGTTTTGAGCACATTGACAACTCATATTTGACTGCTGTCTGCACCTTTGGAAAGCTTCATAATGAACCGATTTTAAACATATTTCATATAATTAATTGATATAATTCCATTATCAATATTTTTTAAAATGTTTTTTATTTAATCTATTTCTTTTTCAGTTTTCGGAAGATGTTAGTTACGTAGATCATTGTTTTAATCGAACATTAATGCAGGCAAATGCTGATAACATCAAACGCGTCAAAGAAAAATTACTCAACATTGAAACAAGTCAGATTGCAGACTTTGAACGAGCTTTGATTGAAGCCTTTGAATTATTTAAAAGTGTAAGTCAATGAAGTGGGATTTTATCTCTCTTCATCGTTTGTTTTATTTAAATAAATAGACCAAAATATATACCTTGACGTCAATTGTGATAGTAACTAATTAGAATAAGTAATACATGACCATTTCCTTACATTATCATCACACTTCTGTGATGCACAAGCTTCTGTGTTTGTAGGAATATGTACTACGTGTACGTCATACGTTCCACATAGTTGTGTCATAGAACAGGTTATGCATTTGTAAATCCACGGTTATGGCAACGACACATTTAGACAGCTAAGTATTGAACGCAGAACAAAACCAGAAATAACCCAATGCTTAACACTTCAACTCGGCAACTGCTTACATTAACTGACCTTGAGAAACTTCTACATTGGTTAACAACTATATATTTTTTGGCCCCAGATATATAAATTATTACAACTATCAACGATTGAATCTGCAAACTCCAAAAAACAAACATTTTTTTTTCTATGGGGGAACATACTAAGCAAAAACAAGGAGAAGTCATTGGATTCAGTTGGTTAGTTGTTTAGATGTAAGGAAATAAGTCATTAAGAGTCACAATGGATATTGAAGATAAACACCACACATATTCTATTTTTCATAAAGTCATTATCGTTAATAATCAATGATTATTTGATTATTCACTTAATATTGTTTTAATAATTACTCTGTGATTCTTATTATTTTGTAATTATGTATCCGAAATTTACATTCTGTTATTATCTCAATATTAGTGGAGAGTTTTTAATAAATATATCATTGTGCTGTTATAGTTAATTGTCATTATCAAATTCTCTTTGATTAACTACAAACATTAAAAGAAGATTATCAGATCAGCCTGTGTGCCTTAATTACGACTGTATGTGTACACAGATTAAAAGAACATTTGTCACGCTTTTTCTGGAATTCTTATATAAATATGACCTGTCATCTTTGATCTGGTGAAAAATACAACAACACAATTTAATATAATATGTTATATTGTTCTCTAGGCTGAGATGACAAACTGTCTTTTTTCAAAATTAAAAATGAAATTGAGAAAACTTCAGGCAGTAATGTCAGTTTCATTTGGCCTTGCAATCCTTTTTATTTAGTGTAATCATTATGTTTCAAATGGTAATTTGTAAAAATTGATATGTTTAGATTAATTAATTTAGGGGCCCACCATCTGCAAAGCTATTTGGAAATAAGTGCTGCATTGAAAGCTGCAAATTTCTGGCCTGGATGGTTATCTTCTATATTAACATTAAATTACCTGATGATGTATCTATGAATTTAAAACCTTTGGTGATATATGGGCTTAAAGGAGTTGGTGCTTGATATGATAAGAAATTAAGCATTCTGGGAATTTTATAATGCTCCCAACTTTTTGCTCCCATTATGAATGCGTAGGACTTTTTGTGTTTAAATTCTAATGAAAATTTCAATGCATGCAGGACAAATAGACTTAAACCATTTCTGGCTTTTGTTAAAAAGTAAAACTGATGATGTTTTTATTATTAACAGGAAGAGAAGAAAAGAAATATAAGTTTATGTAATAAGGCCATTATGTTGGTCACAGATGGTGCCACAGAAAACTATGAATGGATTTTCCAGAAATATAATTGGCCTTCAAAAACGGTAAAGACTTATTTATGTCTTATTTAAATTTAAATGGCTTTTGATAATTTATGTAGAATTGTTATCATACATATTTAGTCTTGACATATTTTAAAGTTTGTTTACTTTTATGTTAATTTACTCTTTTTGATTTGTTGTTTTAATTGAATTTGTGATCAATTTGCTTCCATTTTTGGTCAGTTCTAATTTCAATCTGCTTCACATAGATATAGTTAGGCAGATATATGAGATTGCATGGTTGGGGGGGGGGGGGTTGGATGGCCAAATGGTTAGCATGTGCACGGTGTATCATAAGGTCAGTTATTGAGTCAACTGGCGTGGTTTCAATTCCTTGGTTGTACGTGACAAGCAGTAGGGTCGCCTGTCCAACATTGTGGGTTTTCTCCGGGTCCTCCGGTTTCATCCCACTGCTAAAGACCCCAACGCTCAAGCGAATTATTGAAATAAAATTGAACCATGTTTTAGTCCCGAAATGACCTAGTTTGTGTCGAGTGGACGTTAAACCCCATTTCTCTCCCTCTCTCTTGCATGGATTGGCTGTGGGTTGCAGCATAACAATTTCCTAGAACGTAAAGAGACCTTGCATGTACTCTACAGACCAGTGTTCTCAAAATTTGTAAAACTGTTTGGGATAGTTGATTGTTCACTGTAGTTTATTAAAACTTGTTTTAAAATTAAACAGGGAGTTGTAGCATCTGAACCAGATGACTTGTACATTTTCTACAGTTAAGAGTTTTAAAAAGCATTGCCACTGCTGTTGGTAGGTGCCATTATAGCAAAGATCACTCAGCAGGGATTTTATGCACTTTAAAAAAATTTCTATCAAAAAACAAAGGATTTGATGGAACATAAGATAACAAGGATGAAAAAGAAGCAAGTGAGCATATGATTTCTTGATGCTTATCAACCTAGGGGGTTGTGTGTCCGAATGGTCTGTCATTGAGTCAAGCACTCAAGTGGTGTGGTTTTGATGCCCAGTCTGTACGTGACAAGGTGTAGGCTCACCTGTTTAATCTAGTTGGTTTTCTCTGGGTCCTCCAGTTTCCTACAACACCTAAAAACCCTCATGCGCAATCAAATTACCATATGTTAAGGTAATCTGGAAATTACCAAGTTTTTTCCAAATGGACTTTAAACTCTCTCTCTCTCTCTCTCTCTCTCTCTCTCTCTCTCTCTCTCTCTCTCTCTTATATGAACCTGTATTATTTATTTATTCAGGTGAGAGTTTTTACATATTTAATAGGAAGAGAAGTATCAGACGTTCGGCAAGTTAAATGGATGGCATGCGCTAATAAAGGTGATTTTATCTTGTTTTTTGTTAATTAATTAAATTAAACTGCAACTTGTTTGTTTATTTATATGTAAGTGAATCATATTAAAAAGTCTTGGCATTTAGGAAAGAATTGTCTATAAATCCATTTACAGTTACACTTATCGAGGCCAGATTTGTGCTGCATATTGTTTTGCCCAACTTATATTGGTTCCCACAGGATGTTTTCAGCACTAAATTACCCAGGCATCGTGTTTCTTCATTTTCTAAATTAACCACAAAGTTCTAGACAAATATACTTGAATATACAAGACCAGTTATTAAGCATGGAATCACATAGAGCACAGAAACTTGTCTTCTAATATTTGTTTGTCCTGGTCTTATTTAGTATTATATTTCTTAGTTTGGGCCTGCATTTTATTGTAAATTAAAAGTGCTATACCAATTAGCAAATCAAAGTGCACTTAAAGGGGAACACCAACGATTTTCAACAAGATTTCCATAAATCATAAATATATATTCATACACATGTATAATCCCCTCTGTAACACAAGCAAAAATGTTTTTGTAAGCGAGAAATTAATTTTTTTAATTAAAACCGGAAGTGACATAGTTGGTTCAGCACGCTCACTAGTCTCTACAGTAAGCATACAGATTTGGCATAAGTTTACTGCTGTATTTTGTTCACACGTAGATGTTTGGCTAAAAATCTAATCAAATGTACTGTTTATTAGGATATTATGAACACGAATTTATGTTTAGTACACAAAGCTGTCGCATAAATTCACTCATACTGATCAGTACGCTATGACCCAATTCACACCACATGGCTGTCAGCAGACTCAGCACGAACAAAAACATTCAAGCAGATGAAATATCTCTCACTTAATTACCGGGTGTCAAACAAACCATGTGATGTAAACAATTAGCTATGTGGCGTGAATTGGTCCACAATATACTGTTTAGTATGAGTGAATGTATGTGTTAAAAAAAAAGATAATTCCATATTTATAATATCCAAATAAACAATCCCTTTGGTCGTATTCTCATTCAAACAGCACACTTATACCAAATTTATATGCTTACTATACAGACCAGTGAGCGTGTTGAACCAACTACATCATTTCCGTTTTTAATAAAAATTAATTTCTCGCTTACAAAAACCTTTTTGCTTGTGTTACAGAGGGGATTATTTATCAATATATATTTAAAACTTATGGAAACCTTATTGAAAATCGTTGGTCTTCCCCTTTAACAAATTATGGTACACTGATAGAAAATCGCAGTACATTTGGCAAAACATAGACTATACTACAATAGATAAAACAGCAAAACTACTTTGTTAAGCATACAAACACAGCACCACAGATTATCAGAAATGTCATGTTGAATGGCCAAACAAAAATTATACATTTAGATTAATTTTACTTCAAGACATGACTTTTATTTATGCCTGAGTAGAACTATAAATGTCGAGCTTAATTTTTATGTTAAATTAAACTTTGATGGAATTTAAACCTCTTTGATTTAAGTTAATCTTTGGTGTTTATTTCAATCAATTATTGGGTAAACTTGGTTGCTGGTAGAGATGATAAATGGTTTAATTTTTCATTTGGATTAAAGGAACTAAACCCCTTTGATTTATATCAAAATAAACTATTGAATTGTGGTGGATTATTTCGGTAGATGTTTGTTTCAAAATATTAAACAGGAATTTTAGCTAATTCTACTTAACAGTGGAACACAAAACCTTTATAAAAATATATTAGAGAAACAATCACATTTCATTAGTAAATTTTCAGATTTGAGTGTTGTAACTGTGACATGAGTAAAGGTGTGTGTGACTGTCAAATTTTTAAGAGAGAGACCAAAACTCATATTATAGATATATATTGATTTTATAAAAGGTATAATATTTTGTAAATTCAGGTCATTTTACACATATATCAACAAGAGCAGATGTTCAAGATAATGTTCAGGTAAAAAGCCAATTAACCTACCTTTTATTGTTATTCACCTGTTATTACTTTCTTTTATTACAAAGAATTTGTTCAATTTACATATATATATGTATACAATCTTATTTATTAAATATCACTTGGCTGTGGAATATTGTATTTTCTTTTCATTTTATATCAGTATTGATTAAGTATAGTTGATATAAAATACAATTCAAGTGTATTTATTTATCTACATGTGTTAGAGCAAAGTAGCTGGACAGAAACACAATGAAATATTTACTAAAAACTTTTTCATTGAGAATTTTTAGGAGACAAACCTATAAATTTTTGACTTTTCTGGTGGAGGCAGACCGCCAAAGTTATTTCCCTTTGGCTTTAGAGTTAATTCTTTTCTCTTTGCCTAGCTGTATAACTAGAACTACACCCCAAATGCTCTACCACAGACATCTGGCAATGTGTATCTCTAAAGCTTGTATGAGGTTGACCATGGGAATTTTGAGATACACAAATTGTATGTAGCAATAAGCTATTGAACAGATGACCGTAACCACCTTCGTCCTCTAAGTTAGAATAATCACTGTAATCTGGGCAGAAAATGCAGTCAATTCAAACCCTCTTATTCTGTTTTATACTAAAAATCGTCATGCAAAAGCAGGTTGGGTGGGGTGGGTGAGAGAGAGAGAGAAGAGTCATAGAAGACAGGACATTTGTGGGTTCCAAGATAGATTAAGAAATTGGTGGTGTACCTCCAGATATTTGTTCCCTTTTCCCCAGTACAAAATTTCCAGGGTCCCCCTGCGTGTACATAAAGCAGGTGTTATATACAAAGATATCCATTTAGATCAGGTAATAAAGCTTTGATTATCATATTCTAATATATCTCAGCAATACGTGAAGATTCTAAGTCGTCCAATGGTACAGGAGAAATATCATCAAATGATTTGGACACCTGTTTATCTAGACTATCCAACAGAACAAGTTGAAAATGAGGTAATTACATCTAATTATTTTTTTCTCTTCTTTAACATAAAAATATTATTTTTTTCGCCATCTATTATTGACTCGATGAAATACCTTGAAAAAACGAGACATCCATCAGTAGACCTCATATTTAATGTATGAAGTAATAAGCCAGCCATAAATTCACATCAAATATGATATATTGATTAAGTGACGCGTGGAGAAATAATGTATCTTTAACCCACAAAGCATGATGGTTGTGATTTTACAATGTTATCTTGGAATGATGAAATAATTATCTAACTATGGAAATAATGGGGTGAAATTTGCATATTATATTCTTGGGTTAATCCCACCAAGATGATTTAGAGTAGAATGGGCTCATATTAAATATGAACTTAAAGGGTTAATATGATTATGAAAGAGCATCAGTTTAGTAAGCTGGAAAATGATGACTTCACAGCCTGCATTAAGTAATACATAATGGCAACTATCTTAAAATTAGAACATTGTCAAAACATTTTTACATACAATAACTGATTTATGTTTTTACCCTTTTTATTGCTTCATCATATGTAAATAATCTTTATTAAATCAACCTGTCAATAATATCATTACGAATGTATTGGATGTTAAAATTGTAATCAACAGCAAAATGCTTTGCTTTGAATTATTGCGAAAGATATAATGTTTTTGGTAAGAAGTAATATATATTTCCTGGCAATTTTGTTATGTTTTCTAATCAGTGGTTATGTATTAAGCATCATGATTTTCAAGTAAATATATCTTTAATCTCTCCAGAGAGTTTGTGTTTCAGACTCTTGTCCTACTTCCATTAGTCTTCCATTGATATAAATTGATATAAAATAACTATTTACATTGTATTTTAATTACAGGGACTCGGTCTGATGACATCAGTTTCTATTCCAGTTTTTGATGGAAGGGAAAATGTGGTAAAGTAATCCGTTTCAATCTTTAAAGAAATATTCGTGATATGAGAAAATTTGAGGTTGAAGTGCAGAGGTTTAATATGCCCAGGGCCAGCTATTGATTAATGCCTCCCAGACTGAAGTATAGGGCTTATGTACTCAGAAATCTGAGAAAGGAAGACATTATAAACATGTCAAAACAGATTAAAAATAAGTTTTTGCAATCAAATTAAGTATTGTTCAAATTAATTTCATTCTTTGATTGGATGTCCCCTCTGTCCCTCTCTCTGCACATCACTGCTAATAATATCAAATACAAATAGAGAAGTGTAAGGATGTCTCAAAAATAAAATATGTAGGCATAACTAAATACACTTTTCAGTGTATTAATACTGGTAGTAGTCTATGTCATTCCAGTGTATATTGTCTCTGCCAACATACAGTCTGGACAAAATAGTGCTAAATTCATACCCTTATTCCCGTATGCATTTGTATTTTTAAGCATTATTAACATGGGGATTGAATCAACATTTCCCTTAAGTCATTGTGTGAACTGTATACACAAACAGCCTGTTACTGTATAGAAAAATTGTTGCTATTTTGTCCAAAGTCGAAGTGAAGACAAAATAGGTTGGAATGACCAAATTAAACGTTATACAAATTGATTTAGGAATTAAAGGGAAGGCAAAATAGTTGCCAATCAATGATGATATAGTTACAGCATTTATTAGATTATTAACTATAAATCGAATCTTATTGAACAGGGTCCTGATGAAGAACCACCAAATACTAATTTATTAGGTGTAATAGGAACAGATTTACCTATAGATGTACTTAAAAGATTTATACCAGTGTCAAAGGTAAGTCCAATCTGATTAAAGCACAGATCCTATTTCGTTTTGTTTTTTACAGTTCAAAATTTTGTTTTATTTGTCTGTACTACACTAGGATCTGGAAGAGTTGTTATATAATCAGCGTTCTGGATGGCATTCTGGATTAGCCAATGAAACCATCTGTTATGGTGACTTCTTGGCGTACCATGCACGGAACTGTGGGTAAATCACTAGAAACGTCAACGCTGATTGATTAATCAATGTCTGACGTCATAGGGTCAAAAGTCACCCGCATGACCCCTGACTTTACCTTACATTACAACTGGTCAGATCTTCATGTAGTGTAGACCATCGAAAGTATAAAAATATGAAATGAAATAAAGATCTGTGTTTTAATCAAGATCTGTGTTTTAATCAGATTGAGGTAAGTCATTACCTCTATATAATTCCTATTTTTTTAATGCAGAATTTGGACACTTTTATTTAAACCTTTCCACCAAATTTTCAATTTTCATCTGGCTATCTTAAAGATAATCTATTGTTGATCGAAACATATATTTACAAATTTGCATATTATATATATATAATTAATGTTATTTTTCAGCTTGGAGTTAACGGTTATGCCTTTGGAACTACAAACAATGGATACATTCTTTTTCATCCTTATTTCCGACCATTTGTAAGTAGTCTTTCATATAGAAGGATGAATATTCATTAATTATGTTCATTGATAAATCAAGAACAGATATATACTCTATCTTTATTTGTGCCACTTTATGAGTTTTTTAAAAGCATTCTAGATATTTGAGTTCTATTCGCATTAAGTGCAACCTAGATATATGGTCAGATAAATTAAACAAAGTCGACTTCAATCTTAACAAAATAAATGGAATGTAGAGGCTAAAAAACAGGTAATTGTACATAGGGATAAAGAGATTTTGCCTGAATTGCCTTGGCACTTTTTTTTACCCCATATTTGCCAGTAGCATGGTTCCTGTCTGTTAGAAAATCATATTTTAGGAATTGGACAACTGACTTGGCTTGAACACTTACTAACAGAAGTCTATTCTTTCAAATTTTGAATTCCCAGTATTGCCATATTGGCATCATTATATATATAGAATAGTTTGACTACACTTGGAACAAAATATGATGTCCTATAATACTGTTATGTACAGTGTTAAATGAATTGAAATGGGGTTTATGTCTTATTTATCTGCACCAATGATGAGGCTAATGAAGTGGGGCTTATGCCATGCATTGTGCTATAAGGGAGATTTGGAAACCTAACAACAGTGCTATGACCCTAGCTGTCAATGGTATTCATCTCATTCAAATCACAATAAGATGCTTTCACAAGCTTAGATTAGTAGGTTGATCTGACTTCAACTGCTCTAGGCCTACATGCAAACAAATTATTGAAATAAAGAAATACCATATGTTAGTATTGTGTGGCCTTTAAACCCAAATTCTCTCTTTTTTCTCATATATTCTCCTCCTTGCTAGATTTTTATAAAAATACAAATATCTGTGGTATTATTGTAGTATGATCGTGAGAAAGAGGATGACAATAATCTGTATATATATCAACTAGATACAGTACAAGATAACGTAGAAACAGAAACAGAACCACGACCCAACTATAATAGTGTAGATCTATCTAAAGTAGAAATCTCTCTCGATCCTGTCAAATTTGTACAGGTAATGTGTAAATATTTTAATCATTGCTCCATAGTTATTTTCTCTGTAAGCATCTGCTTCTGAAATCGAAGTCCAGACATTTTCACTTCCAAAATTTGATGATATATTTCATATACAGGATAAGTTGCTCCACACCACTAGAAATAAACTGTATTGAATAATCATTTGTATCATGTCATTCGATGAAAATATGGAGGTGAGAGCTCTGAAAAAGTTATGTATTCCACTATAAACTGTTTTGGTAAAATTTCCTAACAACTCATTATTTTGAACTCGAACATCCAGACTAGGTAAATATACTATTTCTTTTCATTTTGGCATATACTATTCATGCGTAAAGGATCCTTTCCAATGTGTTACTGTTATTCAATGATTATGATTATTCAAAATTGTTTTAGCTTCGTAATGCCATGAGAGATCCTTCAACAGGAAGTGTAGCTATGAATGTTACAGCTTATGTGGATAAAATGGTAAGATTATATCATACCCCTTGTATAGACAAATATAACTCTAGAACTTGACCACTGCAGGCAGATGAACAATACTGAAAGTTTATTTTTCCCTGCCTCAAAAGTTTGTTGATAACCTTAGATCCTAAAAAATCTTTGGAAAAGGACTAATTGGTTTGGTCCAACCATTCATCAATCCATCTTATAAAACTTCAGAAGAGAGTCAATTTGCTTGTTGAATGATTTGTTAGTTATGTTCCTCTTGACCTTTTTTTGTTTCCATTAACAGATTTTTAGTAAATATTTTCTCATTTTTAGCTTCGGTCAAGTTTATTTTTAACATGCTATCACACATATTTCAAACAGCCTTTTGATCATGAGTAATATCATATTAACCAGTTATTTTGTGAATTGATTTGTAAGATTTGAACAACAATAAAGCCTTATAAAGTTTGACTGCCCAAATTTTAAAATAATTCAATCTTATATTTTTTGTAGAAAAGGGCTGACACTAGAGTTAATCATTATTATTATAATTCTATATTAGATACATTTAGGTGAGTATATTTTGGTAATTTTTGCGAATCAGTGAAATTATCCTCTCTATTAAATGACTATTGAATTTCATGTAATAAATGTTTGCCTTTATGAATTACCAAGAAAGCCATAGTGGCTCAGCATGTAGGATGTTGTCTCGCTAACCTGTAGGTCACATGTTCAATCCCTGCATTGGCTGAGAAAGTTCATCAGGATTTTCTGTTATGGTTCCCCCTTGTCAGTTGTGCAGGACATAGGGCCTAGCAAGGGACAACATATAGCCGTTCATATGGGACGATAAACAAACGTGTCCTTTATACACTGGTGTGCACGTAAAAGATCCCTCGACAGTTGGAATTCAATAAGACTAGGCCATAGTGCCACTGTCCGGGCAAAATTTCCCACATAAAACACTATATAACGTATGCCCGTCTTCATTAGCACAGTCGGGGCAGAACAGTAGGATGTTAAACCCCATTTCATTTCATTTCAATATGCAGTACAGAGACAGCCACAGTGGCTCAGTGAGAATTGCGCTGGCTCACTAAGCAGGATGTCCCAGGATGGATTGTGGTGTTTTGCCTGAATAAGTTTCTCAGGATTTTCTAGCCTTGTTTTCTCAAGTTGGAGATCCAGGATAGAGGTTCTGACACGGTTCATGGCTGAGAATTAGCAAACCGGTTTTAATTATGCTTATATCACATGTAAATCCTATATATACGAGTGTATATGCATAGTTTTAATACCTAGGTGGTTATACTAAGTAGACACCCATCAAGTACAGCTTAGATCTAATGCCTAATATACAAAATATTTGACTGCATTAAATTATTTATAGTAAATGATATTATGTTTTCTTGTGCTAAAATATTTATATGCTTCAAGGTTTAAATTTATTGACATCTCACAATAATCAGATATCAGTCACATCTTGTTTTATTTTTGATGTTGTACTGCATTGACATTTGACTTTGAAATGGGAGTTCATATCTTGGTATACAGGGAATCGTTTGATGGAACATTACAGCGAAAGTGTTTATATAATTGAGTTGTGTTGGTTTAGCGATGTAATCATTCAGTGTATGGTTGGATGATATAAACAACACTTATACACTAAACAATCACTAATTGTTAGATTATAATTTAGTGAAAAAGTAAAAAAAAACTAAACCAAACAAATCTTTTTTTTTTTTAATTTAATGAGATTGGTTTTATTGTATTGGCATATTCTTTTGTTTGATAGTTTAGCTTTTGTTGTACCAAAAGGGTATGGAGAGTATATGTTAAAGCCTCGAGACCCAATAGTACCTTCAGGTGGGTTATTTTAGTTTTTTATAAATCTATATTTAAATGTAAAAGATCTAATTACTTATATCAAATTCAACTTTTTGTAAATCAATAGTCAATTATACTATATTGAAGAACAATGTAATAATCAAGGATTTTAATTGGTAGGCATTCATATTCTAGACACGGTTACAGCCCTCCAATATACTTTATGACCAATTGGGTCTCTTCTTATGTTTTTGTTTTTGTTTGTCTTTAGATCATGAATATTTAAGGAGTCCATCAGTACATGTAGCGTCATGGTATGTATTTATTAATGTTTTTCATTTTCATTTATTGTGTACGTTGCTTAACATCTCGCACTGAATATTGTTTGGTCAATTTTAGATACAAATATCTTTGTATGGTCCATGATATTATTACTAACCAAACAGCGAAATATAAATAAATGTTATTTACGTGGACGTATGTTTTGTTGCCAGTCAAATTGTCTTTTACTGCTATGATTAATATAATGAAGTCCTTTCCTTTGGAAGAGGGATTCTCAACATATTTTTATATATTAAATGGGAAGCATTTTAGTTTTGCAGGGTCTCTACTTTAGCTTTGATAAAACACTGATAAGTTTTTGAAAATTATGAAATCAACTCGAAATGGGGCAACTGCTATCAAGAGAAGTGACATGCCGGGATGAACACTCTTGTAATCAGTGCAAATTTCTTATTTTAAACTATAATTGTGCATTCTATTTTTAAAGGATTCATTGTAAAAATCTTAATGGAGGTTTAGAAGCAGTAAATAAGAATTTTATTATAGACTATGTTGGTCAAGGACAGTATAATTCTTTGGTTTGTAAGTAAACATATTGTTTTTTACAATTATTCATCAACTTCAATATATATAAGTGGTTGTGTCAGTTCTTTGAAGGGACGGCATTCTTGAATATAAACTAAAACTATGCAAACCATATTCAAATAGACCATTTGTGCTTTATATTATTTATAATGCCATTTTTAATTCTTTGGGTTCATGAAAATAATAATAATTTGGATATAATTGTATCCCAAGTGATTTGGAATTCCATTTGTTTGGAATTCTTGCTTTACAGCATCCAGAATCCACTATGCAGGAGCTTCAATATATAGCACAGTTTATTTTAAAGGAGCTAAATCGCTAATATTTGGGACCTAGAAATTGACACAAATGGATCGCAAAACATATAATGATGTAATATGAATGTATATAAACTAATTTACATTCAATTGGTTCCGTTTTTACTGTAATTTCAAATCATTTATGTTCGGCGAAATACGGCAGAAGTGTCAATCGAATGGCAACTTCTAGCGTCAGGTTATTCCAGTCTATACCGATAGTATTTATTACGCATGCTCCCCAGATAAGAATATGGGGTCACCATCCTTGTTACAAATGGCGCTGAAACCCATTATGGTACACGATTCATGTACTAATGGTAAAGTGTTTAATTTGTCTTAAATATTGGATATCAGAAGTCCATCTTTTTCCGGTAAGATCACAACATCAATGTTGATTTTAATTGGCCATTAAGTCGTGTTTTCAATGTCGAAGAATTTGGATGATATTGATTTAAAGACTTAGCTACTTTAAGGTGAGTTTCAGTATAATACATGTTTCTGCATAGTTCCCATTAATGTTATGGTGACACCTTTCAGTATAATGTCTAACTAAGGATCTTATTATAACCAGTGGCGGACACAGGATATTTGGTATGGGATGTGAAACATCGGTTTGTCAATGGTTATTTGTTATGTATATCTGGAACTGAAATTAACATTCATTTTCATCAGCTACATCAACCCAGCCATCAACCAGCTCAAATTTACATGTTAAAAAAACAGAATAATAGATTAATATTTTATATTGTTATTTGGGAGGTGCCCAGACCCCTAGCACACCCTTCCTCCTAGATCTGCCACTACTACTCTATTGATGATCAGTATTGTACTCATCTCATTCTCTGGTGTGTTTCAGGTGACACAGATGAAATTGTTCACTTAGTACTAGATGCTAAAACTACGCAAAACTATGAGAAGATTTGGAATGGGGAATTGTCAATAGAAGAAAAAGCTAGAGCTTATTCATATTATTCAGTGAAGTAAGGAAGTTTTTTGCATTTTCATATTAGAAACAATTTTTATTGAGATTGTATTTCCCAGTATATATTTTAATAGTTTTTGTAATATTCACGTAGATCCTAATTTAATTTTGGGGGATTGGTTGAAATTGTTAACTGGCAAGCAAATTATTCAAAATCAAAACTGTTTACCATTGGAATTCTAATGACAACTGACTTTATTAATTGTTGTTTGTATGCTGTGGAAACGAAGAGATGAATATTCCATTCCATTGCTGTGATAAGTGGATAAGTGACTCAGTGATAAAGAAATCTTGGGTTCATGCATTCCCGGTGTTGGTCAAGAAAGTTCCTCTCGGACATGGTTTCCCTTGTCAGTGGGGCAGGCACACAGTGCCTGACAAAGAAATGTGTCTGTCATTCGGATGTGACTAATAAATATTGGCATGTAGTGTACGTAAAAAAAGAACCCTTGATGGTTGGAGTTCGAACTAAGAGTAGATCGTAGTGCCACTCTTGGGCAAAATTTCCCTTATAGGAACACTGTAGGGCGTATGCCTGTCTTCATTAGTCAAGCAAGTGCTGAAAAGTAGGACATTAAACCCCATTTTATTTCATTTTCATTGCTGTGGTAAAGACGATCAGAGATTCAAACACATTTTTTTTGTGGTTTTCAATGTTTACATCAATCTTAATAGCTTTACTCTAGGTAAACAGCTGTTGTTAATCAGATGAAACTATAGTTATTATTATATGAAAAGAATTATTATTTTTATTTTCTTACTATGAATGATAATGCCTATTTAAGTTATAGTTGTTTTCATTGAATTTTTTTCTATTTTTGCAGACGTGAATATGAATCAGAATGTTATGCAATAAAAAATGCAGCAAGAAAACTGAAATGTTTTAAGAACATTCATTTAAAGTAAGAATTTCAAGAATGTAAAATACTTTGTTATGCATACAAAACTAATACCTCTATTTAAAGGAGGAAGGGGTGGGGATAGGGGTCGAGTGGTCTAATGCATTCATTGATTCAAGTGGCATGGAAGCGATTTTACATAAGCAGCAATGCTTGTTATTGTATCCATATATTGTATGTTAAATATATCTGTGATTCACTAAGAAATAAAATATTGTTTAGACCAAGTGGCATGGTTTCAAGTCCAAAGCTTGTACCTTATGGGTTTTTTCAGGGCTCTCCGGTTCTCTGGCATTGCTAACGAACATCTACACTCAATTAAATTATTTAAATAAAATTGAACCAAATGTTAGTTTGTCTAGTGGATGTTAAACCCCATTTGTCTCTCTGACTTCTATTTAAAAGAAAAAAGATCAGTATAATTATATCCACACTGATCTTTAAAACCGGTGAAATAAAATGTTTTAGAGTCAAGTTTTTCAAATTTCCTGTTATTCCTATAGGCTGCATATTGTAGAAAAGGCTGATACAATGGCTGCTTCATCTGTACATATTGACTTAATAAAAATATACCCCCTAAAATCTATCAGTTTCTGTTGAGCATCTGTTGTATTTCCACTCATTAATGAAAATGTTCACACCAACTTGTTAATGAAAATGTTCACTCCAATTGCTCCTTTAGCACCCTCAAAGCCAATTTTGAAGAGGTTGTTCTAAAGACTGCCCTTTGAAACCAAAAATTACGTTTCTAAAATAGGTTGGGGGTTTTTTTTCAACCAAAACAGCTTTGGAAATAAATGTATTTATTTTATTTTAGATATGGTGTGGAGTTAGTATTTGTTGGAACCAGTTCAGGTTTAACAAGATTTGGTGTAATAGCTGATGAACTGACAAATCCGTAAGTCTGTTTTTCCACATTCCACACTGCCTATTTCTCAAAAATTTTCTGTCTTTCTGGTAGGTAATGTTCTCAAATGAAACTCCTTTAGTCATGAGTTATTGAATTCTGTGGTGCCTCCATCAATTATTAATTCCTGTAATTTTGATCTTTACAATTGTCTTTAGTTATTTTATCAACAACTTTTATGTTCGCTTGCATTCAAAGATAATGTGATTCTTAACTTTAGAGACTTGTATGTATTTCTAAATATCATGGTAAATTATTCGTGGTGACTTGCTTTTATTTTAATTTGTTTTCTTTTCATTTTAGAATAATATTGTGTGATAAAAAAAATCGCATACTCCTCATTTTGCTATCAAATATATAAACATTTGTAAATTATGTTGATATATATTTGATTGTAGAGTGTATATTACCTATTCATAGTTTGTTTCTCTTTATTTCCCTTCCATTTATATTATTATTATACCACACTACTGTACCGTTTCCACAGTAGTGGGAGTTTCATCCAGAATTAGACAAAATAATGTTGTTTTTCTGATTTTGTTTTACTAATAGAAGGAAAGCCTCTGTGGTTAAGAGGAGTCATTGCTAACAAAAATAGTATCTTTTCATCGGCTTAAATCAGTAGATCATGTCATTATAAGTGTGTCAATTATTTTGGAAAATTTTGTCTAGTATTGAATTTATACTCCGTCTGTCCAGTCTATGAAATAACGAGACAAAAAACTATCAGTACAGTCTAAATTACCCATCATTAACACAACCATGGACCTTTTATTGTCCATGAGACAACCAACTATGATTTTATTGTATATTACAGAGATTTTCTAGGTGTAAACTCAGAGACTATAAATAATTTATATTATCAGAGAGCTGTATTAGGCTGGCAAGCTGGATACAATTATGTTTTTTCTTTATACAATAAAGGTTAGTCTGTAAAAAAGATTTAACATGATTTCAATTGAAGTTACATTTGATATGACCATTTGAAGAGGCATTAACCATACAGCAAGAAAATATATGAAATTAGTTGTATGTAAAATCATATGGGAAATAACTCTATAATAAACCAATTATTGCAAGTCCAAGTATTTTGCATGAACATCTTATAAACTATTTGAAAACCAATGTATATAGTGTTTGACTTGTATGGAACCTTAAACCAATGACAACTCAGTAATGGAGTAGCATTCTTTAATTTGAACATCCGGAATATAACTGTATAGATAGATCATGAAAAGTGAAGATCTCCAAAGCTTTGGTAAATGATAATCTTTAAGTGGCATTTAGCGATTGGGAAACACACTAACAGAACACAATTTTTATGGGAAACAATCTCTGGTTTATTCTAAAAGCATGATGTTTTGACAAGTATCCTCTTATCGTTATCAAGCACATTGTTATATTCTATTGCACACATTGGTGGTGGGCATGTAAAACAACACTTGAGAGATGGAATTCGAAATAAGGGTAGCCCATAGGTCTACTCTCCGGGCAAAAATTACCTCTCAGCACACTGCATGTTGTATTCCCATCTTCATGAGCCCGGATGGACCAGAAGAATAGAATCAGACATTTTGAACTTTCCATATTACTTTATATTGATCTGCTTCACATGAAATTAGACTTTTACATGACAAACTATTGTTGGAAACTTTGTCAGATGACTACTAAAGAGCCCTGTGTACACACAAATTATTGAAATAAAGAATTAACATGTTAGTTCCAAAATGACCACATCATGCAAAAATCGCGGTATCACAAACAATATCATTTGCATCTGATGCTTGCTTCTATTTAATTTTCAGATGGTTTAAGAAGTTTTGATAAAGCTGCCGTTACCATGTCAACTGCAGAAATCGTTAATAGAGGAAAGGAAGATGAAGTAGTTGCAGCTGCTGTGGGATTTCAGATGCGATTTAGTAATTTCTTCCAACTTTTTAAAAATATCACAGAACAATGCACAGGGAAAGACTGTAATTTCACTTGTGCTCATTCTGATGTAAGAAATATTTGTAATAATTATTCAATTCCAACATTCTTAATCAAATATTAGAAGCCCGCTAGTCCCATCAATGTTCTGTAAATTAAAAAGCATGTGGGTCTTTTTCCATTGATCAGTGTATCAGTATCTAACTCTAATACTATGGCAAAGGAGAAATTTTCAGAGTGTCCCTTTACCCTTTTTATGGTATCTGTAAGTTTCAGTTAAAAATATTGAGCTGTTTTGAAATGATTGCCGAACAGTTTATATATCTGTGTGTTGAAAATTTATTTTGCAGTATCTGAACTGTTATTTGGTAGACAATAATGCCTATATAATGACATCAAATAATAATGCAGTAAGTAAAATAAATCAATGTTAAAGATACATTCTATAAGATTTAGATAAAGAGCTGGCCATTATTGCTATAATAGTTCAAAAGTAGATAATGCAAAATCACTGTTCGTAGTTTTGACAAGACGTGTGCATTGTTTGTTTATTATCATAACCATGGTATTGTATATTCGAGCCTTAGCCTCACTTTTCCATTTTTAAATTAAATCATTAAATGGCCACCAGTTCTAATCTAGTTAAAATCTTGAGCATCCGATAGCATTGAGAGTTGATTATGGTCTTGTCATGTTAATAAATGTCTAATTAATAATTTATATAATATTTAAGGCCTAAAGAAAGACCTGCAATAGATAAATTTAGCTCTTGAATAATGTATCTTTAATTGTAGCAGCATTTGTTTCTATTTATCCTAGTTTTTGTTTATAATAACTATGTGAAACATTGAGCTTTTAGTCATTTTCTCTAGTTGTTTGGATGGAACCCAAAATTATGGATCAATTTATACAATGAGCATATTAAACATATTTCCTGGCAAATTTCCCAATGACACAGCACTAGAAACAAGAAATAGAAAATTACACTTAGTACTTTTCAGAAAGATCAAAATATTGTTCTATTGAACAACTAACTGTTAAGCAGATATTTCAAATAAAATAACAAAATAATTTTTTGTTTTTTTTTGTTTTTGACAGACTGGTGAATTTTTAGGCGCAGTTGATGGAGCATTAATGAAAGTTTTGATAGAAGAAAATATTTATGAAGAGTAAGCTTACTATATAAATTAAAGCTGTACATAATCAATAAAGTTTGAAACGTCTCAGCATGGTCTGAGAAGATTCCTTGGATTTTAAAGTTCATTTTGTCATTATCTTTTTACATGGGGTGCATGTAAAAAAAAAAAAAAAAAAAAATTCAGATTTTGAATTTGATAAAAACAGGCAAATTACTTTTTTCTAGCATTGTACATGAGACCGTACTAAATAAGATTTTTTTGACCAGCAGACCATTGCAAAAAAATTGTAATCCATACGAAATTACCGTCCTGGTAGAGATCTAATTTGTACACATCAGACCATAGTGAATAAGATACATTTAGACCTGCTGACCATTGCTAAACATATGTAATCTTTACAAAATTACCACCCTGTTAGAAGCCTAATATTTTCCATCTATTAATCCAAACTGATCAGCAGTAAATTGTACTATTCAAGAAACAGTGTTCTCTTTGACATTGTTTACTTGTGTTCATGTATGTTTCTTGAAATGAGGGGGGATGGATGGCTGAATGGTTAGTGTGTGCGAGTTGTATCATAAGGTCTGTCATTGAATAAATTGGTGTGGTTACGATTCCCCAGTTATACATGACAAGGAGTAGGGTCGCCTGTCCAACCTCGTGGGTTTTCTCCAGGTCCTCTGGTTTCCTCCCAATGCTAAAGACCCCCACGCGCAAGCGAATCATTTAAATAAAATTGAACCATATGTTAGTCCTGAAATGACCTGGTTTGTGTTGAGTAGACGATAAACCCCATTTCTCTCTCTTTCTTGAAATGAATTTACATGAAAGATGTGTGATTTAATATCTATATATATATTATTTCAGAATAACATTTAAAGATTATCAGGGTGTATGTAAAATATATAGTAGTGAAGGTGGTAGTTCAGCATCTTATATTATAAATGTAAGAAATCCATTCATTTTTCATGATAATGTAAATGCTTTCATTTTAAATTGAACGGTTTTAAAGGTTTTAAATATACTTGTTCTGTATAAGCCAGAAATGGGTTCTAAAAAAGGTTGAGCTTATTTCCGTAAATGATCAAACTCAAATTACAATTTCTAAAGTGATTAAAAAACAGCTCTGGTGCACTTGCGTTGTTAGCAGAGGCTTATATTTGCCTCTAGATTGTGGTATATATCAAATAATAAAACCCTAAAACAAGTCTAATGTTAACGAGTCTGAAGTTGTGACAACAACTTTAGAAATGTACTATTTTATTAACTATGGCATTTCAGACCAGTCAGTTATGGTTTAGTAGAATTTATATCTCTGAAGATGATTATGGAGACTTGTATTTTATCCTGGAACTCCCTATAATATAAGCTCTATCACTTTGCATCTTTAAAGAATACCCTGCCTCATGTCTGACAACTTCCACTACTATGATAACAATCCTATTTTATTTTCAGCCTTTAAAAACAGTATTTAATAGCATTACATGGTTTTTAGCTGAAGTATTTTTGTAAGTTAAAGACTTTTATTTAAATCACGGGGTCTGCTTTATAAAAACACAAATAAAGCTTATCTAGTACTTCCTAATCTTTAAATAGTTACATTTAAAGCATACAGTCGATATCTATGATTTTTAACAGTTGCAATGGAAACCACTAGAAATGAATATTATATCCCATTTTGAAAATCACTCAAGAACCGGTTACTGGTTTTATATTGTCGATAGGGGGTGGATGGCTGAATGGTTAGCACGTGCCCGCTGTATCATAAGGTCTGTCATTGAGTCAACTGGTGTGGTTTTGATTCCTCGGTTGTATGTGACAAGGAGTAGGGTCGCCTGTCCAACCTCGTGGGTTTTCTCCTGGTGCTCTGGTTTCCTCCCACTGCTAAAGACCCCTACATGCAAGCGAATTATTGAAATAAAGTTCAACCATGTGTTAGTCCTGAAGTGACCTAGTTGTGCGGAGTGGACGTTAAACCCCATTTCTCTCTCTCTCTCTCTCTCTCTTTCTCTCTCTCTCTATATATATATTGTCCATAAAATTAACTTTCCAACCATACCAAATAACTGTTGTTCTACAGGTAGGGGTATCTGAAAAATATGAACTAAGTTTGATGTAAGAGAATGTAGGAATTAGAAAATATAAATCGATATATGTACGTATAGACAATATCAGCAACTTCAGCATATTTCAATTTTTTCAGGTTTATTACCCAGTTTAATGTGTATAATTGGTTCAGTAGGGATTACTGGACGTCAGGATATTTAATAGACATGATGACGGGAGAGAGAATAATTCATAGATCTGTCATTGGTTACGAGGCTTGTGACAAAATGGTGACAACATATGCACTTAATCTTAAAACGCTTCAGAACAGGAAACGAAAAGGAATTGTGGATTCTATAACAGGCTGTGGAAAATGTGGAGAATACTCAGGGTAGGTTGAGAAAATTATAAATTTAGGATCTTAAGATTGCACTTTAATTTAGGTAAAGGGATTCACTGTATTAAGAAGTTTATCTGAATGTAACTGCCCAGTATAAAACACAAGGACTTGGTTACAGTATTTAATTAACTTGATATTGAAGAACGATTGCCATTTTTCAACAATCATAAGTTTAAAAGCTAAATTAGATAAGTTGATGCACTTTACAATAGTAAAACAAGAAAGATTAACATTCCTTCATCTTATTCAACTTTTTTTAGCCATTTCTGACACCAAAGTGTCATCATTAATGAAAACAGTTAAAAAAAAAAGATTTCAATACTGGTACCGATTCTGCCCTATTTTGTTTGGTTAAGTTGTGCACATGATTATGTATACAGATTAAATGTATAAAAGCCAATTTTGCGGGGTGGAGAGGATGACAAAGCCATTATTAATTGATAAGTCATCTTTCTTGATTGTCTAAGGCGATTATCCTAATTGTGAAATCAGATCACCTAATTGTGACTATGTTAATAATTTGCTAAAATCCATGTTAATTAATCAATGTGGGATTTGCCTAGCTGAAACAGTGAAGGTGCGGATAAGGGTGCGTCTTATACATCAAATTGATATTAAACTCGTACACATGCATGCGCCTTATACACTGGAAAATATGGGAAACCAAATATCTTAGTTTTGTGATTTGTAAATATTTACAGTTGTACAAATACTGAAAAAAGGAATTGTCGAAGAACTTGTTTAATCATGGATAAGTAATTTTAAAAAGTTGAAAAGCATGTGTCCGATCACGTCTCACATTCATTTCAATGTTGGACAACTTTTTTCATATTTTATTTACTGATTATTTTCTTTGCATGATAGTGAGATATTCCGTAGATGATCGAAATTACAGTTTTAGTCTTGATTATTTATTTGTTTCTGTGTGCACAGAATTTAATCATAAATGTCTTAGTTTCCCCCACAGTACTAGACATTTTTTGTTTACTTCAAATGACCCGAAAAGACGTGCATCCTTTAAATGGCTTATAGATTGAAATTAAATCTTGTGTAAAATGAAATTAGCTGTCAAACTGTAATTAGTTACTCACTGTTAATGGTATATGTACAATAATTCATTGTTATGATTATGGATTTTAATCCAATTCTTATTTTAATTTAGATTTAATTAATATTTTTATTTGTGTCAATGCCTCAGACCAGCAGCTCGAGATGAAGTTGATTGTTTAAAAAAAAAACTAATAAGGCTGTCTTTCTTTAAAAATAAGTTTAAGTTTGGAATGATATCATCTTCTAGTTATAATGACAGAAAAAATCTGAGCAAAACTATATTTCTATGTGTAACTCCTCTCACATTTTAAAGAGCACATAAAGTAATCACATGTATATGGAATGTGCTTGAAGATCTTGTGTTTTTATGCATCAAACACACAATTCATCTAAATCCATTTATAATTCATTAAAATATATTCACTCAAAATAGCCAATATAGCCTGACCACGCAAAACCAGTTTTGTCAATTATCTAAAACACTCAAAAGTTTCTTAATATAGACCAAATGTGTAATGCTATAATCTCTTGTCATTTTTATGTTTACAACTTTACACTTGTATATTACACCATACAGTTTATTGTAACTGTTTATGGGAATACATTCTGATGATTTCAACAATATTAATAAATTAATTACCACCTGAACTTCAGGGGATTAAGATTGTGATTGGGTAATCAAGTTTAGGAAAGCTGTAATTGGGTTCAGTCACCTCTGTCACGCGACATATATTAAGATAATTTGCATATCAGAACACCTATCAAAGCAAAAGGGACACAAGTTTTTGAAAGTAACTCGGTGGTGTGAATTCCTGTAACATATTTAATTCACTTTTTTTTAACTTTTAAAGCTTGGAATAATTCAGCATGTTAAGTAAACCATCAAATGTTCATGTATATCAGATACTGTCAAGTCGTAGTGCATGTGATGTCACACCACCATCTCCTCTGATATCACTGTGATAAGAAAATTGAAAAATGTTTTTGAGTATCTCACATAAGTTACTTGCAATTAGATTAATGTGGAATTGGTGTATATAATGAAACTGGCTTCATGTACATATCACTTGTATGTGTTTATTTTATGTGCTCTTTCAATTTGAAAACAAAAATGCAAATACTCTTTTGTTTCTTTCTACGTACACCCTAACACATAGATTCTACTAGTGATATCATATTTCAATTCATAAAGTCTAGTAGCTATATTTTAATGTTAATCGATTACCCTTCGTTCGTAGTTTTAATATTCCTGAATCCCAAGGTATGTGCTACATTGAGCACCCGATTTTGACCAATTCCTGAATGCCTTTCATACATCTTGGGAAATATTGGTTGAGCAAAATGGCAAGAATATTAATGCCCAACATTCCAAACAAAAAGGCAAATATAGACTTTTAGACCATAAAGTCTTGGCAAAATCTGTATTTGTCCAAAAATTATTACAAAAATTGATATATATATGGCCATCTTATATGACATCATCTGATATATATTAAAGTTACATTCATTGTTTTGATTAGTGCAAAGAATACATTTAGAACATTATAACAAATCTTGATCATACTTCTAGAGTTGTTGCCTTTGATTATGTGGAATCTTTACTGAAGGGAACACAATATGAGATACTTTATGGACCGCTTGTATGACTTAGCTGCTGTGGACATTTGTTTCATTGTCTAGCAACCCATCTTTTATTTGTGAATGGATAAAAGGGTGCAAAAAAGAGTGTGTTTTTCATTGCTAAAAAAATATGATTATAATTTCATCTGTTATATCATTCGTGACTGGTGACTAAATATATCTAATAAATATGTTTTCTATTTTTTTTTACAATATGAATGTCATAGGTCATACATGGTACGATGGATTAATGATACCAATCTAATTATGATAATAGCAGCTGCTAATTGCAGCTGTGGAGAAGAAGAAGAATTTTCCATAGAACCACAAAAAATAGTTTATATCCTTTTATAAACATTGAACTCCAAGTCTAAGTACGACCAGAAAATTACAGTTCAGTTTATCTCTAGGAAGCTTATAGTAGGCCTACATACAGTAAAAATCTGACAATTTGTTTTGGAGAAATAGTAAATTTAATTCAAAGAGTTTCTCTTTCTTGTGTGTGTTAACAAATGTGCAATATATTATATTGTTGAGTAGTGTCACATATCAGTCCATTAAATAAGATGACCAATCTTTTACAGATGTTCAAAAGGGTGCAATGATTGTGTACTGCATACTATTTCTTGTCAATAAATTTTACTGAATATTACTCAGGTTATAAGTGTTTTCTGAATATCAGAAGTCTGCAAAAAACTTCTCCCAAAGTCCGGGAAATGGCATTTCAGGGACTCTAGATTAAAAAAATTCTCGAGGGGAGCATGCCCCCTAGCTGTCCCCTCTGAGAAGCTTGCACCTGCAGTGTTCGAATCGTGGCTTGCTCACTCATATTAGGGGGCTGTGCATCAGTCATTCTCATTTTTGCTATTAAACACCCCCACCTCAAACAAAATGGATGTGTATGCCCCTGGAGCTACCTATAAACTATACTATATCTGGTAGTACTTAGACTTACTCTCATGTTGATTTCTAGCTGTCAAGGGTTCTATTATGTGCATGTCAATGTGTAGACCTACACAGGACTATTAGTTTTTCTCACCATACGATTATCTGTACAACCACATTCCGACAAGAGGAAACCACGCCAGGAAATCCCAAGCAGCTTTCTCGGCCAATATCGGGATAGAACATAGAATCTCCAGATTATTGAGCCACTGCGGCTTCCTGGGTTAGCTGGGCTGTGAATTCTTTCCAATTTAATGAATGTAAATAAATAGTCCCCAAAACCTGCCATTATGGAAATCCACTGTACAACAACATGGTCTTTTCTGCTGAATGTATCTCAAGTTTTGATGTGTTAAGTTCATGAATATGGCATCTTTAAGTTTGCATCAGTTGAGATTTAAATTTTGTTAATACATAATACATTCTTCATGCAAAATATCATCCTTAACTATGTTTACATAATGAAACTGCAATGTGTAAAAGGTTGTGGAACTTACAGCAGCCACCAAAATATCCCAAGTGCTACGATTCTGAATTAGAGGTAAAAAATTAAAATGTTCTTCAATATTTCAATGATACTTTCTTGTGATTGGCCAAGAGTTTTAGATTAAAACATTTAATTTCAGCTTAGATTTTCACCTGGACCATTCTTAAAATATTTTAATTTTAAGATTTGATGAAAAGCTCACCTGGAATATAATCAAATCTTGGGCTGAGGAAATGTTGAAGTATCAAATTCTACTCCCCCCTTAACATTGGCTGTTGACTATTAGATATGTTTGAAACACAGTTTTACATAATATTTAATTTCAAATATTATATTGAAGAAAGAATTCTAATATTTTAAATTGCATAACAAGAGCACAATATCTAATTTCAAATAGATTTGGTTTCAAGGATTGAAACACTCTTTAGCAAAACATTTAACTTTGCTACTGCCTGGTATGCAGTGAACCCTCATCCATCTTTTTCTATGTACTCCAGCAAGATAACCTTTCAAATCTTAATTAATAAACTCATTGTTCATTCAATTAAGACATTTTTCTTTATTTTTTTTTCAGAAAGACGATAATTGTAGAGGAAATACTTTTAGTATCTCAATTAGCTTAGTTCTTCTTGTTTTATTTTTATCAGTAAAATCTGTTTTAACATAGCATTATACTAGTTCAGTTAAAATTAATTAAAATATATGTCATTTGAACTTCAATAATAATAAACTTAAAAAAATTATTCTGTATGCATACAGTACGGCCCTCCCTGTAGTATTTTCCCAAAAAAATCAGGGCCCGGTTTCTCGACATCTTAACTAAAGATAAAATGCAAATTTTAGTAGATACTTCAATTTTGATTGGCTAAGCACTAAAATCTTTCTAATATTATCCAATCAAATTACTAAAATTTGGATTTTATCTTCGTTAAAATTTCGTGAAACAGGCCCCTGGCACTGCATTTTTCACCTTTTGAAAAGAGCTCTTTGTACATATATATGGAATAAGATAATAAATACCAATTTTTTGGAGGGATGGAAACTGTAATTCATAACATTATTGTATTCTCATTGACATGTATTCCTTAGGAGCAGATTGGAAGGATCTGCAATTGTGTGCCTTTTGTTTGAAACCTTCCATGTACAGAGATTTTTTTTCTTCAGAATCTTGTTATCTTGCACATATAGAAAATATTGAAAACAGATTAGTAATGTTTACATTTTTTGTACAGTGCATGTAGTTTGAATTCTGCTGAACTTATTTATTACCAGTGAGTTAATTGGAAATTAATAATAAGAGAGTTGAAGATTTAATGCATGAAAAGTTGGGGATGATTTGGAAAATCCAAAATCTAGTCTGGTTTGATTATTGGTAGCCATTTTTGTAATGCAAATGAAAATTAAAATGTTATGTGAGTTTCAAATCTTTTTTGAAACCTAAAAAACAGCCATTATTTATTCAGATCATTATACTTCATTAGTGCGTATGATTTGTATTAACTCTCAGAAAGAATAATTGTATCTTCATGATTAAATCCCCATGTTGAGATAGATCTGGTCCCCAACTTCACAAATTTTGCTACTCTTTCAATTTTCTAGGCATTTCAGTAACCTTGAAGCTGACAGAATTTTTTAAATATAAATGATTTTATGCAAAGTGAGCACAATGTTTAGACAGACGACTTTTAATGGAATATATTATTATGATATATTCCATTATATTTATATTATGTTAAAATTTGCACGCAAAAGTGTTTCGCAAGTAGTTACTCACATCTCACGGCAAGCCCAGGAAATTCTATAATTTAATTGTTTTTAAGTATGTTAACCTCTACTTTTCATAATAAATTTGTAATTTTGTTGCTTTTAAGTGGGAGTTTGGTTTGACAAGTACTATACAATTAAATTATGGTTTTGAAATACAAGCGGAAGTTGGTTAGTTTATCTATTGATTTTACTAATTTTTGGCTTAAAATGTTGATTCTGGTTAGTTTATCTATTGATTTTACTCATTTTTGGCTTAAAATGTTGATTCTTGAAAACAAAATCAGTTATATCTCAACATTGGCTTGCCCAGTAGACAGATACCAATTTTGCAAAACATGAAGACATAATATTTAAATAAGCCAACACTTTTAATTTTTACCCAAATCAACAAGGTCTACGATAATCATTTTACACAATAGGGTACGTTTATGTAGTAAAATTTGAAAAGGATGTGTAACTTTCACGTTGTTGTTTGTAAATATTTTTGATATAAATGTAGTAAGAAAAACAGTTTGTACCATTTTATATAAAAAGAAATATAATAAAATTATCATCATTGTGTTAAAATATGTTTATTGATCATTTTTATCATTATAAACATTATAATATATAAATTGTTTTTAATTTTATTTATTGTATGTATACTTTTAATATAGAATGTAATATATACATAACAATATGTATATTGTGGATATGTACATAAAGAAATATAATGTGAGTTTGATTAAAGTTTTTATATATCATATTAGCAATACAATTAGACTGAAGGGCATGAAAGATAAGTTCAGCTTCATAAGATTTTTAAAAAAAAAAACAACAACCCCAAAATGAACTAAAAAATAGCTAAAACATGGTCAGATTTGTTTAAAATGTTAACACAGCATTTTCAACAGCTACAAAAGGCATGGATTGATTATTGACTTTCGACTATCTACTTTATATCATTCATACTGCCATGTTTTCTTTAGCTTTGCAAATGAAACTTGTGTGATGATGTATGAACTACAATTCATATCAGTGATGAAATGCATGAACATTATGTGAATAGTATGTCTAAAATTTACAGGGAGCAGAAACCAATTTCTTTTTTCATGATAAAATATATAAAAAATTAAAATATTGGAAATATAAAATGTGATTTTTGATATACCCATTGGTTGACTCTGCCTATAAAAATATAAGCGCCTTGCAGTTTACACACAATCTCCATAATTTGATTTACAAAGCTTCTGAAATGGTATTCAATTCATTTATTGTAAAATTGTTGATTAAATCATTGAAGAAAAATATTTCATATATTCAATCAGGGATTTCATGTGTTTAGTTTTTATGCCAAGTTTAGCAATTTATAAACCACTGGCATGTAAATGGGACCTCATCCCTGCTGATGTCAAATTATCAGGCCGATATTGGATGGGATAGAAAAAAACTATTGTGGCTATGCATAAAAAAAAAATGTTTGGAATTCTACCCCAAATGCCAGCAAAGCATTAATTGTTTTTAATTTCTAAAAAAAAAACTATCAGGTATGTATAGATAAGCTTTTAGAAATGTAATCATTAACATTAATGAAATTTAATTAACATTCCAAAATCTGACAGCGTTAAATTAAGTGCCTAAAAAGCATTGCTCTGGGAAGAGTTGTACAAGAGCTAACTAACATTTGAGAGCAGACATTCTTCCTCAATATAATAACTATCAACATGGGAGATCTATGGTTATCATAGTGTAATTAAAATTATTGCCTTTCGAAGAACACAGGGGACTATTGAAATGGGTCTGTCTGTCGGTCCATCTGTTTGTCCATCATACTTTTTGGGACTCATTAACTCTCCTAATTGGAGTAGGATGTTCATACTTGGTGTAGGTGTTTATAAAGTGAATGCCTTGATGGAGTTCGAAGATGAGCATTTTCTGTTTAGGCTAGGCAGAGATAAGCAATTTGATTAGAAGAGACCTTGGAGCTCGATAACTTTGATTCTGACTAAGTGAGAGTGGTGAAACTTTGTGTATTGTTTCATTGCATCAGTACTTTAACTAAGTTCGGTGATGAGCATTTTCTGTTTAGGCTAAAGAGAGACTTCAATCTGATTGGTCGAGACTTTGGAACACAATAACTCTCCTAATTGAGGTAGAATGTTCAAACTTGGTGTAGGTGTCTATTACATAATTGCCTTGACAATGTTTGATTATGTGCATTTTCCACTAAGGCTAAGCAGAGATAAGCAATTTGATTGGTTGAGAATTTGGAACACGATATTTTTGGATCTAATTGGGTGAGAGTGATACAACTATACAACTCACAATAAAGATTTATTATATCAATACCTTGTCTAAGTGCGATGATGAGAATTTTCTGCTTCGTCTAAGTAGCGATAAGCAATTTGATTGGTCAAGCCTTTGGCACAGAACAAGTTTGCTTTTAATTGAGGTAGAATTTCATCTTGGCGGAATGTTCATTAGGTGAATGTCTTGACTGGGTTAAATGATTAACATTTGCCGCTAAAGCTAGACAATTTCTTTGACGGATGCTTTGGGACAAGATAACTTTGATTCTGACTTATGGAGAGTGATGAAACTTAGTGTAGAGTTTCACTACCAGGTACTCTAAAACCTTGACTGAATTCGATCGTAAACATTTTCTGCTTAGATTAAGTATAGATAATCAGTTTGATTGCTGGATACTTTTCAAAAAGATAAATGTGCAATTAATATGTACTATCTAGTTATTTTGGGATTGTGGCAAGGGGGAAATCAGCCTCATTGTTGGCTTGTTTTATCAGTAAAATAGCTCAACTCCAGTAGAAAGTATTGTCATTTATTTGTAATTAATAGAATTTTTTGTTATGCTTTTATTACTACTAGTATTTATAATTGATCCACATGTATACTTAACATTTTTAAGCCCTATAAATTATTTTGTTTAAAAACAATTAGGTTGATGTAATAGGTTTTAAATCAGGCCTTTAGTTAGTACAATAGTTAGTGTATGGTCTTGCTGTGCAGACTACTTGAGCCGCTTATCCTTCGGGAACAGTAATTATTTATATGTGTATATATATGGTTTAAGTTGAATTAAAGACAAATTAATAAAATATAATAAACTGCTCTTATCATATTACATGTACATTTGAATCAGGTTGTTTATCATTATCATAATTTATAAATCATGTTACTGTAACAAGTATTGTTATTATTATTGATCAATTTGTATTGGACATTGACTGTTTCTTGTTAATAAAATATTTCATATAAATAAAAAGCATCAGATTACTATCTAACTTATAAAAAACAACAAGCAAATTTGGCTGTAGTTTGTAACATCTTGTAGTCTTACTCATTAGATGATAAACTTGAGCCATTTATATTATCGGTGTTATATGTGTGTATAAGCCATTTTGAAAGTACAGTGAATTTTTACTTGTTGTTCATCTTGGGGGTGACAGCCAATTCTATTTTTGAATGGTCAGATAACCTTTAACTGTCTCATATAACAGCTTTTCATCTTCAGCGGAATTATCTGTTATCGCTCCTTACTTCAGTCAGTTATATAGAAGGATAACTCATGTTTGGCGTCAATTCCATTTTCATCAAGTGTTTGTTACACATCTACCTGTGTTAAAATTATATTTGGAATCTGTTTAACCAGTTCTGTCACATATGTAATAATGGCTGACACCAATATTGTCCTTTAAGTAACAAAACTGACAACACTAAAGTGGGTTTAATCCAGAATCTATATTTATTAAATTTGGTCAAAATACTTGAAACAACATTTACATTTGACAGATTTTGATTTTCTCATTTCTCTTTTAGCTTACATATACAACATTTTACCAAACCATACATTCTATATTTAATAAATTGTTAATAGATTACAAAAGTTCTCTATTTCAACGTCTTTTCTTCTCACTTTTAGTTTGTTTAAGACTACGATCTGCAGAAGACTGAGTTTGAGCCAGTTTCATAGTGGCCTGGACGATCAATATGAGAGGTATGATGATCCATAACATATTCATAAATACAAAATAAAACCAGAAATACATCGGATTTCTATGGTCGCCATGTGGAAAATCTTCTTTAATTTCTGTCATGAAATATAAAACATCTCCATATAACTGACATATAGAAAGGGCCAGTTGTATGATGTATCTGTATGAACTATTCCATAGAAAAGCAGCAAGAGCTAAAAATGAAAGGGGTCCATCTACAGCAGCTGTAATACTCTCCATACATAAAACAAATGTGTCAGACCTTAAAAGAAAAAAAGATCAAATTAATATCACTACTAGTAAGAATAATCTGATTTGTTCTGCAGTTTGGATGTTCGATATTAAGCTGGTTATGTAAATGATGACAACATATCCCTATCATTTAGCCAATTCAAATAATAAAGGAAACCGATAAAAAATGCAAAGTAAAATTAAAGGCGCTAAATCTCTATTCTCTCTCTGGCAGCTAGAAATTGACACCAATGGGTCACAACACATATAATAATATAATATGAATGTATAAACTGATTTACATCAATCGTTTCTGTTTTTACTGTAATTTCTAATCAGTTATGTCTAAATTTCATGGCAGTCTTTGGCATCTGGTTATTCTAGTCTACACCGGTAGTATTCTATTCTCCCTATTTCGATTTGCCGAAGGTGGGATGGTTAGCCTTGTTCACCGAGTCGCTTAATTACAAATAGTGCTTGAAATCATTCTTGCGTGCCAATTTTAAAATTTTCATTTTGTTTTAAATAACTGTATTGGATATCAGAAGTCCACCTTTTCACGGTAAGATAACATCAATGTTGATTTAAACTGACCAATAAGTTGTGTTTGCACTTTCGAAGACCATGGATGATACTGAGTTAGCGACTTGCCTCCTTTAATATACAGTAGATTAGAAAGGACTAATCTTGCTGTCTCAAATTATGTTAAAATGAACAAGAAAAGAAATGAAATGGGGCTTAATATCCTACTTTTCTGCAACGACTGGGCTAATGAAGACAGGAATATGCCATACAGTTGCACTATGAGGGAAATTTTGCCCGGCCAGCAGAACTACAGCCTACTCTTATTATGAATTTCAAAAGTCATGAGTTCTTTCGTGCACGCCAATGTGAACATGGAACCTTGTTTTTATATTCCATCAGAACGACTAGATACTGTTCCTTGTCAGTCCCCCCATCTGTCATAATTTTCAGACAGACATCTCATTAAAGATGCATTATGTAAGATTTAGATAAAAAAAACTGGCTGTTTTTGCTATAATAGTTCAAAAATAGATAATGAAAAATAAATATATTGAAAATTTTATTCAAATTACTTTATTCTGTGCCAAGTTATCACTGTCTGAAGATGTACATTGTTTATAATTATCGTAGCTATGTTACTGGACAAACAAGACTTAGTCTCGATTATTCATTTTATCTTTATATCCAGTGTTCTTACCCATTTAAATGTCTGTATTCTGATTTTCTAGAGATGATTTTGATCTTGTCATGTTAATGAATTTATAATAAATAAAAGATAACTTACGTAAGGTAACGACTGTCACTCTTACTGTACTCTTTCCCTGTTAAAATAAATGAAGAAATTATTTGAAATTTTTTTTTAATTAATAACCAGATATTTATACTAGTTAAAATAACCATCAAGATTAATGGCAGTAACCAGGATTTAAAAGTATTGTTCTGCTTGTTGAAGTTGAATTCATATTTGGGGGAAATCCAATCTTTTAATCATTTGATTTAAAGGCAAATGCTATAATCAGATGATGAATCACGTTTTTATATCCCAAAGCAGTTGAGAACCAAAAATGGTCTTCATTTTTCATACCGGTAGCCAACCTCAAAAATGGGCTACTATACACTATGTACAGTACAATGTTATGTACAAAAATGCATGTTTAATTATTGACCTGTAGCCTATTCATTTAAATAATTTTTAATGTTTATCTAATTGTCTTATTTTACATGACAATCCTAGATTTTATTTCCATTAATAGGAACAGATTTTATTTCTATTAAGTAAATGCCACGGACCTTATAATATTTATAAATATTTATAAATGTTAACCTTTCTTTTTATTAGGTCCGCGGCCATGGCAATATATCTGTGAAAAGGGGCAAAGGGAAGCAACCCCATTATTAAGGGTGATACTGCAATTACTTACAAATTTGTGCTAAAAATGTCATTTCGCCTGCAATTGTAGCATGAAAAATACTAAAGTATCCCTCTAAAAAAGTATGAATGATGCCACACATAACAAACCAACATAATATCATTCTTTCAAATAACGAAAATTTTGGTTTTGTCGACCGACCGCTGTAAATCCAAACGCCCGCAATGAAAGCAAACACAACAGCAAAGAATCCTCCCAATAAAACGGTCACATCCTTGTCATTTGGAACATAGTGTGGCAAGGAAATGTCCCTTGGGAAGTAAGGGTGTGGTAACGAATTATTAGACACCATTTTCGGTATAAAGTCTAAAATCCACTGCCTGGTGTCTACTTTTCCTGATCAACAATGCTATATTTCTCATCCGATTGGCGATATCCAATAAAAATGACACTTGGCAGATCACGTGTGTTTGGTTTATTTCTCTACTTTCAATTGCGCAATGTGCCAATAGATTTATTCGTCGTTCATAATTCGTCTCGTTCATCCAGGATACCAAACTGTTTAACAGGTATTGAGGTATTGTGAAGACTAATATCTCTGTAAAACATGACTGCTTTCAGAATGTGACGTCCCATCACGAGGCGTCAATCATTGACTTAATAAATAATGCGTGTGCATTGTTTACATAAGACGTTACTGGTCCGAGCAGAATGGTGACTTTTACTCATTTTACAATTACATATACCCATTTACACTAAGTAGGCCTAAAGGAAATATTTTTTACCAAGTTGAAACACCTTTATTTAGTTTTTCTAATGCTTAAATTTGCAGAAGGGAAACAGTTAATATGGCACATCTATGTTGAGATTCTGGTAGGGTAAAAAAAAAAGTCCAAGAGGGAAACTCATTTGCATCTTGTATTAGACCACTGTAGCAATTAAAATCCGAAAAAATTAAAATCTTGTAAAGAGCCCTTTTCCGGAAATGAAAAAAATGCGCGCCTCCGGCTCAATTTCACCATTAAAGACAATTCGCCCCTGACTGAATCCACAAAATTTGATAAAAAAGCCCATCCAAATGATGAATACGAAGAAAAGGATCATAATTAATTGATATTTAACTTTTATTAAACATTCTCCACTAAACATTCTCCACTGACTTAGATATTATTCCGACATTAAAAGAATCATGTATACTACAATCATGTAACACATTATACAATAATTTCAACCTCTTATCTGTGTCTGGAGCAGTAGGTTACCACGCACTGCAAGAGCTTACTGGCGTACTCCGTGTGCGTTAAATCGCGCTTGTATCCGCCCGTTTTCCACAAGGCATTAAAGTCATGGTGAACGGATTCTGAGGCTTGTTCTGACCAAATGCCTAGCCCTTTGTCGAATACCTTCCGTTCGCCTATGGGCAGTCCAGTTTGCTCTTTTTCGAAAATATTTTTTTGGGCCTCTAGAAATTGGGTAATGTGTGCAAACACCGCATGACACTTGCTTGTGACCGATATTCCTAGATCCAGGTATGCCTTCCGAAACTCTTCAATGCGGTCTTTGTAATTAGTTTCGGCCTTTCTTCGAAAACAACTCTTTCGCACTTCGTTGAATGACTTCAGCGCCCGAACAACTTTTTGCCCCTTGAGCCCTATCTTCGCATTCTCGATCAGTATTTCCAGCGATGCTGTGTTTTCCAATAGTTTTACACACTGAGGGCCGCACATCTATGTTGAGATTCTGGTAGGGTAAAAAAAAAGTCCAAGAGGGAAACTCATTTGCATCTTGTATTAGACCACTGTAGCAATTAAAATCCGAAAAAATTAAAATCTTGCAAAGAGCCCTTCACGAGAATTGCACTTTTTTCGCGCCTCCGGCGCGCTTATACGCGTTCCTTTGATTATACGGCAAACATGAGCGACAATTTGTAGTTTCTGTGGTTTATTTTGATTTTCTAATCATGAAGCAAGACAAATTACGCAGGACCAAGTATTTTGGTGGTCATTTCCCTTTAAATAAGGGTTGCCATGTTGACAAAATTCAAATTTCACATCGACTCGTCACAGAAATTGATGCATTTTCTGTCCAGGCTCTATGGGCGCTGGAACCACCCTGTGGCGTTTCGCAACCATTTGGCAACCTCTTGGAGACATTTCTCATCTGGCAACCATAGGATAAAAACTTTCCGGGTAAATTTTGATTCACAGCGAGTGAAGCCGAGTTTGATATAGGGCGTCATTCCATCGCAATTTAAACAGGGTAACATGTCTAAACGCGCTGCTACTCACGAAGAAAACCGGTTCAAGGTATGTGTCGCCTGTTTTCAAAAAGGTTCGAGCTTAACACCAGTGGCAGGAGAAAGGCTGCTGTCTCGTATGCGCGAGTTTTACATTGACAATTATGATGCATCCGACGCTCATCTACCTGCCGCAATTTGCAGCAGATGCAGAAAATTGCTTCAAAAAATCGAGACTGGTGAAAAGCCTGCCTCTGACCTTCCCGAGCCTTACGACTTTTCAAAAGTAGTCATCCCACCGGTAGCGACCAGAACAAACCCGTCTCCTGCCAGTACTTGTACGTGTGACATATGTCGCGTGGCCGGAGGAAACCCGGCGAATTCGGGAATGGGGAGGACGTTCATGGATCAACAACCATTTCCTCTCGGACGTCCGCCACAGGATGCATTGGTCAACGTTTTGGCGTCGCCCAGGCCTGTGACTGTCTGCAAACGGTGCTGGCAGCCTGTGGGTCGTGGAATTTCGCACCCTCAACCGTGTACCGCGAATGATGCGCGTGAAAACCTAGTATCAAAGGCTAAATCCGTACCACGGGCCTCGGATCTCATTGCATCAGATCTTATAAAAGAGAAAAGTACCATGAGTGACGGTTCAACTATTAAAGTTGGTACTCGGGGTGCAGATTTGACTTTACCGAAACCTGTTCCTCGTCCTAAATCGTCCAAGGCGTTATTTCCGGAAAAGCCAGTTTCTGCAGAGGAAATCGCTAGATTTCAAACCACATTCGGACTCACTCTGAAACAAACGGAAAAGGCTTTAACATTCATCAGGACGTGGAAAGGACGTGGCTGCGTGGAGCCAGCATCGATACAAAAACTGCATTCCCGAGACGGGGAGTTATCGGAGTTATACACCAGCACACAGTTAGAGTTAGACTCGACTTCGAAGGACGATCTGATGAAAGTGATGAGACCAGTAATCTATTGTCAAAACATAAAAGGTTTAATCGATCATGTCATAGAATTTCGGGGCGGGTACAGCGGCGAATATATGATCAAGATTGGCATCGATGGGGGTGGGTCGTTCCTGAAATTCTGCCTAAATATTATCAAGGAAGATGAAGGTTCATCCAGCCCTGTTCGAAAGCGGGCAACCTATTCTGAGGGAGCATTTTCGAAGGAATTTCAAGACTCTGGCGTCAAAAAACTATTAATAATAGCCATAGTTGAGGAAGTCAAGGAGAGTTACGATAATCTTGTCGCCATAATGGATTTACTCGGACTTGAAAGGGTAGATTTCATGGCGGCCTTTGATATGAAACTGGCCAACGCGTTTCTTGGATTAGGCTCACATTCATCAGCGTGCCCCTGCCCCTGGTGTGAGACGCCGAAACGACAGTTTGCAGCCCCCGAAATCACGACTCTGAGGACTCTCGGCGCTATTCGGCAAAACGCCTCCCAGTATCAAGAGGCAGCATCAATGCATCACGTTTCGAAACCGTTGTCCGCAGCAGCTTACAAAAGCTGCATCCAACCACCGCTAACCAGAAATTTACCGGATGAAACTTTGGTTCTGGATATTTTACCCGTTATGGAGTTACATGTGCTTCTTGGTATCACAAATCGCCTCTATGATGAGATCAACAATATATTTACACAGACTGAATGCTCGATTGGCGCACTTGACTGGTCAAACCAGCTGGGTATTCGACGGCCTCCAATGCACGGAGGCGAATTTAACGGCGCTATGGGGGCTCATTTAAGCCGCATCGATGTCATCCCTATCAGTGATTGTAGCGGACTTATAGCGATTATACACTGCTGATCAATGTGTTGATTGAAGGAGACTGTGTAGTGACGACTGGTGTATTTACCCTTATAATAACAATTTATTTACTTTCCCGCATGACCAGGTATCAGTGACCTAATGGCAGCTTTTCGTTGCTGGTATCTTGTCATCGTGACATTTAGTTTATTCTGGTACTTCGAACGTCAAATAATTGTTTTCGCTTTCACATTTTGAATGGTTTTCAACAAAAATTCTATAGATTTTCTATGGAATTCTATAGATTTTCTATGGAATTCTATGGAATTCTATAGATTTTCTATGGAATTCTATAGATTTTTCTATGGATATTCTATAGGCTACAATTTTTAGTAACTTTAGTCTGGTTAGTAACAACCAGTGGAAAGACCACCGTACATTCTAGAAAACCTGCAAGCGCGAGTTTAAGCTAGCAGAGATCAACCATTTCAATAGTACCATCCAGCAAGGGCTCGACGACAATAACACCAAACCATTCTGGCGGTAGCCTATATCAAATCCAAACAAGACAGTATTGGTATAGCACCCCTCAAGAAAATGGGCAACTTAGTCAATGACAGCAAAGATAAGGCACACATTCTAGTTAACCAGTTCAAATCTGAATTTACCAAAGAAGCGGACACCTTACCCTAATTACAGAAACCAGCCATAACTTTGATCCCTGTCCTCAATATCACTACTAAAGGAGTCGAAAAACTACCGAAGAACATCAATGAGCGGAAAGCGACTGGACCAGACAAGATAGCTAACACTATTCTGAAGACCTGTAGTAGTCAACTTGCTTTTGACCTCCGTGAGATATTCCAGCTATCAATCAATACCGGTCAACTGCCATCATACTGGACTAATGCCTACATTGTACCAGTCTTTAAGAATCGGGGCGTTCATCTACCTGAAAAGTATCGACCAGTATCCTTGACCTGCGTGACTTGCAAACGTTTAGAGCACATTTGCCGTCACATCCTCACACATCTTGAAAGAAACAAGATACTAACCAGTTTTCAGCACGGATTCCGCTCGGGATACTCCTGTGAGACACAACTGCTAACCACTGTTCACGACCTCCTTCAGAAACACAATGCGAGCAACCAAACCGACATGGTCCTCCTAGATTTCTCGAAGGCCTTCAACAGTGTCCCTTGCGAGGAACTTCTCCACAAAATCAGAAACTACGGAGTAGATGGCCCTTTAAACAACTGGTTAAGGCAGTTTCTGACTACATTTAGAAGACACATGCAAGTCGTTATCAAAGGAGAGTTCTCAAACCCGGTAACTTTTGACTCAGTAGTACCCCTGGGAACAGTGCTTAGTCCGCTGCTCTTTCTGTGCCACACAAATGATCTCCCAGAAACCGTAAAATCCAACGTTAGACTCTTTGTAAATGACTGCCTACTCTATATCGCACCATCACAATCTCGTCAGGACCACCACACCCTTCAAAATGACCTCTCAGCTCTTGAAGCTTGGGCCAATACCTGGGAATGAGATTTAATGCAAATAAATGTTATATCATAAGTATTAGCAGCAAGTCTACCATCTTCTACACCTTAAACAAAGTCATACTCCAGCAAGTAAAAGAAAACCCATACCTTGGAGCTGCACTCTCTGAAGACCTAAAGTGGGACGGTCACATAACCAGGCTAATAAAGAAGGCAAACTCCTCAGTTGGATTTCTAAAGCCCTGCCCCAATCTTGCAGAAGATCAGCCTACTTAGCGTTAATTCGTTCCACCCTACAGCTTAGTTGTCTGGGACTACTATTTATGAAAGGATATCAACAGATTCCAACGCCAAGCTGCAATATATGCCTCCGGTGACTACAAATCTAGAGAAGAAGGCTGCGTCACAAAGATGTTGAAGGATCTAGACCTACTATCGCTTCAAGACAGACGGAAGATGATCCGTCTCACTTTTTTCTACAAGGTGGTTGAGGGACTGGTCCCAGCTTTCAATTGTCATGACAATTTAACTCCCGCTAAACCTAAACGCCGAGTTAAAGCCAAACAGAATTCTGACTTTATAGTGAAAAATATCGTAGACAATCGTGTAATATACAATTATAAATGTTTTAAAACAGTGGTATGTAATACTGAACTTCATAGACACTCATTCTTCCCAAAGACAATTATTGATTGGAACCACCTGGATGATAGTATAGTGCGCGCTCGATCAAAGGAGAGCTTTAAAGCTACAATTTCATATTTTTAAGTTATATTTTTAAAATTTATTAAAATAAAGCCTTAAAATTGATGGTATCCATAAACAGTCCTACCTTGTTAAAGAATAATCCTATTAATCCTATAATTCACTATTGCTAGCTGAGAAATTGGCAAAAATATCATTTTCAGCTTCAAATTCAAACGTTTGAACATAGCTATTCCATGGAGGTAACAGGGAAACAAGGGGGGTAATTGTGTTATTATTTCCTGTGTCAATGATTTTTAAGCTTGGGAAATAATGCCCATGATCGTATAATAGTGAGTTGATAACCTATTGAGCAAAAGACATAGAAATAATTATGTTTTGACTTTCTTAGAAAATATGAAATTCTCGCTTTAAATTAGCTCTATCAAGAACCTAACGTATCCACTCCCCGTCGCGTACATGCTGTAACAGACCCTGCGACGTACGGATTCAGATTCAGAATCAGAATCATAGGCTATAATTATATAGATATTCTATAGAATTTGGGGTGGGTTAGGGAATGTGATCTATAGATATGGGAATATTTCTATCAGAAAATACTTCATAAAATAGTATTATATAATTATTTTAATCCTAAGTTTGTATATATGTTCTATATTCTACTATAACATTAGTCTGGTGACCGGTATGATAGCCAGTTTTTGGGCACTCGTTTAAATTATTTATCTCAGTTATCGTCGTTATAGTGTTGGAATAAGCTACAACCCCCCAGAATACAAAACTTCTTAGCCTCAACTTAATATTATTATTACCTTTTTTTTTAAAAAAAAAGATCATTGTCCGTGTCATAAGCGCCTATGTATTGTTTATTTCAACTTGCAACACATATGAAACAAAATCGATATGCAATGCTTCACTACCAATAAGGAATTAAGGACACTGAAATTACAGTATAAGCGATCCATGATGACAAATCGAATAATGTTCAAGACCTTTCCTTTCAGTATACAATAAGGGAAAGAAATTATACATTAACAAGCATTATTTCATACAATGGTTGTCTGGATATACTGAACAAATAAACAGTTTCTATTATCATTCCTTTATCGGTTGATAGTCACGTGTACCTATTTTACCCCCGCAGTTACAACCTCGTCGGATAGTTAAACAATAAAAGACAACATCGACAAAATGCTACCAACATATAAATTGGTATATTTTGATGCCAGAGGAAAAGCCGAGTTGTCAAGGTTATGTTTTGCAGCAGCGGGTGTTAAGTTTGAGGATGAGAGAGTGACAAGAGAAGAATGGCCAGCTCTAAAACCAGGCATGTATAAGCACGTATACAAGTAGGGCATATTTCTATCAATAAATTGATACGATTGTTTATGCTTTTCAGCTTGTTGATGGCTGAACAATAATTATAGAACAACAATTCTTCACTAATGCAGGGTGGATATAATGGTCTGATTGGTATGAGCGATTTATCAATGAGTCTCACCCCAGGTAGGCTACGATCCCTGTGCCTCAACATTACAGTACTCAGATATTATTCAGCTGTACTAGTTATGTCGGGGATTCAACTTATCGAATGTTTGATTGGTATTCAAAAATAAAATATAACTTTTACGCCGCCAACTAGGTATGCGGAATGAAAGGCATCTCGTTATGTTTTTGGAGCCCCCCCCCCCCGCTTCCTTCCTTTGATGTGAGAAAGAGACATGGTGTATAACATGCAATGTGGTTTAATGTTATTTCAATGTTATTTCAATGGTTTAATGTTTTTAGCTTGCGCGTATAGTGGTCTTTAGCAGTTGACAGACCTTATGATCTAATGCGCACGCGTTGCACCATTCAGCCCCCACCCACCCAAACCGTCTCCTTCGATATGTCCTAGCCTGTCAGGGCGTGACATTGATAATCCCCTTTTATATGTTTTCAAACCACATCAGTACCTGGCATAAGATCGAATGTAATGTATACTATCTCTACTACTATGATATACTAGTGTAAGCATTCTTATTTGTGATGAAAACATACCCACCCATCCCGCTGCTTGCTGTATATTATATATTTAAAGGTTTGTTTACAGCCATGCCGTTCGGACAATTGCCCGTTCTGGATATAAATGGAAAACTATTTGGACAGTCCAGTGCCATAGAGAAATACTTAGCGAGAGAATTTGGTAAATATATATATTGACCGGTATATTTTTATACTTAACTTAAATTAGGTAAACCTCTGTGATTTATATACAAATAAAGTGTTGAATTGCTCTTGATTGGCGCTGGAACAATAAACATAATTGAATGGGGTTTAACGTCCTACATTTCTGCACCGACTGGGATAATGAAGATGGACATACGCCATGCAGTGTTCTATGGGGGAAACTCTACACGGACAGCGGCGCTACGGCCTACTCTTATATCGACTTCCATCTACCAAGGGCTCTTTTGCGTGCACGGCAATGGCAATGCGTACACGGGGACCTCGGTTTGTGTTCCGCCCAAGAGGCCAGGCAGCTGTCATTGTCAAGCCATCCGCCCTGCATCAACTAACAAGGGGGGGAAACCACGCCGGAAAATCCAGAGGAACTTTCTCGGCGAACACCGGTAGCGAACCCGAGATCCCTATGCTAGACTGCTAGCGTCTTAGATACTGAAACAAGCAAAATATAAATATTTGTTTCCAAAGATTAAGTGGAAGACGGGTAGACGTTACATTTTTACCCAAGACAGATTGTCATCCTACCTAACAATCCAACACACAAAATCCAGTGAAATCAAAAATTTTATATTTGACTCATGAGTTTTAGCCTTTTTTATTCTTAATGCGGTTGTAAATATCATTTTATTTCTAGCTTTGTATGGTAAAACCTCACTTGAAGCTTTGGAGATAGACGAGATTATTGGATTAGGCCGTGACTACGCGGACCTGGTTATTGCCTGGTATAAAGAGTCAGATGAAACAAAAAAGGTATCGTAGGTTTCAGAATCTCTTAACCTCAACGTAAGCGGATAGAAACTATAATATAATACTAAATGACAAAAGAAAAGACACTCTGTGGATGTGTAAATGTTATTTTATACGATGGGAATACAGTGTATATAATATTAAGTGCTATTTGGTGGCGTCACTTGTGCTGGGAGTGAAGGTGTGTGTGTGTGTGGGGGGGGGGGGGGGGTAAAACAGATATCACCCCTAATAACGGCTGTGTTCGGGAGGACATTATCTTAGTGGTGTCTGGTCATTCCTCTTAGTATTATGAACTGTTGTTGGTACAACGAAATTTATCATGCAGATGCTGTAGGTGAATCTGTCAATCTTATCGTGTATTATTTGTGAACCAACCCAGCCTCGCCTATGTTTGGTTTTGCTGAAAGCTTAAAATGGTTTGAACTAGTTCTCAAGTTAATGTTGAGGGCATTAGCGGGACGATCTGACAAGCCTTCAAACAACCGACATATTGATATCGTTGTCATGAATGTTGGGGGCTAAAGCGGGACGATCTGGCAAGCGTTTAACAGCCAACATATTGATATCGTTGTCATGGACGTTTATAAGTATAAACTGTATTGGCCGTAATATCTTATATCTTTACTTTAATTCATTAGTCAGGTCGGAGCAGAACAGTAGGACGTTAAACCCCATTTCATTTCCAAATAACAATTTGTGAAAATTTAAACTCTTAAAATTGATTAGATAAGTCGAGTCATGTAAAAATATGTTTAAAGATACTTCCCACACTTTTATTTAAACACAGCACAGCTTTCCAATATTTTAATATTTTAAATCTCGACCATCAGAGAGTCTGCAGAGTTCATTATCTTGGCATATTTTGATAAATGTCGAAATGATAATTTATATAACATCTGAAACCATTAGAAAGACCTACCATAGGCAGATTTAGCTCTTACATATAATGCATCTTTAATTTTGACACATGGTGCATTCTGCATTTTTTTAAAAAATATCATTTTGGACCATACGAAACTATCACTCTAAAACTAAATAGCACCCGTATTTTCTCGGTATTCCCAGTGATATCGTTCCGTTACTCCACTAACCTCTGGTTCCATCCACGGGGGAGACACATAGTCAAATTATCCGCCCTTAATATACTTCTGCTATTTTTATCGTGTAGAACGAAACGATACCACTAGCGATACCGAGAATGTACGTGGCTACGTGTTCCTAATGTACGTGTTGCTATGTGTTTTATTGATCCCTAAATGCTGCACTATCTATGAGATCATTCTTTGATTTTTTTTTCAGGCACAACTAGGTACAAAACTGCTGCAAGAAAATTTACCCAAATTCCTCAAAGCCTTAGAAAGTAAATTAACCAATAATGTTCGTGGTTATTTAGTTGGAAACCAGGTAAGTCGAACTTTCCATTTGATTGGGCGTTTTGATACTGTTTCAAAAAAGCAATGTTTTTGATATGATACATATGATCTAGTTTCCAATGATATTATGATGTAATATATAAAAGTGTATATACAATTACTATACATAATCTATGTATATCATATTGGTTACACACTTCTTACGTCTGTCTGTTGCAGCAGATAGTTATTGCTGTAAATTATTAACTGTATTGCGTCTAAAAGCATAACTATAATGATAAGCTATCTAGTTTAAATCGAATGAAATAAGTTTAGAATAATAATTCAGTTTGGTGGAGGGAGTGTGTGGGGGGGGAGGGGTGCAGAAAATAAAAAGCTAGAGGCTTATCATTGATTTTAGTTCACTTTAATAATATTCATGTTGAGTTTTTCTTTTCTATCTAGAGTGTCGTTATAAAATCTAGATCTTTATGTGTATAATATCGATTCTTCCGGATAGGATTACCATTTCTTTATTGTCAAATAAAATATAGTATATATTATACTTTTCAGATGACGTTAGCTGATCTTGCTATCTACGACATGTTGGAAAATAATTTCAGGAAGACGCCCGAATTATTACAAAATTATCCCAAAGTGATAGGACATCGAAACCGCATTGCATCTAGTCAGAAGATTTCCACATATTTAAAGAATAGAAAAGAAACCGAGTTCTGATAGGGAACGTCATTGATTATATTGTGATAGGAAACGCCATTGATTAAAGTTGTGACAGGGAACGTCATTGATTAAATTTGCTCTGTGCTTTATTTATACTCTGCATAGCGTATGTCTATCTTCATTAGTCCGATTGGTGTAGGAAAATGAACTAAAATGAACTGGGGTTTAACGTTCTATTGTTCTGCTCAGGGAGCCACGGTGGCTAAGTTAGTAGCCTGGAGATAGCGGGTTCCCTCTCGATGTTGGCCGAGAAAGTTCATCACGATTTTCCGGCGTGGTCTCCTTGACAGGGGTGCAGGAAAGAGGGCCTGACAAGGACAGCCGTCTAGTCGTTCGGATGGGACGAAAAACTGAGATCCCGTGTATACATTGGCGAGCACGTAAAAGGTACTTTGGCAGTTGGGATTCGATATAAGAGTACGACGTAGCGCCGCTGTTCGAGCAAAATGTCCCTCATAGCACACTGTATGGTGTAAGCCCGTCTTCATTAGACCAGTCGGAGCAGAACAGTAGGACGTTAAACTCCATTTCATTTCATTTCGTTCTGCCCCGACTGGCCTAATGAAGACCGACATACGCTATATACAGTGTACTAAGAGGGAAACTTTGTCCGGATAGCGGCGCTACGGCCTACTCTTATATTGAATCCCAACTGTCAGGGGATCTTTTACGTGGGCGCCAATATGTAAATGGTCTCGGTTTTTCGTCCCATCCGAACGACTATACCTTATCCCTTGCTAGTGCCCCCCCCCCTTTACTCAGCGAGTAAGACGTTGGCTTGCTAACGTTGAGGTCCTTGGTTCGATCACTGCGTTGGCCGAGAAAGCCCATCCGGAATTTTCCGGTGTGATTCCCGTTACAGTGGTGCATGGCGGAGTTCCTGTGACGGAAATTTTCAATGGACCGTGGCATTTCTTCATCGAAATTCAACTGTGAAGGATTCTTTTATGTGCACTCCAATGTGTACACACAACAGGGGCTTGGGTTATTTGTTTATTTTTTAGTTCCATCTACAACACTATACACTGTTCTTTGTCCTGCACTAGTGACATGGAGAAACCACGCTGCAAAATCCCGGGGAACTTTCTTTACCAATACCAAGATCAGTGTACATAATCATAGTAGTGAGAAGAATATGGCCGATAAGACATCACATTTTAATCCCACACCACGACAACCCGACAATGCTACATGTTCACCCCACACAACGACATTAAAAATGTCGTAATGTCGCGTAAAAATGTCGTGGTGTCGGGTTAAAATGTCGTGATGCGCGTCGTAATGTTGGTTTGTCGTGGTGTCGGGTACTCGGGTTAAAATATGTTGTCGGGTAGTCGACATGATACCAATCAGCCACCATACTGATCGATTAATTGTTCCCTAAATACAAGATTCGCTTCAACCTACCTTCAACGTGCTAAAGCATGCTTGGGAACAAACTTTATAACTGATCTCCAGATCCCATTAGCCTATTCATTTGTTATCGTTATCCCCCCACGAATGCGTATGCATTAAAGAATAGGTTGCTCAGATATCATTCACTCATGGTTATTTCATGGATTTGGTCTTTAAATCCAAATGAAATGAAATGGGGTTTAATGTCCTACTGCTCCGACTGGACTAATGAGGGCGATTTTGCTGGAGCAGTGTCACTACGGCCTACTTTAAATTCCAACTGGCAAGGGTTCTTTAAACGTGCACGTCAATGGTGAAACCGACACGCTTTAAATTCAAAATCTAGCAATAGAAATGACTGATGTAACCATAGCAACGAAATATAAACAACACAGCTGCTCTAGGTAGCCTAAATACTAATGCAAATTAATATCCCCTTTTCGAAGCGTCTTCCTCGTCAGTGGTAGGTGTAGGCCTAGGTGCAGTCGATCATAAGTCCGTCAGATTTAAAGGACAATATTGGTGCCAGTCATTATCACATATGTGATAGAGCTGGTTAAACACATTCCAAATATAATTTTAACACAGAGATCATTGCTACGATAGCTGAGTAATACAGGTTTCCTGAATCGGAAGTGACGGACGCCAAAGGAAAACACGGGTCATCTCTCTATATAACTGACTGATGTGACGAGTAATAATGGATATACAGGCGAATTTCTGTTCACTAATAATTCCTTCGAAGACCAAAAGTTGTTGTGTGAGATTGTGAGAGGATATCTGACAATTCATAACAAGAATTGACTGCCACTAGATAAGTGAACACGAAAGAAAAACAGAAAAGGTCCGTGCATTACCATGTTCAGCGATGCCGATAGTACGAAAGCCCAGAAGGCTCATTCCAAATTCTAAAATTCCAAATTCCAAATTCCAAATTCCAAATGCGAATTCCAAATTCCAAATTCCAAATTCATATCTTACCAATAAAATAGCAAATTGGCAGCCCCCCTCAATTAAACAAATTGGAATTTAAATAAATTGTACGTCATTGGCTTCAGCTCATTAATTGTTGGGAGTTTCAGTGGAAATCTGAAAGTGTTTTTTAACGTTATTTGATACTAAAAATTTAAAAAAAAAAAAAAATTCTGAAATGCGCTACACAATGAACTAAGTAAATACCCTTTTTAGGAGATTGAATTTGGATCCAATATACCTATTGCCCCTCTTAAAAAGGTTAGGGTCAGGGTTAGTAATCTCAAAAACACTCATTTATATAAAGCGGCCGAACCTCCCCAAAACACATTAAAGCATTCCCTACACAACATTTTATTTCATCATGGATCGTATCTAGAAGCTAAACGCCCGAATTTACCACAGAGATTAGAGTTAATGCCCCTGAAGTATAATAAACAAAAACATGTCAGGAAAGGTTAAGAATCATTAGATAATATCTGCTGTCCCAAATATTTAGCAATGACGTCTCTGAAGTGAGTGAAAATGATTATCATGATTATTTTATCAAATGTGGAGGGGGAAATAGCGACTGACGAAAACCCGTTGCAACAGCATAGACGGCATAGTGCTCTCTCTAAAAAATTTCCCTCATAGCACACTGAGTATATGGCGTATGCCCGTCTTCATTAGCCCAGCATAGGAGCAGAACAGTAGGACGTTAAACCCCATTTCATTTTATTTTATTTCTAAAAAAAAAGTGATTCTGTCTTTCTCCATGGCATTAGACTATTTGGTTACCCAAACGTATTCCTACTGATATGGATAAACATATTGGATTTTATCTAGATCCAACAATGATATTAATCTATGCAAATTGTAGAAATATGACAACACAGCAGCTTAGCCGAAAGGAAAACTTGGATCTTGATCAAATAACTATTAAGTTCTGAATATCAATTATTCAAGACAATAGGCCTACAGTTAGATAGTATTTATTTTCCTAAATCTCAATCAACACCAACCCTATGGTTTGTGTGTGTATGAATATAAGGGGGAAAATGGATTGGAGGTAATATTTTGTGCTGCAGTCTAATTAAAATATAGATCTTATTAATAGTCTAGGCTTCAGTTTTCAATTTAAAACAGGTACTGGTTCCGTGGCAATATTATTCGGCACCAATTCATGTACAATTTAAATGAAACTTGGCATGCTTGTTCTTTGGACTATTGTACACTAGTAGATCAGCAGACTTTGACTTTTGATATCACTCCCGTCACCACAATTCCAAGGTGACTGGTAAGAGGTTATTTTATATATTTTTATATGTGATAAAGAAAATATTTGTGAATTCTATTGTAGAAAGCACTATCTAGTGAAAGAAAATGAAGATGATTCAGGAAAGAAATTTACCTCCAAGACCCACAATAACAAATCAATGGCTAAACTTACAAAGTTATGGATCAACAAACAGTTGTGTGATGTTAAACTTATGGTTAGTATTATATAGCTTACATACATGTATGTATACCAAGAAAGATCAATAGTTATATCTATTCTAGCTCTTGCTTGTAATATATTTTCCCTGTGTGCTCTGTGTAACCTTTTTTCTTTATACATGCTGGAACATTAAGTTTCTGTGGGCTAATCTACCATTTGTCTCTACATGCTGAACACGCTTTTAAGATATTATTTAATGTACAAAGTACCTCTTATTAAACTCATCGTAGGAAGGGGTTGGGTGGCCGAACGGTTAAAACGTGTGCATTAGAACATAAGGTCTGTCATTGAGTCTGTGGGTCCTCAGGTTTCCTCCCATTGCTAAAGAGCCCTACGCGAAAGTAAATGACCTAGTTCGTGTTGAGTGTTCGTTAAATTCCCCTTATCTCTCGCTAATAGATTGTCTCTACATGCTGGTAATTACAGGCTACTAATTATAAATTGTCCGTAATGCTGATCTACATGCTGGTTGTATGTTTTCTCTTTGTCCTGAGAGGTCTCTTCTCTTGCTGTATTTCTACATGCCTGTAGCTAAGTTCGTATATCTGTGCTAAGAGACTCTTGTCTCTATTTTAGCTTGGAACCTTTAGTCACTATGTTATGTCCTTATGCTCCAAACATGTTTCTATTAACAAGTCTCTTGTCAAAAGATCAGTTATATAAATTGTATATTTTGCAGGTCGAGGGACGAGAAATCTTAACACATCGAACTATTTTAGCTATAAACAGTGATTATTTTGATGCTATGTTTTCACACTGGTATGAGGAACATCGACAAGAGACAATTAATTTAGATGGTTTGTCATACGATGGTGTTAATACACTGTTAGAATATATGTATACAGGATTACTGTCATGTAAGTTGTGTTTATGGTATAAAGTCCGAAATGACTAAACACTATCCCTTGCCAGGCCCTCTCCATCCTGCGTCACTGACTAGGTTGAGAAACATTTTAGACCAACATCAACATCATGACTGGGCCACCTGTGCAATACCTCTATTACTTAACATAAACTCAAACTAAAACTTGAAACAAGTCAATACATGTATATCATTATTGCATTAATGTACAGAATGTATTGTAATTACAGTAACAACTGATAATGTACAGAATGTATTGTAATTACAATAACAACTGATAATGTACAGAATGTATTGTAATTACAGTAACAACTGATAATGTACAGAATGTACTAGTAGCAGCAGATTTACTACAGATGGAGGAAATTAAATCTCTGTGTTGCTCTTACCTAGAGGAAGCCATCGATGCTAGTAACTGCTTAGGTAAAACTTGAATATATAATTAAAAACACATAATATGAAAAAGGCTAAACAATGAAAATATAAAAAAAAGAATAAACACTGAAAATATTAAGAGTGATAAACGTTGTCTCTTCAGTTTTATAAGCAAAGGATTAATTTTAGATTTGTTATTATTAAATACACTCTTCTATATAATATATAACTCTTGTTTGAAATTGCCTGTGATTTTAAAACAGAATAGTGCTGCATGCACACCTACCCCAAGCCAAAACAATTTAACTATTTTGACCTTGTTGGTTAACAGTTAAGAGTTGATTAAGCATCGACACATGTTGTTAACTTTCCAGAAAGACAGCTTACTGCACATACCCACATACAGCAATTTTAAGCCAACTGCTTCAGACAGCCAAGATAATACCGTTTTTAAGAAAAGCCTTCTCGAAGACAGATACAGAGCTGGATTTTTTAAACTGATTTATTTGCCCCACCTTTGCATTAAGACATGCAAGTTAAACTGGTTTAACAATCGCATCTGAACAGGCTATTACATTGATTGAATGGTGCAATATGGCATTTTCTGTACTGATTTTTAAAATTTTTTTTAGGAATGATGAATTTTGGAGAAACCTACAACTGTAAAGAATTATATGATAAATGTATACAATTAATTAAGTTACGATTTCCTACTATATGTCAATCAACAGAATTCTCATCTTTACCATTCCAAAGTTTATTAAAGATTTTAAAATTTGACAATCTTTGTTTGGGTAAGTGCTGTTTTTGGAAAGTACATAAGGAAAGAGATAAAACACCAGACTAAATTGGTAGTCCTTGCTTCATACCTCATTCAAATAAATAGGTACAATTAGAAGACTGGTAGGGAAAGGGAACTTTTGATAACCAAGCGTGCCCCATGAGATGTCACAATAGTCACATAGGGCAAAAAAATGTTGAATATATATTCACTCAGCTTCCACATACCCATTTACATGTATTTGCCTTTTGAATGAGAGATAGAGAGAGCGAAATGGAGTTTAATGCCCACACGACACAAACTAGGTTATTTCGAGACTAATTTTATTTCAATAATTTTAATAAGTTCAATAAGTTCAACATCTGGTCAATCTGGATGACTCCTCCATAGATTATTTCTATTGTTTGGATTTGGTAAAGTCAACATGTCCTTTTGTTACTACCGGTATTATAAATTAATCAGATATTTTCAATATAAAGGAAAATTGATGTCTGATATTTTTTATGTACTGATAAAAATTGTGATTGTATTTTAGGTTTTAATGGAGAAGAAACTGTTGTTAATGCTGTAGTGCATTGGTTAGAAAAAAGCTCAGAATCACGCCTTATACACACACCATTGCTATTTTCACATGTTAGATTCAAGTATGTTAAAGAATCTGTTATACAAAATTTATTCAGATCTTCACTATTTAAAGATAATGAAGGTAAAGTAAACATTTACTGTGTAAGCTCTTGCAAGATAAAGTGATTATAATTTATTTTGATAGATTCATAAATTGAAATGACATTTCTCACAAAGTACTATTTATGTGCATGACAAGGTGTACAAGGACCTCGATTTTTCTTCTCGACTAGGTGCTTTTCTTTGCCAGGCCCTCCTCTTTATTTGGCTTACCCTTACACAGAGGATTCTTTACAATAAAATTGTCTTATCATTCAAAATTATTACATTTAATACTCCACTTTATCTAAATTCTTATTTTATTGAAAAATCTCATGTTTCCAAAACGGATATCTTGCTTCGTTCACAGACCAGTAAATCTCTTTTTCTTCAAAAATGCAAAACGGAATCCATGAAACATACTTTTCATCATTCTGCATGTCTTTTATGGAACAATCTGCCTTTTGATATAAAGATGTGTAAAAATGTTGAAAATTTTAAGATCAAACTGAAAACTCATTTATTTTGCACTGAAGGAACCATAATATTCAACTGATGACATACTTATTATTTTTAACTTGCAACTGCATTCTATTTTATTTTGTGTGTAATTATAGTGTTCTTCCTATATTCTACTTGTATAATGTATATGTTTTGTAGTTTGGGAGTTTGGGAGTGACTTATCAAACTACCCACTTTAAAATGCTATTGCATTTCTAATGATTTTAAATTTATCCTGATATTACATGTATATATGTCTTTGTAGCTTAGGAGGGACCTATGGAAGATTAGTTTTTTATACGTCCACATTGAAATGTGGACGTATATTGCCGTCGCCCCCGTCCGTCTGTCTGTCGGTCCGTCCGTCCCCAAAAGTTATCATCCGATCTTTCTGAAATTTACATGCATTATTTAAATTAGTGAATCGAAGAAGCCGATTGAATTTCAGCAATTTCTATTTATTACGTTTAGAGTTATGGCCCTTGTTTCACTTTATTGAACCTTGTGAACGCTCTAACAACAAAAGTTATCATTCGATCGAAGAAGCCTATTGAATTTCAGCAATTTCCATTTATTACGTTTAGAGTTATGGCCCTTGTTTCACTTTATTGAACCTTGTGAACGCTCTAACGACAAAAGTTATCATTCGATCTTTGTGAAATTTATATGCATTATTAAGATTACTGAAACGAAGAAGCCTATTGAATTTCGGCAATTTCCGTTTATTACGTCTAGAGTTATGGCCCTTGTTTCACTTTATTGATCCTTGTGAACGCTGTCTCGTCAAAAGTTGTCATCCGATCTTTCTGAAATTTATATGCATTATTTAGGTTACTGAAACGAAGAAGCCTATTGAATTTCGGCAATTTCCGTTTATAAGGTCTAGAGTTATGGCCCTTGTTTCACTTTATTGATCCTTGTGAACGCTCTCAAGTCAAAATGTATAATCCTATCTTTCTGAAATTTATATGCATTATTTAGATTGCTGAAACGAAGAAGCCTATTGAATTTCAGCAATTCCCATTTATTACGTCTAGAGTTATGGCCCTTGTTTCACTTTATTGATCCTTGTGAACGCTCTCACGTCAAAAGTTAGTGAAACGAAAAAGCCTATTGAATTTCAGCAATTTACGATAATTATTTCTAGAGTTATTGCTCTTGTTTCACTTTGTTAAACCTTGTTTATGCTCGATTGATAATAGTTATCATCCGATATGTATGAAATTTATATGCATCATTTAAATTTGTGAAACAGGTCTATTGAATTTCAGCAATTTCCGTCCATAATTTCTAGAGTTATGGCGATTGTGAACGTTTGAATGACAAATGTGATCTGTATGAAATTTATATGCATTATTTAAATTAATAAAACGAAAAAGCCTGTCAAATTTCAATAATTTCTGTAGATTACTTCCAGAGTTAAGACCCTTGCTTCAGTTTGTAGAACCTTGTAAACCCTCAAACGACAAAATTTATAATCTGATCTGTATGGAACTGTCTTGTAAAGGCTCCCAATTACCTACAAAGGAATAAATACGTGACAACCCTTGACGACCGCTCGGACGATTTAGCTGCTGTGGTCGTATGTTTTGTTGCCTGGCAACCTATCTTTTGTTTTTTTGCAAACTAAATACGTTGCCTCATTAAATAAAGTTTTTATTATTATTATTATTATTATACATGGGGAAACCACGCCAATAAATCCTAAGGACGTTTCTCGGCCAACACAGGGATCAACCCTTTGAATTTTAAGTTAGTGACCCAGCGCCTCAATCACTGAGCCACTTTGGCTCCCACAAGTGTATGGAAATCACATTTATGTCTAAGATATCAGCATAACAATAATCTTCCCTTCAATCAAAATTTTTAGCTTCCAGTTTGTTTATCAGTTCTCAGGAAATTTCTGTTTCAAGGGTTTTGATTGGTCTTTAGAATTAGAATCAACCAGTCACACTGAACCAGCTCAAGAGAAACTTGTCTGAAGACCAAATTTATTGGTGTGAACACTGAAAAATATGATGTAATTGGATGCCCATCAGTATATTTTGCATCAGGAACTGAAATGTAAATTTGGTTGAAATTTTCAGAAACAATGTGCTTTATTCTGCAGATTTACAGAGTCAAATTAAGAATCAGTTAGAAACAGATAAACAAGAAGAAAGAAAACCGATACAGTCTGTTTTTGTTATTGGTGGATTTTTACAGTCAAGAACAGGGTAAGTTGAAAAACAAAATTATACAAGTAACAGGTAGGATCTTCTAGGTGGGATGGGAGCTGGGAAAAAGTGTTAGGTAACTGACAAAAGTTAAAGATACATTAAGAGTTTAATAAAGAGTTGGCCATTCTTGCTATAATAATTCAAAAATAGATGACAAAAAAAGAAAATATGTGAAAATTTCAGTCAAATTACTTTATTCTGAACAGGGTTGTCACCGTTGGAAGTTTGGACTAGAAATAGGCATCAACTGTGTCTGCACCGTCTACGAGAATTGCCGATCGTTTGATTGACAGATGATAACTCCATCCCCATATATTCTTGATTATCAAGTAACATTCTCAATGACTATGGTACCCTCGCTTAGCAGGCCTTTCATCACCAGTCTCCGGTAGTGACGTCAGTGACTAACGGTAAATCCAAGCTGTATCCAATATTCCAAGCCATCCGATGGTCTACAGAGTTGATTTTGAGCTTGTCATGTAAATAAAGGCCTAATTAATAATTTCTATAACATCTGAAGCCTAAATAAAGACTTGCAATAGCCAGATTTAGCTCTCACATAATGTATGTTTAAAAACAAGTTCCCCATGGGCTAATTGCAAGAAAATTAGATACCTTGAAGAAAACGAGGCTGGAAATAAGTCACCTGTTACATTGTTGGGCACAAACTCAGAATGTTTCAGGGATAAGTACATGTCGGGCACAGATTTTGCATTTTGTCAAGTAGTACAGTTATTAATTCTTTAAATTACATCTAGTAGTATGATTAACTATTCACAATAAAACACAACACAAGGTGTATATGGATATAACTACTTCTCTGTTAGTTAATAACAATATTTCGTAACACATACAAAGCATTAACATTGTGTTAAGTTTCGTTATGAATAGGTACGGTTATGACCATTCTTTCTAGCTTGTCTGGTAAACAAAGATCAAGAGATGTGTGGTAATCGTTAATATATGACAAAATTTTATAAAAAAAACATTTTCAGTAATGTTTTACAACCCTATAATACTTTGATATAAATATTTTGAGACTGGATATGCTTGCTCTTTCTAGAACATCTAATAACACTTTTCAGTAATTTGTGACGTTTACATAACAATTTTTGTTGAAATTTTGTATTTAGTGAATACCTTATTATATTTTTCAGACCATTATGTCCCAGATTAAAATCTGTAGAAAGATACAATATTATTGAAGATACTTGGGATAAAGTAGCAGATCTACCAACATTAGCATCTGGGGCTCAGATTTTAAATTTCCATGGTCGTATGTTTGTTACAGCGTTTGAACTCATATCACGACAAATTGACAGAAATGAAGAAAATATGTCCGTTCTAGAGTATGATCCTTTACATGACAAATGGAAAGATGCTACACATTTTTTCCCTGAAGAAACTCTTCAACTCTTTCAGGAGTGCTTGCAAAAGTGTGGAAACATCGTTGTGAGTGCTAAAAAGAATTCAATATTCATTATTACTGATAAATCAGTCTATAGTTTGCAGTTGATGTTAGTAGATGGTGAAATGTCCTGTAATAAAGCTGTGACATTACCGTCTGTTGGCCATTTTCAGGAAGGGAAGAATTCCCACTATAGCTCTATTATGTGTGATAATAATTTATTTGTACTAGGTGGTGATTTGCAGCATTCTCAGTTAGAAATTTACCCCATTGCTGATGTGTCTTTATTCAATGGTGAGACATGGATAAAAAGAGCGAGCATGCTGGAACCAAGGTCAATGTTTGATGTTGTGGAACTTGGTAAGTCATGTAAAAAAAGATAGTTAGATGAATTAGAATTTACCCAAAGGCCTAATATCATGTAGTGACTTCTGTCTATCCAGCATAAACATTTAGTCATGTCTTTACTTCCTTTCCTAAACTGTTTGATGAATTTCAAAGATTCAGAATAATTAAGCATTTTTAACTAAACTACATAACCGTAGGTAGGATTTGTTCAATAAAGTTTACACCAAGGGGAATTTGCAGGAGTACCTAGAATTTGCAGATTTAAATATGTGCAACTTTTGTTTCCTTTGAACCAATATTAATAGATATGTTGCCAGAGTGATGTTTATTCAGATTTGTTGGAAGGATGTTAGGTTGGCCTGTTGGGGCAACTTGAGATACAATGTTTTCACCCTTTTATATCATTGTATGCATTTATATTCTCACTAAATGTTTAGCATGTTGAGTTACTTTTTCTATGCTGTAGGATAGTCTACAATGTGATTTTTAACTTTGATTTTGAAGGTTAACTCTAATTAGAGTTTAAATATTATATTTTGATTATGAAATTTTGATTTTTGTGAAGACTAAAGGGGGATAACTCTTAACGAATGACAAAGATCTGCATTTTTACAATCTCTTTCAGGTTTCATAGGTGTACTTTTAAGGGGGGGGGGGGGGCAGTGGCTCATTGAGTAAGACATTTGCTTGCTATGTTGGAGGTCTCATGTTCAATCCCATTGTTGGCAGAGAAATTTCATCTGGATTTTTCGTCATGGTTCCCCCTTGTCATGCAGGACATAGGGCCAGGCCGGGACAACCGAGGTCCTGTGTAGACATTCCACTTACTAAGGGGTATTAATTATCTTAATACATTCTCATTTAGAAAGTCCACTATCTAGTTTCTCTTTTGCTTCTCGTTTCGTACTGGGTTTTTTTTGTGCTTGGTTACTCTCTAAAATTGATAATGTAGTTATACTGTGTTGTTTTCTACTATTTTAGGTGGTTGTATATATGCATTGGGTGGATTCAATACCAGACGCGTTAATACTGTAGAGAGATATAATCCACAGGTGGATCAATGGACATATATCAGTTGTATGAATAAAGAGAGAAGTCATTTAAAAGCAGTTGTCACCGCTAATATGATATATGTGATGGGAGGTAGGTAATTTAATTTGAAGTATTTATAGATATTGACAGTATTATGATTTTCCAAGTTCTGACATCATCTGTGCTTTGTGAAAAATCTAGAAAGTGCTATTGCTGGCAGAAAGTGGAATGTTGTGGCTGTTATATGTTTTTAGATGCCAACAACTTAATTTATTTAATTTTTACTGATATTTTAATAACTTGTATAGAATATTTTCACCAGTTTCGTTAATCATAGAACCCAAGGTGGCTCATTGAGTGAAACACTGGCTCGCTAACCAAGAGGTCTCGTGTTACATTTCCGGTGTTGTTCGAGAAAGTTCCTCAAAGATTTTCAAGTGCGGTAACCCCCTTGTCAGTGGTGCAGGATGAAAGGCCTGGCAAGGACAGTATCTAGTCGTTTGAATAGGACAGAAAGCTGAGGTCCCATGTACGCATTGGTATGCACATAAAAGAACCCATCATAATTGGAATTTCAAAGACCAAAATTTGTTTGAATGTACAAACATTTGCATTGAGGCCACTTTTGTGTAGGGATTGATTGTACATGTATATTCTATTAACCAGTATCATTTTTATCCTTTCTATTAACCAGTATCATTTTTATTCTTTCTTCAGGTAAATCATATTCATCAAGTTATGGTGGAGCTAGAAAAGTATTGAATACCTGTGAAACTTATGATCCTTCAACAAACAAATGGACAAATGTTAAACCTATGAATCATTCAAGATGTATGTTTGGTGCTACAGCCTTTTGATTAGGAAAAACAACCCCTTCCAGAACACTTAATACAATGTTTGCAAAAATTGTCCCATTCATCCTTTGGATTTGACTTCTTGTATACCTAATCTGATTCAAATACAGATCTATATTTTGTTTCGTTTTTTTTATTCTTTTGATGGCCTCTACTACATGAAGATCTGATCAGTTGTACTGGGAGGTCACGTCAGGGGTCATATGAGTGGCTTTTGACCCTATGACATCAGACATTGATTAATCAACCAGTGTTGACGTTTCTCGTGGTTTACCCACAGTTCTGTGCACAACACGCCAAGAACTTGCCGTAACAGACCGTTTCATTGGCTAATTCATCACATCATAACAACTCTTCCACATAGTGTTGTAAAGACAAGTAAAACAAAATTTTGAACTATAAAAAATGAAACGAAATAGGATCTGCGTTTTAATCAGATTGTTGTTTACCAGTATATTATAAAGATTATGAATCAGGGCAAGATTAGACTGGTTTGGAATACATGTATTAATGTTCAGCCAATAATGACTAGGAATTAATTAGTCCAATATTACAAACTTTGGCATTATCACATTTTTGAGGCCAGTGTCCTATAATGTATAACTGTTTGTTATCATATGATTAATATATAAACTGTGATATAACTAAATTATTTACATGAATAAATATATAATTTTGAATATGACAAACTGAAATAAAGTAATAAAAACAAACTGAGAATTCAATCCACATTTCCATTTTCAGGGACAAAGGTGACATTTTGTCAGATGATATACAATTGGGTCCTGAGTAGGACTGGAAATCAGATGTTATTTGGTCAGGGGCTAGGGTTGGTAATCGGTAGAGTTTTCAGAATTTATTATTATTGATCGATAACTGCATATAACTGCATCTAAGATCGATATTGATTTTAAACAAGCCAATAGTGAGGCTGATGTCCCCCGCCGCCATCCCAAAATAAATAGATGACACATACTAATTAATTAATGTCACATTTTTCTTTTTGAAAAGTATTGAGCAATCAAACTGATTATACTTTGTCTAAGCAGAAAATGTTCACTCTCCATCAGTTAGAATCCAAGTTATCGTATCCCAAAGCATCGACCAATGAAATTGCTTAGCTCTGCTTAGCTTTAGGGAATAATGTTACTCATTGAACTCAGTCAAGACATTTACCTAATGAACATCTGCACAAAGTCAATCTGATTAAAATACAGATGTATATTTTGTTTCGTTTTTTTTATACTTCGATGGCCTACACTACATGAAGATCTGACCAGTTATAGTGGGAGTTCACGTTAGGGGTCAAATGAACGGCTTTTGACCCTGTGACGTCAGACATTGATTAATCAATCAGCGTTGATGTTTCTAGTGGTTTACCCACAGTTCCGTGCATAAAAAGGCCAAGAACTCACCATAACAGACTGTTTATTTGGCTAATCCCTCACACCATCCAGAACATGTCAATGATAACAACTCTTCCTGATCCTAGTGTAGTAAAGACAAGTAAAACGAAAATTTCAACTATAAAACCGAAACGAAATAGGATCTGTGTTTTAATCAGATTGACACACAGTGAGAGTTATGTTCACAAGTCTTGACCAATCAAAATGCTTATCGCCACATAGTCTAAGCAGAAAATTCTCATCATTAAACTATTGGTCAATTCTCATCATTAAGTTATTGATATAATGGATCTATGCTCTGAGTTTCATCACTCTTACCCAATTAGAACCAAAATTATCGTGTTTCAAATTCTCAACCAACCAAATTGCTTATGTGGGCTTAGTCTTAGTGGAAAATGTGCATGATCAAACACTATCCAGGCATTCACCTTATAAACAGCTACCAAAAGTTTGAACATTCTACCTCAGTTAGAAGGAGAGTTATTGTGTCCCAAAAAGTGTAACGGACAGATGGATGGACCCATTTTAATAATACCCTGCTTTCTTCGAAAGTCGGTGAATAATTATATATGTCTAAAACAAAGAGTCCAGGGGAATGGAATCCAAGAGTACCGGTAAGCATTGGTAAACAAAGAATCGGGCAACTGCTGCATTAAATATTTAATAAATATGAACAATATACACACAATATATTAATAAAATATATTCATTTAATACATTAAAATAACATGTAGAGCAATGCTATATTCAATACACTAATTTTACGTTGAAATAAGTAGGAATTTTGATACTGATAAAGGTAAAATCCTAGCTGCGTTCTGTGTAAGATTGTGAAAGCACACTTCCTGTGCATTGTTAATCATAAGAGAGATTCTTTAAATTAAAACTTAAGATTTGTGCCAAACTGTACATACTGAGGAGAAACTTAATATTAGTCAGGAGCACAACCCCCAGATCCGTGATCATTTCTTGGGGAACAATGTTGACGATGTTTAATAACACATTATAATGCACTATATAATAATGTATTTCGCTGTATGATATGGAAATCTTAGAAATCAAGTGTCAAGACAACTCAAAACACTCAGAATCTTGACGTGTGTTTTCTGAGATTCCCATATCATACAGCGAAATACATTATTATATAGTGCATTATAATGTATTATTAGTATAAGACACATTGATGTCTGGAACAATTTATGGTTGTTGTTATTACATATGTATGTCTGAAGTAGTCATGAAAATGCTCAACTTTTTTATGCTATCTACATTCCCATTAGTCCTATCAGCTTGGAAATGGCATATTTATGTTCTGTGTCCCCCAAAACCCCTGAAACGACATATGACAGGTATATATTGTTATTGGTATTGAAAGAATACTTTTTGTGCCAATTGCTGCCATCATTTTGGATTCTGGCCACCATATAGGATCAATGAGCTACTGGAATTGAGCTTATTTATAGAGAAAATTATAAATGATTTTCATTTTCTAAAAAAGAATGATTTATGAGCATTTAAAACCTATAGTTTATACTAAAAACCTAACAGTATATGTGACCTAGTGTAAACAACGATAATACTGTACATATATAAAATATAATCAAATGCAAAAATATGTCATATAAGACAAAATATGAAAGACATGTTCATAATAATCAAATAATACAATTAAACATAAAAAAATATATTTACAATATAATTAAAATACATTTCACTCTATTTACAAAATAAGATATTCAGTAGGCTAGTACCTCCTTATTATATCATGTCCATCAAGTTATAAATTATTGTTCCCCATCTTTAAATATGATATATCCTATTAATAAAGAAATTTGGGGGTATCTGACATAAATACTTACTGAAAAATAATGTGATTACCTGTACCACATTCGATTCTTTGTCGGCTGAAATTTTATAAACAGATACTTATATCAAGGTTATTTTATCTTATCAATAACATTGATGTACATTACACATACCATTGATTCTTAGTTAGATATCTTTTATATTTTGGCATATTGTAATCCAAAATATGTAGTAAAATTAATTAAATTAATACCAAAAGTTCAAAATATGTATTTTTTTAATGTAAAGACTGTTGTAATTATATAATTAAGCACATCTTGGTAAAACAGAAAGAACTTGATGAAAAATGGGCCAGCTTTATGAAAAAGATAGCACCATTATTTTTTGTCTTAGGGAGATAAAAGATGGCAGATTGACATCAAAATATTGCCACAACTTAAATTAAATAGAACTAAATATTTTCGAACCAAAATATTTTGCAAAATGTTGAATTCAATATTTAATCTGGATTGTTCGAGGTTTCATTTTTGGTTTTACACTGTACAAACTTGTATGTTCTATACTTGGTTCAAGTTATTAATATTGATTATCTTATAAGTGTTTAATAGACAATACAAAACAGAGAGTACACAAAGTACCAACACTTTAATAATACAAACTTTAATAAAGTGAACAAAGCTTTTAGCTATATGATTTACACTATTATTTGATTTGCTGGGGATGGGGAAAATCTAATCAATGTCTGACTGACCATATCTACATTATTTCATGAATATACACAATGATGATAATGGCGAATATATATACATCAGATTTGGTATACAAAATTGTTCTAAAATAGTTGTCATGATTTCATGGTCGCGAAAATATACCCAAGAATTGAGACAACACCCGTGTGAACCTTATATATTATCCCCCCCCCCCCCCCTTTGCAGCAATCGCAGTATAAAGGTCTCAGTAATATTTATAAACTTTATAACACACTCAGCAATAATTAACTAAAAGGGGAAGACCATCAATTTTTAACAAGGTTTCCATAAATTTTAAATATATATATTCATAATATAATCCCCTCTGTAACACAAGCAAAAATGTTTTTGTAAGTGAGAAATTATTTTTTTTTAATTAAAACTGTAATGACGTAGTTGGTTCAACATGGTCTCTATAGTAAGCATACTGATTTGGCATAAGTTTACTGCACTGATTCTGACTGATTTATAAGCAAAACAACATGTGTTGCATTACAGGCATTTTTATAGTACCGGTACTCTAGTCAAGTAGAGTAAGTAAAATACCTCTATTGGTACCTCTTAAAATAAATACTTCTACTAATACCTCTTAAAATAGATGATAAGAGTATTATATTGTCATGTTAAAGATTCAATGCGTATTTGAAATAATTGCCCGGTTCATACTACTACTCAGTTATCATATTCTGAATTACTTTTATACAGTTAAAACAAATATTTTGCTATGTAAATCTCAGGATGATGTGTTTCTGAGAATACTTAAAACCATACACACATTTTGTTCCAGAGATATATTAAAACCATGGAATATCAACTTTACCAAAATCCATGAAATTGTCTCCTCAATGAATCAAATTACCCTGAATTTAATAATTAAACTCAAGAAATGAAAGATCTAGAAAACAAAAAAAAAAAAAAAATATTGCTCATTTAAATGTTCAGGTAAAATGACTTTTAATTTACTGCTGCTTGCATAAAACCCACTACTACATTATATAACAATGAAATTAATCATTTTTAAATATGTGATACAAAAACTCTTAACCACAAATCCAGGATACTTCAATCTAAGTGAAACTTGTGAAATCCTAATATAAGTTCTGTAAATATTTTGGGTTGATCTAAAGGAATGGCATGTCCACAACATGGTATAACATCTACACTCTTACAATTGACTAGTTTGTCTTTTAATACATCTAATCCTGATATATCAATAATCTAAAAAAAAAAAATGAAAAAGATTTCATTCAATCCTTAAAAGCAATTATTTTTGAACATAATACATAAAGAAATTGTAATGGATGGAAAAATGGAAGGGTGTGTCTAATTTCTTATCAACATCTCATAATCAGACTAACGCGGTAAAACGGTGTTGAGGCTGTAGACCAATATACAATGTCATTTTCCCCTCCATCTGCAGGACTTCACCCACACATCCTTGTTAGCACCTTAGATGAGGATCAATTTGAACAAGCCAACAGTGAGGCTGATGTCCCCCGTCGAAATAGGAAAATAATTAGAGAGTTATTGTGTTCCAAAGTCTCAGCAAATCAAATTGCTTATCGCTCTGCTTAATCTGAGCAGAAAATGCTCATTATCGATCTTAGTCAAGGTATTACTGTAATGAAACTATACACCAAGTTTCATCACTCTCACTTAATTAGAACTAAAGTTATAGTGTCCCAAAGCATCAACCAATCAAATTGTTTATCTCTGCTTACCCTAAGCGGAACGGACAGACAAACAGACAGACGGACGAACCCATTTTAATAGTTCCCTGCTTTCTTCGAAAGGCGGGGGACAATAAGCATGAACATTTACTCAATTCGAAGATCAACCAATCAAATTGTTTATCTCTGCTTACCATAAGCGGAACGGACAGACAGACAAACAGACAGACGGACGAACCCATTTTAATAGTTCCCTGCTTTCTTCGAAAGGCGGGGGACAATCAAAGTAGGAGAGTTATTGTTTTCCAAAGTCTCGACCAATCAAATTGCGTATCGCTATGCTTACCCTGAGCAGAAAATGCTCATTATCAAACTTAGTCAAGGTATTACTGTAATGAAACTATACACCAAGTTTCATCAATCTCACTTAATTAGAACTAAAGTTATCGTGTCCCAAAGCATCAACCAATCAAATTGCTTATCTCTGCTTACCCTAAGCTGAAAATGCTCATCTTCGAACTCCATCAAGGCATTGACCTAATCAACACATACACCAAGTTTGAACATTCTAGCTCAATTAGGAAGAGAGTTATCGTGCCCCAAAGTATCAACCAATCAAATTGCTTATCTCTGCTTACCCTAAGCGGAAAATGCTCATCTTCGAACTCCATCAAGGCATTGACCTAATAAACACATACACCAAGTTTGAACATTCTAGCTCAATTAAAAGTTATCGTGTCCCAAAGCATCAACCAATCAAATTGCTTATCTCTGCTTACCCTAAGCGGAAAATGCTCATCTTCGAACTCCATCAAGGCATTGACCTAATAAACACATACACCAAGTTTGAACATTCTAGCTCAATTAGGAAGAGAGTTATTGTGTCCCAAAAAGTGTGACGGACAGACAGACGGACAGACAGAAGGACAGACAGACGGACAGACAGACAGACGGACGAACCCATTTTAATAGTCCCCTGCTTTCTTCGAAAGGCGGGGGACAATAAACAATAACACACACAACATCAGTAAGATATTTTTTTTTTACTAAATAAGTATAGAGAACAAAAAAGTACCTTGAAAGTTTTACATCTCTCAGTACAGAGATTCAAATGTGGGTATTAGAGATCAGGATGGCCAATTGTCAGGAAAATGAAAATTCCAGTTTGATTAAATACAGCATGCTACACCAGGGATGCTACTTCGTCTCTATATTTCCATCATGTCCTACACAATTTTGCAAACATCCGACTAGGAATATGCCCAATCAGACATCAAGATATAGTGAATAATATTCAAACTTCCAACATATATTGACTGTACTGAGTGTAGATGAAGTCTATTAAAGGGAATGACCACTGGTGATCTAATTTTGGCTTCTATTAACCCCAACCAAAAATGCCCAACGAGCAAAATTTTGAAATAACATCCCTGGTCTACACTAATGTGAAGGTAGTTATATATATATTTTCTATGGATATTTAGAAAGCTTTCACTTACACTGTCTTCTCTACCCCAAATAAGTTGTACTGGTGTATCGATACGATGTATATTATCTACTAATGTAGATGGAGTTTCAGCTATTTTACGAAATACTGAAATACAAGCGAAAATGTCCTACACTTTTTTTTATACAATGATAAAGTGCAGGCTTCTATCCTTTTACAGTTATCAATTTTGTTTTTCATCCATTTCTTACTGAATATTGGAATTTTTCTAAGAAAGAACATACTCCTTTATTTGCATATTTAATATTATGAATAATCAGTCCTTATTAATTAAAATATTAATTTCTATAATTTTAAATGCTTATGTGGTGTTTGTCACTAAAATCATGTTCTCATATATTGTAACACCTACATTTGTACAAGTAGAAACATTACTGCATAAGATTCCAGAGAAAGCATGAAATAATTAAGTCATGTTTGTTTAAAATCAGTAACCATAACTTACATTTCAGAAAAAATACATTTCTCTGCTTCCGCATATCTGCAGCTCCTTGTAAAATCTGAAGAATAAATAACATTATCCTTTAAATTCAGTATAAATATTAATCAAGCAAAGATTAGCAGATAACAAATCTTTTAGAAATATCTTTTTGATACATATTAAAATATTATTTTATATTTATTCCTTCCACATTCTGATAGCTTTAACATGCATTTCTGTTTGAGTAAGTTAGCATGATGATTTTATTTGCCCTAGCCAGTTTAAGTAAACTAGTATGATAATTCTCACTAGCCAGTTTAAGTAAACTAGAGTATGATAATTTTCACCAGCCAGTTTAAGTAAACTAATATCTCACTGGTCAGTTTAAGGAAACAAATATGATAATTCTCTTTAAGCAAACTATTATAATAATTTTCAAAAGCCTATTTAAGTAACCTGGTATGATAATTTTCACTAGCCTGTTCAAATAACTAGTATGATAACTTTCACTATCCAGTTAAAGTGAACTAGTATGATAGTTTTCACTATATAAGAGCTCTGTTTAATTAACTAGTATGATAGTTTTTTCTTGCCAGTTAAAAGGCAAAAAAGCCAGATCATCCACATATATTATTTCAAAAGTCAAAAATAGGCACAACTTTACTGTTAAATAGACGAGCTTGTACGAAAAAGATAGCACAATTATAATTACTACATTTGTAAAGACAAATATGCCAGTCAATAGAAACTAATATAAACTTTAAATGACCATAACATGTTAAGAGTTGATCAAAATGTTGGGTTATGCAATAATGCAATTGCGTGTTATAATTAATATAAACAAATGTAACACGCGCTGGGAAAGGGTGCGCCTAAACCACGCATATTTTTTTTTTCCTGAAACACCTCTGCCAAAGTCGCCCTGCGCCTTATCTACGCATGCGCCTTATACACCGAAATATACGGTACTCCATATTTAATATTTATTCTGGGGCCATACTATATACCGGAAAACAACCGGAAAACACCATTTTATACTGAATACCGGAAAAACACTAAATACCGGAAAACATCCTAAATACCGGAAAACATCCTAAATACCGGAAAACACCCTAAATAGGTAACACGGAGCCTGGTCCTCTGTGTGCGGTTTTGGACCAAGTGAGCGCCGATGAAGGAAGGTCAAGGTCATTACGATGTTCGTTTTACAAATAGCCTGCCCTCAAAGGGCCCCATTATATGCCGGTTGCGCCGGTCTCCTGATTCTTACCAGTAACGCTGGAATCAGGGTGGTACGAATTAGTGGAAGGCGCGACTAGGCCAACTCCTCCCTAGGTAACAAAAAAATCGCATCATAAAACAGCAAGTATCATCAAAAGCGAGTTAATAAATCTCTGAATAGTTCGAGTTGAAGTTCCAGGTTTAACCGCTATGAGTCCTAATCACCAAACAAAATGGATGCCACACAATTCTTGGACAGGCTGTAATCTGAAAAGTGTCTATCCTTTCCAAGAGCTATCCATCTCGTTGGAAGGGCTCAAAATCTACTTGTTTCTGAGCTTACTTTCATTCCAGGATCAAATATAATCACTTGAATCATAATAATATTCAACATATTCCATCATATTCCGAGGGCCGCACACATGATTTTTTTCTGGATTACTTTCGAGCTTTTTTCCCCACTTGTTGACCAGTTTTCCTTGAGAAAACCCCAACTTTCGCCCAATTGTCCATGAGAAAAGTACATACTCTATCTTACTACATTGACGGGAAGTGGTAAGCTGGACGTCTGTAAAAAGGGTTGATCGATAAATTTTTAAGGAAGCAATTGTTGTTTTTGTTTGTGAAATAGAGGACTCTAGCCGATGAGGCTACTTTCTCCCAGAGAACCTCCGGCAACCAATTTGTTTTATGTACTACTAATTACTATCGTAATAAAACATTACTATGTTAACCACTTCCTGGTGGCTGAAGACTTACACCGAATGCGTATTCGGAAAAAAATGTCCCCGAGAAAATGTTTTTTCCGACAATCGATATTCGAGATGTGTTCTGTTGCATAAATTATACTGCACTGTGTAAGAACTTGCATCCTTTGATCTGAAGATTGTAGATGGAAAAGTATCATTTGCACTATTTCAAAGTAAACCTGCATTTTCGTATATCATCCCGTAATTTGTGATTAATGACAATGACTCTAGAAATAATATGGCTTGAGGATTGAGAGATCTATGTTCGTCACGTGACTGGACAATTCCACCCCCGTCCCACTCTGACGATGATCCCTCCCGGAGCGACGCGCTCTCTAAAAAAATCTCAGGCACAGTTTACTCTTCTAAGTTTTCCGGTCGATATTTAGTAATCCGGAGTTTGGTCCTCGTGTGTGGTTTTGGACCAGGTGAGCGCTGATGAAATAAGTTCATTAACATACAAGCAAGCGATCACCTACGGTCAAAGAAAAATTTCTTTTCAGATTTTTTTAACAATTTCTTCTCCAAAATTTCTCAAAAAAAAATTCTAAATTTTTTTCCAGTATTTTTCTCTGTAAAATTATTTTCTACGGAATGTTTTTTTGTTAAACCAATTTTTCGGAAAAATTCAAATTTTTTGTTTTGTGACAGAAATTTTTTTTCGTCCAAAAAATTTTGGAGAAAAAAAAATCGGAATTTTAAGATTTTTTTAAACCATTTCTTCTCCAAAATTTCTCTCAAAAAAAAATTCTAAATTTTTTTCCAGTATTTTTCTCTGTAAAATTATTTTCTATGGAATGTTTTTTTGTAAAACCAATTTTTCGGAAAAATTCGAATTTTTTGTTTTGTGACAAATTTTTTTTCGTCAAAAAAATTTTGGAGAAAAAAAAATCGGAATTTTTTTTTTTTTTTTTGGGGGGGGGGGGGGGCTATTTGTAAAACGAACATCGTAATGACCTTGACCTTCCTTCATCGGCCCTCACTTGGTCCAAAACCGCACACAGAGGACCAGGCTCCGGGTTACCTATTTAGGGTGTTTTCCGGTATTTAGGATGTTTTCCGGTATTTAGTGTTTTTCCGGTGTTTTCCGGTATTCAGTATAAAATGGTGTTTTCCGGTTGTTTTCCATATGTTTTCCGGTATATAGTATTGCCGTTTATTCTGGCATGATGGGACTTTAATTAACTAGTATGATAATATTCACTAGCCAGTTTAAGTAAAGTAGTATGATAATTTTTTACAGCCTAATATGATAATTTTCACTAACCTGTTGAGGTAGACTTGTATAATAATAATGACTAAGTTTAAGCATGTTTTGTAGTTCTGAAGGATTTTGAGGTAGTAGTCCACACTCTAGTATTCCAACATCTGGTCCTTTTTCATCAACAGCAAGTCGTAAATTTTCAGCAAATTGACTAGCAGATGGTGTCTGCACTATTAACAAATTAAAATTTTGTTAGTATACAATACAAGTAAATAATATATTACTTCTGATATTAAAGTGTGTTACGGTGAGTTATATATAAACCCATAACATATTGATGCATCATTTTAGAGCTACATGTATAGGAATTACTTGCAAACTACAATACTGTGGAGGATGGATCTCTAAGATGAATATCAGTCCAAAAATGGTTCAATTCCGTTCAATATTTACAAAGATATGTGGAATTAAAATTTCAGAGATCTGTGTTCCCATTTTGTTTCTGCGAAAATTTATTGGTAGGCTTGTTTTAAATCCGACTGAATACAAGCGTTGGTATTTTGATTTTGTTTTCTTAATTAAATGTTAAATAATCAATCTAATTACATATTAGTGTGCATTAAGCCGTGTGAAATTTGATATTTTGGCGAAAAAATTGCAAAATAACATATCATTTCTTTAAATTAGCATTACTTTGGTTGATGAAGACAGTCGATGGCCGTGTCTAAAAATATTTTTAACTACTTTATCATAAGAAGCAAACCCCAGTGATTTTTCAAATACATGTAAACAATAAAATGTTTTAGTCCCGGTAGATCTTTGTAGGAACAGCGGACAACACAAAGACATCGAGAATGTACAGAAACATGTTTAGTCTTCTAAACAGATTTAGCAAATGGAATAGGATTGCAATATCCATTCTACATGATAATTTTTGCTTTTGTTTATTGCCCTTTATTAATGGGAGAAAACTGGAAACAAAAAAAGATTGCAGGCAGAAAACTAAAATCTATAGGATCAAAGCTACAATTGAAACTGATGATGATGCACTTTAGATGACTGCCCACCCAACTGCCCATAGAGCATCAAGTTCGGCATATTGAGATTACTATTATTGTATTTTAAAATCTTTAATTTGTGGCTATTTCTCTTTCAAATTAAAGATGATTATACATACTTACTGGAAGGACAACATATAGTTAATTTATGTACTAAATGTGGATATTCTGCTGCAAATAATCCTCCTATAGTTCCTCCCATAGATAAACCAACAATATGAAGTTTGTTCTTTATATCAAGATTTTTATGCTGTAAAAACTGAAAGAGAAATCATTCAAATATTTTTTGAAGTTATAAGAGAAAATCAGTTTGTCTTATATATAGATTAGCATCCAGTTATTTCATTGCCTTTTCTCCTAGGACTTGATCTGAAGGAACAAAATTCATATTTTCAGTGGGCTTTACAATAATCATTGACAACCCACTAGTGTCACCTAATCATTTTCTCTCTCTTTTGTCGTCATGCAAATTAAACCAACCGCGTAATTTTGACAGTAAACTCAATGGGCAAAAGCTACATTCCTTAAAATTATGTAGCTAAATGGGTAATTAAAATAAAGTAACGAAATAAAAGGACTGTAGACAGTCTAAGCATGCCCTACATGTATTAATGTTATTTCATTTTAAATTTCACTCTACAAGGTCAAAACTCAATGTTATAACTTGGTTTTTTTTTTCAAACAATATTTTTTTTAGTATAGTATTTTAAGAAATATTCTTTACTGATACAATGATATAATAAACAAAATTACAGTACCACCATATTCTACATAATCTGTGTTCTATGCTCATTGGGTCAATTCTCACTTTTGCTTTTACAATTTCTTTTGAAAAGTTTACTTATGTAATTATCCTTTGTTGATGTTACATCAATCATCAACTGATTGTACCACAGATTATCATCATATAATCATAGAACATGGGGTATGACCAAGATATGTAGAATGAGGTTGTAATATATATTAAAAACAAATATTACTTGGTAAAGTTTTTTAACTTGACTATGGTAACCAATAGCTTCTGATTCAAGTGGATCATCACTGCCACCATGTCCTGGCTGATCTAATGCTATCATATGATATGAAGCAGGCATCCTCTTAAAAAATAAAACAACCAAACAATTAAATATTTGTTGAAATTGTTTGCCTTGAAGTAATTAATGAGCCTTGTGAGTTGTGGATAATTTGTAAGAAACTGTCTTACCTACATTAATACTGAAAATAAATTCAGCCATATCTGTATACATATTTTTATGGTTGTCATCATTAATTTTGTTTTTTTCTTACAAAATTATCAATTTCTGGTCAATTCATCTTGGTTATGGCTTAAGTGAATTTTAAGTTTTGAAAATATTTACTTGCTTATTTCTCTTTATAATTCACAAATTCAAAAGACTATAAAATCTCTTTCTTGTGCTTTAGACTATCATTCTAGATGTGGTGAAGGTGTCTCAAATTCAGTATTTCAAAATTTTAGGGGAGAGTAAAAGGGCAGTTTCAAATTGTAACTTATTGTTCCTGTTAAAAATCAAAGAATCTTGTTTTTCTCTTTACCCTCCCCATAAAATTAAAAATAAAAAGGATATAAAGTGTATAATAATACCAATGCAATAGGTGCCCACATATAATGATCAGCTGAAAACCCATGTAGAAAGATAATAGTTGGTTTACTGTCACATTGTCTGCCCTTTTCACCATAACATAATGTAATACCATCAATATGGGCAAACTTTCTACTCATACCACTCCACCAAACAAAAAATCTAAAATCACAAAATTATATTGATCAATATAAATTAATAAAGATAGGTTGCCAGGCAATGAAACGCCTACAGCAGCTAATTCGTCAAAAAAGGGTTGTCGCATATTTTTCCTTTTGTCATCTGAACAGACATATGGATGCGGGTGACGGCAATATACAACCACATTTCAATGTGGGCGTATAAAAAGAAATAGATGCCAGAGTCCATTTCTCTATGAAGCGCATAAATCATTATTATCATATTTAATACAATTTTACAAACACCCTCTTTTAAAGAATGGGTTTAGTAATATATGAAACTGTCTAATTAATGGCAATAGTAAAACTCGGTCCAGGAGTCGTGCCATTTATGCAACACTTGTGTGAGATTATACATATTTCATTAGCCATATCTGGAATTCATGAGAGATCAAGCTCATTCTGAGGTCCGTGAATGAATTTTTCATTTTTGATTGACTCAGAATCTTTACCTACACTTGTCACATACCTCCTATCATGTGTATGAATCCAGATTATATAGTAAATAAGCCTGGATATAATTAGACCTTTTTAAAAACTTTGAGGCAAGCTTAATTCATGATTTGAAATTAAATCTTATTAATGTTAAAATACTTACTTCATCCAGGTTTCAATAATAAACCTTGGACAGAAGAAATAGATACCAAGCATACCAATAGTTATAGAAGTTAATACAGCTAGGGAAATAACATTCAGAACGTCATCCGTCACCATCTTGATATCTGTAAAATAATTTTTTATACATTTATGTACGGTAACGTAATGTTATTAATGTTTAGTTATCCACAAGTCTGGATGGCACCTGTCAAAGACGTTTCCAGACACAAAATATTGCACAACGTTTATATACAAGTGTCTGACAAAGTCTGTGACAGGTGATGTCCAGGTTTGATAATAATCCAAGGCAAAAGGCTAAAGAGTTTTACTGATGTCGATTTGATGTGTTATTTCATTACGCGAAAGTTGGCCTTAAATTTAAGATAACTCGGCCTTAAAATACTTGGCTCTGATAGTGTTTACATTGGAACTGGCTTTATTGTAGATGTAAAATTATCCAACAAAACAAATCTACATTTAAATAAAATCCCAAATAATCAACAATTTATTTTGTCCCCCCACCCAGAGTTTGGTCATTTCATTCATTAATTAAAAAAACATACTAATATACCTCTTTGACTTTGAGAGAGGGAGCGTGTGAATTTTGGCGATGGGTAAGAAAATTCACATTTTTCATTTTTACTCATCCTCGCCAAAACTCGGGTGATAATACATTACCGTACTTCCAATCCTTCAGTGTCAAAATCATGTCTAAAATTAGTAACGTTTTGGAAGGAATTCCTTTACAATGTAGAGTCTACATCGACGTATCGATCCTTTTTGTGAAGCAAACAGATACTAAATAATGGAAAGACTTTGAATATTTCACCTTTTTCATTCAAATAATGTGCGTTATTCATTAATATTTCCCATTGAAGCGGATGGCATGACATACTTACATGAACTTTGTACCTTTCAAATAAACATACCACGTTTGATAACCCTGGCTCGCATGAAAATTTACCAATAGACGGCGTTGTTTGTAACGGGTCAGTTGCTTTGACTATCCAGACATATATTTATAGAGGGGTTTTCAATGAACATGCCATATCTGGATGATCAATTTGTTTGGAATTTTGGACGGAACAGGGGTTATTGTCTTTAATCACCTAATTACATAATCATCATGAATAGATCAGCTTTCTCAAATATCAGGCGAGATCAAATGACCAATCAAACGGCAAGCTGTTTATTTCACTGGTTGTTAGGGTTTAAATTATCATTAGACTCGATAGGGTCATGTAAAGTAATTAAATTATGAAAATTAATTTTGATGTACATTTTAAATATTAAAGATGTACATTTTAAATATTAAAGATGTACAATTTAATTAAAGATATATTCAACTCAAGTTTACTAAATGTCATTGTGCTTGATAACGACTTGTCGAAACGTTTCCCAGAAAAATTGTGTTCTTCTAGCTGTCACTTCTGACCCTCTAGTGTTAATTGTGTTTCCCAATCACTAAATGCCACTTAAAGATTAATTAAAGAAGACGACCAATATATATATATCTAATTGATTGTGGTGATTACAGAAACCTTTAGTTTAAAACAGTTGATCCCTGGTCCGACATTTCTGCAAATTTGTGTTATTTAGATGTCTTTCAATGCAAACATGCTAACAAGAGGAATTATCACAGTGCTGTTGAACTCACAATGTCAATGGTACATGACAAAAGGCTTGGCAAGGAGCCGCGTCTATTTGGTGCAGAAAAGTAGAACGTTAAATTAAATCCCCAACGTGTACATTTCTTCCGAATGAGGGGGCAGGGGGGTTGGATGGCCGAATGGTTAGCACGTGCGCACTGTATCATACGGTCTCTCATTGAGTCAACTGACAGGGTTTTGATTCCCCGGTTGTGCGTGACAAGGAGTAGGGTCGCCTGTCGAACCTTGTGCCAACTTGTGGGCTTTCTCCGGTTTCTTCCCACTGCTAAAGACCCCTACAAGCAAGCAAATTATTGAAATAAAAAAATCTTCCCACTGCTAAAGACCCCTACAAGCAAGCGAATTATTGAAATAAAAGATTGAACCATGTGTTAGTCCCAAAATTACCTACCAAGAATTCTCGTAATTAAACCCTGGGCTTAATTTCGAATTTGACCATGTCAGTGATGAAACATTTCTTCTGAAATTAAGCCCAGGGCTTCAACTCGAAAAGAGGAAAAAACGACAAACATTTGGGTTCTTTTTATAATTTTAAATGGAATGAATCAAATTCATCAACAAAAATGGCCTTTAAAACACAATTGTGATACACCGTCACATAAATGTTCAGAAATACATAAAGAAAATGTCCATACACTTTAAATTTCAAAGTTCTTTGAACAAATCAGATCTCAGGGCTAGCTTTTACTAGTATGGTGAGCATCCTTTACCCATCAATGTCCTCGTTTGAGCTGGAATCCTCGAACGGGTGGTCACTGAGTTGGTCCTCACCTGGCAGTACAAGACCGGAGTGTGACTGGAGAACATCTCGTAGCCTGTAGTTCACATGTGGTTTGAAAATTTAAAAGGGAGACCACTCTGAAATAAATTTTAGATTTAAGCCCATGGGCTTAAATTCGAAATTTAAACTCGTTATTTAGCTCATTCCCGGTAGTCTATGTCGAGTTTATGTTAAACCCCATTTCTCTCTCTCTTTCATCCGAATGACTAGAAGCTACTCTTTGTCATACCCCACTGGCAAGATGAAGATTATAAATTATCAGGTAATGGACAGATTCGGATAATATAGCTGTACCTACATGTGAGTGTCTTAAAAGTGTTTTTACAATAAATATTCATATCCTTTCCCCAATTCTGAAGCTTCTCTGTTGTCATGCACTGAGGTATTCTAAGGACGGAGTACGATTGATTGACTGTGAGACCACTCAGCTCAGATCAGCTTAGTTATCCATGCTCAAATAAACAATGCGAATTACACTTAAAGGTATATAAATTTTATTGATGAAAATGTGTATACTATATATAAACATTGTACAAAAACTGAAGGTGATATAAAAATACTGTATGTATAAATGCACATTTATTAAACTGAATGTGTTAACATTTAAACTATTGTAAACAGTTATAAGAATTTAAAATATTTATGTTATCTAATATGTGACCAATTCTAGCTTGATGAAACCAAAGGTAGGGTGACCCGTGCAGTGAAAATTTTCTCTACAGAAAGTTGGATCGACACGGCGAATGTGCACGCTTCAGTGGCTTGTCTCAAAGTGATTTCTCACTAACTACGCAGTATGATAATACTCAGCACTAGAGTCTATGAGACTATAAATAGCCATCGCACATGCAATTCTCTACACATATTAACTATATCAGCCGTAAAAATCTATTGTTGACGATTCTGAATAACAGTAATATTTAGCTTTTTGGTTATTACAGCAGCTTTAGAAATTTATGTTCGTTTTGCTTTATCATTAACTGTACCGTTATGAGTGGCATCTTTTGGTTTAGTACAAATAATATCTCTGAAACACTTGCGTTAGGCAAGAACATGATACTAGCAGTAGTTTCGTTTTACTTTTACAAGGTTCTTAAAACAATTGTTGAGTTGCCTAACGTGCGTCTTTCTAAATTCAATTTCTTGTTCCAGCTGTCTGTTTTGTTTCGTAAAAAAGTAGTCTTGATTATCCCGGCCTGTCAATCAGACGTAGTATGGTCGGCAGACTGGTTAAGTGAGACTAATTTCAAAACAAGGGCACGTAACCTATTTTTTACTCACAAGTGCCCGGATGTTATGGCCAACACTCGTAACCATGGTGTATATATAAATATTGTGGTGTAATAGTTGATATATTTGGAGATATTTATTTATGGTGGGTCACCCTACCCATGGGTCAAAAATTAAAATACAGCTATGCATACATTTAAATGTGATATCTGCATTTATCTTAAAAGAATAGAGGAATTAATATGTGTATTGTATAGCTTTAATTGGTTTTTTAAAAAAAGCAAAATTTGAAAATTACTGAAGCATGACTTTATAGAAAGCCAAACCAGCACATGTTGCGCATTTCTGATAAGTTTTCACCTTTGAGCTCTGTTGAAATAACAAATACGTGATTATTGAAGACTGACGCATGAAACAAAAAACCCCAGTAAAATGAGATTTTTTGTTTTACATCTTGTACATTATCTCATTAAGCCAGGACTGGTCATATATTTGATAAAGAATTTAAAAAGTTTATTAGAGATGTGGCAGAATGCAAATATGTGTTTTCTGTGTTTGTTTTTTTAAAAAAAATGATAACAGTAACAGTAAGCAGTAAGCACTCATGTATATAAATTTGTCAGTTCTATAATTTGGAATGTACATGGATCATCTGGGTAGCAATTCAAAGAATAACTGAGAGTTTTCTACATAAAAGAGCTAAAGTATTTAATTGGGTCTATCTGATGTATTATTTCGATTAGTGATGCGACAAGCTCTGTACAATTAGGAGTGTAAGTTTTCCTGAAAAATATTTTTCTCTGAAAACAAAGGTGATTTACTTCAAACATATGGGGAATACTTAAAGATACATTATGTAAGATTTAAATAAAGAGCTAGCCAATCTTGCTATAATAGTTCGAAAATAGATAATGTAAAATTAATAATTTGAAAATTTCATTCAAATTACTCTATTGCGATAGAAGATATTAGCCTTTGAAGGTTTGACAAGACATGTGCAATAATTTCAACCACTGTACTGGTTGTTCGAAGCTAAGTCTCGCTCCTCGATTTTTAGCTTAAATCAAAATATGGCTGAACTGTTCTAATCTATTTAATATTGGAGAAATCTTGACGCCATCGAGAGTTGATTATGGCCTGGATATGTTAATTAATGTCTAATTAATAATTTAGAAAACATTTCAGGCCTAACGAAAGACCTGCAATAGGCAGATTTAGCTCCTGCATAATGTATGTTTAAGATTGCTCAATAATAATGGATCATAAAACAATCACAATTTAAAAATAAAATTAAATATTTCCTAAATCTTTATTAATCCTTTTTAGCTTTATTTGAGCCCCTAAAATGCTTGAAAGCTTTGTATATTGACCCGATAACAGGAATACTAATAGGTAAAAAGAGGGGGATATAAATAGCAAACTTTTGATCTTCAGGGAAATATAACAATTCTAATAAAGAGGGATCAAAAAATGCCTTTTCAGAAGCAATAATCGCTAACTTTGAAGCTTGGAAAGCTCCCACAAGGTTCCCAGCCTGTAGCAGTTTCTGACTGTTTTTAATTGACTCCACTGCAGTCTCCACCTCACTCCCTATATCATCTTTAATCACAATATTACTAATCTGGCCCAATAACTGAGCTAAAGATTGTATTGTGTTGATTGAAGTGGCTAAATTTTCTACACAACGGTTTCTTAGCCATACATCAATTTCAATATCAGTGATTCCTGCAACACCAACGGGCTCAAAAACAACATCTTTACTACCAAGCTGTGCAGCAGAATTTACATTAAGCAAAAGTCGTATCTGAGAAACAAACACTGCCATTACTTGTCTCATGTCAACTTGAACAAGATACGGCAAAGATGCAGATGAATTCAATTCTGGTACATTATATATCATGACACCACCCCAACGTGGACTCAGAAAGGCATTACTGTTCACCTTATTACCATTTTTATCTCGTATGTAAAGAGGCGACTTATCACGAGTTGGAATGTAAACAATGAAATTAAGCTCTGGATTATTAGAAGAGGAGGTTCCCAGAGTTGATTCTATCGGGTTTATTAGTTGTGGCAGATTCTGCTCCTGATAATAATATTCTTTCAAAGATTCATCATACTTTGGCTTGGATTGAAAGGTGGTAAAATACTGCAGCTGAGATTTTATTTCAAATGATGTGTACTCTTTTAACTTGTTTGTCATGGATTCTAAGTATGCTTTTACTGCCTCTTCTATCTGCCATCGTACATCTAAAATATCTGGTTGTGGAACAGTCAGTGTAAAAGTGATGTCATAGCCCGGATTGTAACGCACAGATCGCATACTTTCTTTATCAGGCTTTAAAGAACGAGCACCTTTTGCATTTAGTATACTTTTCTCCACCGAATCTTCACGAATGACATATGATTTCATGATCCCACTAATGTCTTTGACCAGCTCTGTGACATCATTGAGTGGTCTTATAAAGATATTATGATGCTTTCCTATGTAAGCATAATCTAGCTTGAAGAATTTTGGAACTAGAAAAATGTAGTATTTATTTCTGTCACCACTGACTAGCTTAGATTTAGATAGTTCATCATCAACAAATGGTAAATCTGGTACTGAACCTTTTTGTTTAAAAATATCAAGTTCTTCTGTTGTGTGCTCCCTAACACTCAAGCGATAGTTCGCTTTGATTTCAGTGCCAGTAGTTTTTGAAAGATTATCTTGAAGTAATCGCGAAATCTCAAGTATTCGTTTTGTCCAGATATCATCAAAAGAAACCACCTGTACTTCAGCGGTGTAAGTCAGGGGTATTTCCGATAATCCGTTTATATCTGAATATGGGAGTTGTACCCGGTAAACTTCGGTAGCCTTCCACCATAATGGCAACCCCACAACAATACAGATTAGCCCTATACCAAGGGCTGCGTACGCCTGTGTGTCTTTCTCCTGTTCCGAGATATCTTCATCGGTCATAATTATGTTTTTGGAAATTAAATATTTACGTTTCTACACAAACAAAATAGTAAATAAAAGATTCCGGCTTCTTTCGGAAGCGAGTAATAATTTACTTTTAATAAGTAAGAATTTAGCAAAGGGGAGTAATTCAGTCTGAAGGGAGATAACTACATTCTAAAACCATACGGTTTCAGACTAGCTATTTCTTTGTCATTGCTGTAACATGGTCGGTTCAAATCTTTAGGGATCGGCATTTGGCATTCGTTTCATTAAATACTTTGTAGGGTGTTGTTGACCGTTTAATTTTTTTTTTTGCTGTAAGGATTTTATGCCCTATGGTGACTTGGATCAAAATGACACTTTCGACGCAATGATTGCTCGACTGTACCCCATATAATATATACAATGTATAATATTATCAATAGTACCCTAAAACTGCTATAAAATTGCAAAATTTGACCCTCTTTCTTCAGTTTTAGATAAAAAAAAATTCAGTTAAAATGGCGAGAAAAAAATTAAGGCAAAAATTGCCTTTTTAGCGCCATGAATAGATAAAGGGAAATAATTACTAGTCGTGCATCTAATAAACGAACCTATACAACCAATTTATAAATGGTTTCTATAAAGAATGCATAATATATTTTGATGTAACATGATAGTTATAAAGTGCCGACAATTGCATTTAAACCAGTAGCCTCTTCTGAGTTTTTCAAAAATACAATAAGGGGTTGGGGCAGGACAGGATTAAGGGGGTGGGGTGACTGGGTTGTAGCCAGGGGTCCCAATATTAAAGGGACCCAAAATTAATTCAAAAATAAAAGATGTGTACCATAAATAAATTTCATATAAATATGTCATATATCGGGAGGGGGTGGCATAAATGAAATTCGCAGCTATGGCAACCAGGGGTGAAGCGCCCCCCTTTACTGTTGGCGCAAAGGCCCCAGTGACATTTTCCACCAGGGGCCCCACGCAAGCTTTATCCGGCCCTTGGGTGGGGTTACTCTCTATATTTTTTGCCGTCCAATTTAAGATCTCCATACGTCAAAGTGTACTTTCGACAGATTATTTTTACCCTCATAGCCATTTAAATGTCAAACTGTTCATGAGAGAATGTTATATTATAAAGTGAATGCGCGACCATTAACATGTAATTAACTTGCAGATAAATGATTGTCGTTTAAGGAGTTGAATGGTAGAAAGCGGTAAGATTAAAGCTATAATAACCAGGTGATGTCGATGATCTATTGTTAAACGTTTTCAAGATACTTCAGCTATGGACATTGGTAATTCGACCCTGTAATTCACATTCCAACTCTAGTACATTGACTTTTCAAATCTATTCTTTAAAATTATTTTCAAAGAGACGTTATAATATAATTCAAAATTTTATTTTTCTGAACTGATCGCCTTTTTTTAGAAAAAAAAATTCATAACAGTAGAAATTAACTGTGGAGACAATAGTAAAATTAACAGCGCATCTCAAAACATTGAGAGGATATGTGGAATGATAAGTAATCCAGCCTTGGGTGGAAACATATTGCAAGATTAAAATGGTTCAGACTGTGTTTGATGTATCTAAAACTGTGTCCGGTTTCTGGGATAATCTCCGAAGGGGGATTGATATCTTGTATCAGGAAATTAACAACTAATTTATGTACATCAATATTTGATCATTTGACATCTGCACATTGAGATTGTTAGAGTGACGCTGCTTGTATACAGAAGGCGCCTAAATCAGATCCGCAACTATATAAGTTTGCAAATGCATGTTCTTTAGCATAAAACATTTCCGGAGGCAAGAACCGGACTCGCATGGTTGCCCCCACCCATCCCACAGTATGAATTTCGTTGATGCATAGATGGCGAAATAAACAGATGGATGAATCAATCAACATTTAACATAATTATGCATTAAAAGCTATTATATGTTTGAACACCCGCTGTATTCTTGTTATAATTTACTAACCGATTCAAATGATTTAAAATGTTCTATTTTATCTTAAATAATTTAAAGCTTGTTTCAAGTTCAACTTAATTCAAACCAAGAATTGATTACAACAACATCTGATGCATCAAGTAGTGTCAACCATAAATATTTCAAGTTTAGATATTTTTAAAACTTTTTGTTAACTATGCCCCCGGAAAAAAGAAATAATGATATGCCACGAATTGAAATATATTGTTAATAGATTGTTCACCATTGAAAGATGACCATCCAGAGAGGTGTTTTATGGGCTGGCAGAAAACATTAGTTAGGTGATGAGTTGCTTGTCTATTGACACAGAAGACGACGAAGAAGAAAACCAAAGAGTATGGTGATTTGTATTAATGAATACCGATTGGACATCCGTCTCAGTTTTCACATCCAACGGGGCAGAATCAAGGTTTCTATAAACCCCTGTAGTACAAAGCCTTCACAGCCAGGGGTCCGTCCCTTCCCCGGAAAATGCTCTTTAAATTGACTTTAGTTAAACTCCTGACCTTGACTACTATAAAGCCGATCTTTGAATTGTTGGTGAGTTATGTCAATGCGTTTTCTTTCATTCGAGGGGCTTAACGCTCACACGCAATAATATATATATAACCGGAATAAAGGTTAAATAATAGAGTTTAGGGCCATGCATAACCAAAGGGGCATTTGGTTCATCGTGTTTAAATCATTAAATTATTACTGAAGTGATGTTCATTTAAAGTTTACATTGGTTTATATTGATTGTACATGTATACCACCATCTCTATGCGTATTAGATACATGAATTAATATCCACCTTTTTGTGCACGTTAACCCATTCTACAATAAATTAGTCTGCACTTGACTTTTAAGTCAAAGATCTGGTTTCTTGTACATGGGTCAAATGACATTTTTATGTCCGAGAATGGAAATCCAATGAAAGACAGGAATATTCCATTTGGTATAGTCGACCATAAATGGCGGTAAACTGAATCAAATTGTATATTTATAATTTCAAGTTACTCTTAAAAATTTAAACCGATCTGCTCATCTTTAATCTTAATATGGCAAGTCATTTCAATAGGATTGCAATTTTCTCAATTATACTAATATCAAATATAGCTAGAATAATTTACCCTCCCAAAAAATCATCACATCAATTTGTATTTATGACTCTGGTGTACCAGTGTTTGTTAGCAGATTAATGAATATGGTAATTCTAACTCATTGAACGTATTAAGTATAAGAAATATATTCAGGAGATAACAACACCGGATTTCTACTTTGTGATCACAGAATAAAGAAACTCGGCTGTACAGTTAAATTACCATCCTTTAGTATGTGATCAGGGGGCTGTTTCTCGAAATTTTAACTAAGATAAAATCCAAATTTTAGTAATTTGATTGGATAATATTAGATTGATTTTAGTGCTTAGCCAATCAAAATTGAAATATGTACTAAAATTGGATTTTATCTTTAGTTCAGTTTTCGAGAAACTGGGCCCAGCATCTTAATACATCAGGTTTCTCAGGACGCCATAAAGAAAAGCGGTTTAAGTACGAAAATTATTGACCCTTTCGAATATGATCGCATTAGTATTACGGCGTTACGCAACTCAATTAAGGAATATCAATTTTCATGTGTATGCATGACTTGATACATACGATAATTATTTACCCCTGCAACTTCAGTAAGAATGCAGGCATGGTTTTCGAATTCATGATCAACCCCTCGTGGGAACTGAATGTTTTGTACTTCTTAGAAAAAAGTAACACAGATCTCAGATAGTAGCCTAAATAACTGTACAGGATTTGGATTTAGCGTTTCGAGTTAATGTTTTTCAAAAAGATCGTAAACTAGACGATTTGGAACTTTAAAGAGTTGAAATTAATTTCATCCAAATCATACGCCAGGTATTCTTGCATAGCATGGAATATTTAAGAATCGACCCGAATAAGTAGAGCGAAAATTAATCAAATATACCGTTGAATTAAAGTGCAAAATAATCAATCCCATCTGTATTGTATCCATTTTGCATTAAGTAATTTACCTTTTTTATGTATTACCATGCATATTTTAAGAACCATTGGGAACAGTTCAATATTAATTTTTTTTTAATAATTTGTGCATTTTGTCCAGGATTTTTATTTGCATTAAGCAATATAATTATTGTGACAACCCATTTAAACCTGCAGAAAACGTAGATCACAAAGAATACTAGAATACAACCCAGACAATACATTTTAAATGTTTCAGCTTCTTTAAAAAGACAATTTTTTCCCAGGTACTTCAACGTAACACAGATTTAATACTGAAGTAATAGTTTGATAAATGAAGTTGTCACAATGTCAACCCAAAATGTCGTAAAACATGTTAAAAACCTCGTTATTATTGACAGTAGTAAGAGGATAAGTGTTAAATCAAGCATGCCGATATTGTCATGTTTAATCAAGCATGATCTACCGTTACCTTACTAGGTTAATGAACCTTATAACCGTTAGTCGGCATACACGTAAATTAAGTCAACCTGCGGATACAAACAGTTATTATTATTAGGGATTTTCTTACTTAATCTACCTATTTCCTTTCTGTAACAGTCACGTAAAATTTGCATTAAAGTAGCTAAGTCTCTAATTCAATATCATCCAAAGTCTTCGACATTGAAAACACGAATTATTTGTCAATTTACCGGGAAAAGATGGGCTTCTAGCTGATATGCAATATTTAAGACAAAATAAACATTTTACCATTGGTACACGAATCGTGTACCATAAGAACGAGACTAGACATTTTCCACAAGTCATGTCAAACGGTGAGGCCATATTCTTATCTGGAGATCATGCGAAATAAATACTCACAGTGTAGACTGGAATAACCAGACGTTAGAGATTGCCATTTGATTGAGACTTCTGGCATATTTTGCCGAACATATAATAACTGATTTGAAATCAAGAGTAAAAACGGAAACGATTGAATGTAAATCAGTTTATATACATTCATATTACATTATTATATGCACTGCGACCCATTAATTGTGTCAATTTGTAGCTCCTTTAACATCAATATCAAGAACAAAACATGACACAATTACATGGAATACAAGTTACTTTAACGTTTATTTAAGCAAAGAATATCAAGCAATATCAAGAACGTTCTAAAAATATATATTGTTCAGTGTGCCACGATGATGTTATTAATATTCGGGTTAATAAATTATAAGAATCCATACGCATATTAAATTTTTAATTGCTTTTAATAGCACATTCTTACTGAATCGAAAACGTTAGGGTAGGTTCGCAAAGACAAACGGAAAAACTATGTCATTTAGATAATTTGGTACCAGACCATAAATTTATGATTTTATAGAAAAGTATCATTTTTGTTTCTGTTGGTAGGCTGAAGTTTTTCAAGTTGGTTTGATTTATCAATTTACAATGCATAATCGAATACATGAAGAATAAAATTAATGAAATAACTACTTTTTCTAAAATTTTCGTTTTAAACGATATTTAAAAACTCGCAGGTAGTTTATCAGTTTATTTACTTTGGAGAGAGAGAGAAACGATATTTAAAAACTCGCAGGTAGTTTATCAGTTTATTTACTTTGGGGAGAGAGAGAGAGAGAGAGAGAGAGAGAGAGAGAGAGAGAGAGAGAGAGAGATTGGGTCTAAAGTCCACTCGACACCAACTAGGTCATTTCGGGACTAACATATGGTTTAATTTTATTTCAATAATTCGCTTGCGCGTAGGGATCTTTAGCAGTGGGAGGAAACCCACGAGGTTAGACAGGCGACCCCATTCCTTGTCACGTACAACCGGGGAATCGAAACCACGCCAGTTGACTCAATGACAGACCTTATGATACAGCGCGCACGTGCTAACCATTCGGCCATCCAACCCGACTATTTATTTTGGACGTAAGATACTTTACATAAATATCCCAGTTACTGGATTTAGTGAAACAGGTGCCCAAATGTTTCTGAGTTTCCTCATTATCCGAATTGTTAAAAAACAAAGGCAACAATGTCCATGACAAAGTTAGCCATTGTTTCAAGAATATGTACGTTTGTCAGAGCAACACGGCTATGGTTCCATATGAACTTTCACCACAGGAGTAACAGTTTTTGTTTGTTTCTTCCCTGAAAGGATTGATTATCGCTACCATTTTTTTGTCCTACTGTAAAATGGTCTAATTAAATAACACCACGACACTAAAACACACCCCTGCTGTCATTATAACCATGACGTAATGAGGGGTAGCCTTTTACACGCCCAAATAAATACCCCTTGTCGGTACTAATATGTCAAACCGGTGTCATGATACTATAGACTTGCATTTAACCGTAAACTTACAAACTAAAATGGTCACAGCAGTTTATCTTCTTCAAGACTTGAGAGATACGATCACACATCTATGTTAATAACCGTGTTTCTTTTTTGTTGCGCGATCTTATAGTACATAAACACCGACTGATTCCCAATGCACAAGTACTGACTCCCAATGGAGCATTGTGTGGGAATAGTGATTATTTTCAAAGATACAAATTCAACAGTAGATTCAACTGAGCATAGATAAACAACTATATAGTTTAATTTTATTACGTATTGGTGCCTACTCACTAATTTAAGACGTTTTTTCTTACAAAATTAACAGACTGAATCGTATATAGAATCATTTACTTGCATTAAACAATACTACCATAAACCAACCCTTACGACTAGTCTCAAAGACTTGATATTATAACAGGGTTGTTAAACAATCTGTCCTCCTTCTTAATTAAGGTCATAAAAAGAAACAAAACAACAGTGTTCTTTTATTCGAACGACACCAATCTCACCGCATTTGAACGATGGTTTGTTTTCATGTGACGTACACTTGACAATATGAAGATGATATATTTCTAGCCTGTTTTTTTAACAATCATATATTTTGCCTCGTTAATCTGTATGGGAAATAACTTTCATTAACATACATTTCTGAATTATTAATTGATAATATATTATGTGAATGGTCCATTACATCACAGCCCCGCCCAAGCAACCGCGCACTCTAGTCTGATCTTTGGAGTAGAATGCCAACCCATAATAATACAATTGCCCGAAAAGATTTAGCTTCAATTATAGGATTTAGTATTCGAACACCCGATTCACCTGTTATTTACGTTTGATCATTAACAAATTTGTGCTTCACTTTCGTATTCTACTCTGCAGCAAAATATAACAAGATTCAAATAATATATTTTCTACCTTTTATTACTTATTTACATAATATATACAAAGTGGAAAATATTAATTATGTTTATAAACATGTATATTATAGATAGATAATTTCAGGAATAATTTCACCAAGGTCGCCACATAGAATCGTCATCGCATTTATTTTGAGTCACATGAGATTCTTGAGAATCTGATGAATGTTCGTCGATGTTTGAACTTTTATTAAAACTCAATTTATTTGTAAGGGTTAAATCCACAGCATGATTTTCATCGTCCGACATTTCATAATCCGACACACATTCTTCTGGCGATTGCGCTATGTTTTCTAACGAATTGGTAGAAAGTTCACCAAGCGGGGCTCGTCGACTCCGCACAATGTTATATCCCTTAGACGGACTTTTGGAAATTCCGTGCCGTATAAGCCGAATTCTTCTTCCCGCAATATTATCATGACTCTCCGAGTTCCTTTCTGTAGACTCAGAGAACTGTCCGGTTCCAATTTGTAATCGATTTTTAACACTTGCTAAGCATCCGTGGAAGATATGTCTGACGTCATTTTCCGAAACCTTCATAGTTAACATCAAAGCTTGGATACTTCTGATACACTCTAAGAATCCCCGTATATAATTCTGATGCACATTCATTTCTGCAAAGAAAAATAAAGATATTGAGAGGTTTAATGGAAGAAATGAAAGACACGCATCGTATTTCAAAAGGGGAACTTAGTAAACACAAGACCCATTTCAATACTTAAAAAAAGATGGCCAGCGAACCATTCATTCTAAATCGGCATGTTACAAGCACTGACTATCTCGGATTATAGATGCATGTAGAACATGACAAAGGTTATTTGTCGAAGAACGTTGGCGTTATTTCATTTTGATTCATTGTTTCCTTAGACAAAACATTTGATAGCATATACATTATAGTTGTTGTTCTCAGATTTTGAAAAGTATAAGAATGATTTGTAATCAGTCAGATGTCGTCAAACACCAGGAATATTCGGGGAGACCTACCAACAATACTGCTGAGATAGAGAGACCTCCTAAGAAACCAAAATAAAACTCGATAAATAAGAACATTTTGTCTTTACTCACGTGATGCTTTGTGCCGTTTTAAATAATTCACCGCTCTCTCCAAAACTTCTGCCTTTTCTAGTTTCGCTGGAGAACTTGGCTGAAAAAATCAAAACATTCTATTTAACTTTGAATATACGAACCAGTGAATGTATATAACACAACGATGATCAATATAAGTGTTGATACTTATAATTAGTAAGTAAACTATGGAAGCTGTGAGTACATCTTAAAGATTAGAAAGCTATTATTCCATTTACCTAAACTAGTAATCTATGATGTATTTTAATGTAAATATTCCAACTTTACATAACATACAATATCTCATCTGTATCATTGTGAATATTTCAGACCTATATAACATACACTATCTCACCTGTATTATTGTAAATATTTCCGATCTATATAGCATATTATAATAACTCACCTGTATTATTGATGGACTAATTAGTTTTTCTATTTCTTCTAGGTAATAGTTTATCCTAGCTCGACGATTCCTCTCAGCTACGTGCTTTCTAGTCTGAAATAAATCAAAATAAAAACTTTCTATAAATCAAATGCGTAATATAATTTAATCTAAGTAATAAAAAAATCGCCATTTTTATGTAACAGAAAATTTTAAACTGATAATCTTCATACCAGAGTTCTGTCAATTTGATGATGATCAAAACGTTTGCAGTGTGGCGATTTCATGGTATCCAATACAGAGATACAAATCGTGAGGGTTATGAGGCTGCAGTGTAAATGAAGTCCACACAACACGGTCGCGTTTCTAAGTGTGAAGACAGATACTGAATGTGGGATTTTTTTTTCTTTTTAGTGAATCCCACAAAGCCTTTTTGGTAATTCAGATGCACTCATCCATCCCTATTGTTGTTCAATACGATTTTTCCCTTTCCTGACTCTTTCAATTATTTTAAAATAAAGAATAGACGTGGGTATCATCTTAAAACTGGCAACGCCCATTATAGCTACGATTATATTAGTTTTAAACTGACCTGTTCTTATAAACGCACCTGGACAATCTTAACGAATTGGTATTAAGGTGTCGCCTCTGATTTGTGACGCCCATTTTCATGTAAGGTTGGTGTAACATCCAAATTTGACGTCTTTCAATCTGTGTTCACTTTTGAAAGGGTTGAGAAAAAAGGTATAAAAATCGAATTAAGTCATTAGGATTTATCATTTTTAGTTGGAAAAGGGATGTTTTGGACTTTGAAAATACCAATAGGAAGCAAGTGTACGAGTATAAATTGTGCTGAAAAGGAAATCAGCTTCCTTTTACCGTTACTTATTCACATATTCTCCAGCTCGATGTTAGGTTGTTAAATGTACACGTACGTCTATCAATTTATTTATGATAAATAGTAAAAGGTTCTACATTTCCGGATTAAACAAAAATTTATTTTGTTTTTTAATCAAAATCTTTCCTTAATTGTTCACACTTTATTAAATAAATATTACTAACCTTTAAAGTCGTTTTTCGTTTCTAAGTGTCTTTTGATAACTTTCGAAATTAATAAGAATTTGAGAATTATTAATTCTATTAATTGTTAAATTAATTTCATTTCTGGAAAATGGTTTATTGACTTAAAATATTACGTGCTTCCTTTATAGTCGTAATGGTCAGCCAATCTAATTGTACCAAAAATAGCCCCTGAAACGTTTTATTATTAGATTTTAAACGGATCACGATTTTTTTTTTAATTACAGACCTGCTATGAAAGAACATCTTTTTTTTCTCTTCCGACAGATAACACTGACATGCTGCACGTCGGTTTAATTACCTCGTAACTTCAATAAACTTGATGATGATCGATTAAACCCTTGTTTTATTTCAACACTCGATTAGGTTTTAAACACCACCTTTGCCACCCACCATTATCCGTATCAATACCGTTTTAACTGACGGATAACATCAAAGCGATTCGAACAAATTTCGATCGTAATTTAAGCCTTCACCATCAAATAAAATTTAAAAAACACAAAAGGGCTTTAACAAACAAAAGTTCTTTAATCGGATGTTATTGAAATAAAATTGATTGAAGTATTTCTTCAACACAGCCAAGTTTGTTTCTTCCAGTAACCAAATGATCCTCCCATTTTGCTTTGTTGGTAACCTGTGATGGAAGCCGAATGTGGAAATTGGAGTAACATTAACGTAATCTTGCGCTAGCTCAGTGAGTAAGACGATGGATAGCTAACCAGGAGGTCTCACGTTCGTTCCTCGTTTTTTTTTTCAGGCATGGTTTCATTTGTTAGTGCAGGTTTAAGGCTAAAGGCCTGACAAGCAACAGTGGCCGTTCGGATGGTACAAGAAAAAGGTGCATGTAGTGTACACATCGACGTGCATGTAAAGGAACCCTTGGCAGTTGGGTGCTCCCGGCAAATCCCCCCCCCCCCCATAGCACACTGTATGGCATACGCCCGACTTCATTAGCACATTGTTACGGTTTATACAATTGTGAACTACATTGACAATAGTTTCTGAGACATGGAGTAAGTTTCTGAATAGGAAAACTTCAATTTAAGTAAGGGAATAACCAGGGGTGTAATTCTGCAGTCCTTACTTTATTTTGGAAAGTAACCTGCGTTTCCTTATACTATTTTAAAGTCTCAATGGGAGTTTTCATTTTACCTTTTTGCGATCTGTGTACTTCAGAATGTGCTTTCTGAGGTATTCTTTACGTGCATCAACCATCTGTGTATCTATCACATCATATGAAATACCCCCCATCACTAAAATTAACGTAAAATCGGCGTTTTTCGAAATTTGGTCATATAAATCCAATGCAAGCTAATGGCGGTCTACGAGTAGTTTGCTCACCGATCTCCCACAATGCAACAGTGACACGCCCTTTTTTTGGAATGGGTGATTCATGTACACCGGAATAATGAAGACGAGCATACGCCATGTAGTGGGCTTTGATTGACAGCGGCCTTTTTGCCTATCCTTCATTACGTGACCTGTTCTTAATTCCACCAGACGCTGCTCTTTGGCAGGGGCTCCGTCCTGACCGTGGAAAATTTCAATCCAAGGCTACTTCGTGAAAAGCAGTAGCGCCTATCTCGTGTTTTCTCCTGGTCCTCAGATTTCCTCCAACTTCTGAAGACCTCTACCGAAAATCTATTTACTAAAATAAAGATGCACCGTTTGCTTTGCTTGTCACGAAATAATCTAGTTTGTGTTGAGTGGATTTAAAACCCCATCTATCATGATATCGTGAGCTCATTGGGGATAAAAGGTTCCGGCAGATTGGGACTAAGACAAGAAATTATTCACGAATGTAGTGCGAGTTAAAATAGACAATTTTTCCCTTAATTTTTTAGGCCCTCTTCCTGCATTTTGGGGTTGACTTTTCGGTCTAGAATTGGAGAAAAGGGATCAAATTTGCAATTTCATAGCAGTTTGGGGTAATACTGATGATATTACAGCGGAGGGATAGGGGGTGTAAAGTGTCTGTCTGCAGAGCAATCATTGTGTCGAAAGTGAGATTTTCACCCCAGTCAACTTCAAATCCCCGTAGCAAAAAATCTAAACGGTCAACCCCTACAAATTTATGATGAGGATATTGCCAAATGTGGTCCCCATTGTGCCTGTAAAGATTGGAACCAACGGAATGTTGAGCAAAAAGGTACAGCCTGTGATGTTACAGCCATTTAACATTGAAGTCAATGGGCAAAATAATTGCTAGTCTGATTCCATTGGTTTAAGAGCTCTTAAATGTAGTTGTCTCCCTTCAATACATATGATTTACTGCAGACGCGTCCGAATTGTATACAGCATACGAAATGAATTTGTTTGGAATAAGTCACTTTTAGCAAACTTTTAATAGCAATTCATAAGTCTCCAATACAAAGGAACATGCTACGGCTGTCGCTTACTAAAGCTTTTCTGCAAAGGATCCCCAAACGTCATAATATACTGTGTTACATGTATATAAGTGGGTAAGACGCTGGCTCGCTAGCCTGGAGGTCGCGTGTTCGATCCCTATATATTGGCCGAGAATGTTCATCGGGATTTTCCGACGCGGTTTTCCCTTGTCAGTGGCGTAGGACGGAGGGCCTGACAACGACAGCTGTCTAGTCGTTCGGATGAGACGAAAATCCGAGGTCCCGTGTATACATTGGCATGTACGTAAAATATCCCTTGGCAGTTGGAATTCGATATAAGAGTAGTTCCGCTACGCGGGCAAAATTTCCCTCATAGCACAGTATAGGAGCAGAAGAGTAGGACGTTAAATCCCATTTCGTTTCATTTCATTTATAATCTGGCGATAAAAGGAGTGCTTATCGTTCTGTTTTTTTTCTTGAGAGACTACTTCTTTATTGTGATCTTGTGCCATAGTGTTTGTCCGTCAACATCATCGCCGTTGGTATAGACAGTATGACAAACCCCATTCTATTGTATTTGTTCATGAATCTGTATGCAAGCTGTTACATACTTTTCTGTTGGCCTATTAACCAACATATGTCATGACTTATTACCGACGATTTCTTACTTAAAGATGCATTCTTGCTATAATAGTTTAAAATAGATAATGAAAAAGGAATAAATTGTCGTGACTGCGTGAAGAATAGCGTAGCCTCGATATTCATTGCTACTGTTGTTACGATAAAAACAGGGTCTCAGTTATCCATTTTTGAATTAATTTATTAAATGGCGATCGTGTTTCAAACCGTTAAAAATCACAACAATCCGATGACCTAGAGGGTATTGCTATATGAAAAACAAATGGTGGTCTGCATCCTAATGCAAACATCCGGAGTTATATCCCTTTCATTGTCAATCGAAAGAGAGAGAGAGAGAGAGAGAGATATCGGGTTTAACGTCAACTCGACACAAACTAGGCCATTTCGGGATTGACATGTGGTTCAATGTTATTTCTATAATTAGCTTGCGCGTAGGGGTCTTTAGCCGTTGGGGGGGGGGGGGTGCATGGCCGAATGGTTAGGGTCGCCTGTCAAACCTCGTGGGTTTTCTCCGGGTCCTCCGGTTTCCTCCTACTGCTAAAGACCCCTACGCGCAAGCGAATTATTGAAATAAAATTGAACCATGTGTTAATCCCGAAACCACCTAGTTTGTGACGAGTGGACGTTAAACCCCATTTCTCTCTATCTCTCTTTAGCCGTGGAAGGAAACCGGAAAACACGGAGAAAACCCACGAGGTTGGACAGGCGACTCTACTCCTTGTTACGTACAACTGGGGAATCATTGACCCAATGACAGACCTTATGATACAACGCACACGCGCTATAACCATTCGGTCATCCCCCCCCCCCCCCCTCAAACTCAAGTGGCGTATTGGTTTCTTTGATAACATTTGGTAACACTTTTCTTTGGTAACATTTAGACCTATGATCCTTTGTTATGAAATAATGTTAACGCTATGTAGATTGCAATTATTATCCATCCATTTTGTAAACGATAAGAGAATGATTGTAGAAACATGACTTTTGTGATTTGTTTTTACATTTTTCAATTAATATTAATATAATGGTTTGTCGTCGTGAGATGGAATATGTTTTTATGTCTAACGTTACACTACTACCTTGAGAACAGTAAATCTGGATTTAAGTTATTGGCAATACTCCAGATGCAAGAAGTGATGAACTTAACGTTTATGTGACAATAACTTGTTTAGAATATAAGGAGGCAGCGTTTTCAATTGGACTCTGGTACTCTGACGTACCATTTCGAGTATACAGGAAGGTTTCCACCCCAGGTTATATATATAAATAAACCCATCCTTCATCGCCACTCTAGATTTATATGTATAATTGGAAGAACTGAAATATGTAAGTTAAGAAAATTTTAACAAATTAACTTTGGGGCTGCATAACCAGCCAAGAAGCGAGTTCATAGAGAACAGACTACAGAGACTCAAAGATAAACTTGTGTCGTATGAAAACTTGCATGACAAGTGGGGATAGTGCAATAAGCGCTTCCTATAAATATAAATTTATAATGTTTGGGTTCGACAAACCACTGTCATATATTTATTCTTAAAAAAAGTAGGGGATATTCAGAAGTAATACAAAACTGCGGAAATGCACTGTCGTTTTTATTAGAGGTAACCATTGCATGTATGTTAATAACAGGCCAATTGCCTACACATGAACATAAACAGTTCATATGAGCGGCTTATCTGACGGCCCCATTTCACTCGCAGAGATACACTGTCAAAAGTGAAAAT